CAGCAGTGGGGATAAAGGCCCTGAGGTAGTGCTCCTTCTTGCACTGTGGGTGCCTCAATCTTCCACTGAAGTAGCTCCTCAGCTCCTCCACAGTCCTGTGCAGTGGCTCTTATTGTTCACAATTGAAATAATTATTTATTTTTTCGAAGTTTCTCCAAGGAGCTAGCCTGGTCTTACCACACCATCGTACAAATTTAATTTCACACCAAGGTCTGGATTTGCTCCATTGAGCTCCATTAACAGGTGGGAGGGGTTCCTCCTTTTGCAGATTGAAATGATTGGATCTGAGTTTACCTTGACATATGTATAGCGCCTGAGTGAGTGAGGCATTTACCATTTAGCCTAGCCATCTTCTTTGCCACTAACAAAGCCATGGGGAGACAAGCCACAAAATGTTTGCCAGCGATTAAACTTGTAAAACTTTGCTCTTGCTCCAGCTTCATTTTCTTGATATTTGGGAGCCGAACCAGAACGGATTACTTTACCATCACATTCGTCTTCATGGCCAAACTTCAACCAGCAAATTCGTTTTAGCAATCCATACATTACTTACTTTTAATAAAACTGGCGGAAGACTAAGTCTTTTTGATATTTTCAGAATCACATGGTTTAGAATGGGAACAGTCAGAATGACTGCTATGGGAGTCCTAGTGTTTCCATATTGTGCCCATTCACTGAAGAATGTAGGCATTAAACACACAGCAGCCGTTGCTGCATTCCTCTGAAGTTACGGCTGTGACAGAAACCCGACAGACCAGTGCCACTTCCACTGCAGTCACAATATTTACATGGAAACAAACTGAAGAAAAGTCACCTTCAGGTTTTTCTGTGAGTGAACTGTGCCATACATATAAACTGAATCTGTGAAAGCAGAAGCTGAAGCAAAGGCTGAAGCAGAGGCTCAAGCTGAAGATGAAGCAGAGGCTGAAGCAGAGGCTCAAGCTGAAGCTGAAGTAGAGGCTGAAGCAGAGGCTGAAGCAGAGACTGAAGCAGAGACTGACGCAAAGGCTGAAGCAAAGGCTGAAGCAAAGGCTGAAGCAGAGACTGAAGCAAAGGCTGAAGCAGAGGCTGAAGCAGAGGCTCAAGCAGAGGCTGAAGCAGAGGCTGAAGCAGAGACTGAAGCAGAGGCTGAAGCAGAGACTGAAGCAGAGACTCAAGCTGAAGCTGAAGCAGAGGCTGAAGCAGAGCCTGAAGCAGAGGCTGAAGCAGAGGCTGAAGCAGAGACTGAAGCAGAGGCTGAAGCAGAGACTGAAGCAGAGGCTGAAGCAGAGACTGAAGCAAAGGCTGAAGCAGAGGCTGAAGCAGAGGCTGAAGCAGAGGCTGAAGCAGAGGCTGAAGCAGAGGCTGAAGCAGAGGCTGAAGCATGTCAAGCACAAGAGAAAGCAACTGGAGCACACAGAAACACTGCTGTTGTTTACACACATAAACTTGGACCACACTCGGGTCTTCCGGGTCCAAACTCCAAAGTCACTTTAAGATACAGCTCAGCAATGACTGAGCATACTGATAATGCTTCCATAGAGTAGGCAAATGTTTTCTTCCCGAGACTGAATGTTGTAAAAATATATCAACAACATATTAATTATTATAGATAAGGAGCAAGAAGCGCGTTCTGTGACTCCAGAGCTTTACACAAAGCACAGTGGGACTCTATTATTTAGTATTCTATATTCACACACTATAGAATATTATATACTATAGGGATGCACCGACTGCGACATTTTGGGCAGATATCGATGTTTTACATCTCGGCCTCTCTCCGGTCTCAGTCTCTCCGGTCTCGCCCCCTCTCCGGTCTCTCTCTTTCAGCAAAAGCTAACAGCTTGTTTTCGCCATTACATAGTCATTTCAGACCTGAAAATAAACTCTATATCAATAGCAATCCATTGCAACATTTAGTATACCGCGAGTTGCATTGCCCTTACAGAGCAAGGCTCAGACTCTTTTATTGTGGTAATAAAAGTGGAAAGTTTTCCAGATCAGCTTTTGAGTAAGTCCATTTTCAAGGTAACTGTAGTTCCGCAAACCGGCTTTGGTGAAGTGTCACTCGTCGAGCCTCATTGTTAGTCTTTGGGCCAAATACTATCGTCACATATTTACATCTAAAATCACATCTTCTCCAAGCTGACATTTATGCTAAAACAAAAAGCATAGTCTACGGGTGGTAGACATGGGACAATACTAATATTTACAGCATATGGACCCTACACTGGACTCAGAGAGGCTGCAAGCATTGATCGTAGACTGCACTGATTCTCTGTCAATCACATCCTGGAGACGGGCTTTTGACGTCACGATTTGAATCGAGTCGTTTTTGAGCCTCTCGAGAATGAAAGAGAAAGATCGCTCTCCAAATAAACCTTGAGGGAAACAATGAAAAAACTACTCTGGGCATGTGTCCATCCATCCATCCATCCATCCATTTTCTACCCTTTAATCCATTTCTGGGTCAGGGGGGTGGCAATCAGAGATGCCACCCAAGTCTCATAGCACCAGCCCCTCACTGACCCTCTGCAGGTGGTGAGTCCACAGGAGGACGGCTGCTCTCTGAGTGTGAGCATAGCCTTGATCTTTCAGTGGGGGCTTTTGGGCAAAGTGGGGTTAAGTGTCTTGCCCAAGGACACAACGACAGCAGTCATCAGTGGGAGTCGGTGGAGAAGGTGTCGAGGTGGGAATTGAACCCACGACCTTCAGGCCTGAAGGCCAATGCTCTACCAACTGAGCTACTGTCGCCCCGTCTGGGCATGTGTATGAAGGCCAAATAGCACTGTAAGCATGTTTAAACCAGAAAAAAGTCAAAAAACGTAATATGGGACCTTTAGTACAACATATACAGTATATCACAAATAAACAGTTTAATTACCACTTTTAGAAGCCTGTTACTCCAGTTCAAATGACAAAAGCAATAAAACATTACTGGACAAAAGTCACTTGATCTGGTTCCATGGAATCGCAAGGGGAAGAGAGCCCCAGAGATTCACTTGTTAAAGTCCAAAAGACTGGCCCCATATCAGGTCAGCATCACAACTTGCGTAAGGACATACATGTAGTCGCCATGTACCTTGCTCCTCAAAAGCCATTTTAGGAACGCAGCAAGCATATGCACTAGCTTACGTTACAACATAGAGTGTATGCAGCACCACCAAGTGTGCTAAACAAGAAATATGAAAGGTCGGTACACCAGTGAGTAAAGGTTTCAATGTTATTTGGACCTGTGTCGGCTTTTTACCACAGGAGATAAAGGGGGACCACTCAAAATAAGACTTCAAAAGTCAGGGCGCGAATACCCAAGACCAGAGTGAGACCAGAGAGAGAGCAGGGAGAGAGACCAGAGAGAGATAGCAGAGAGAGAAAGAGAGAGAGAGACCTGACAGTATGACCAAAGAGAGATCAGAGAGGGAGACCAGAGAGAGACCAGCGAGAAACCAGAGACCAGAGAGTATGACCAGAGAGAGATATAGTGTCAAAGATACATAGTTCAAAATTAACCTTTTAAAGTCAGTGTGCGAGTACCCAGGACCAGAGAGAGAGATCAGAGATTATAGCCAACATTTGTTCAAGAAATGCTTAGATTGCTTAAATTGTGTCTGAATTTCCGTTATATTTTATTGAAATGTTGACACTGATGAACACTGATACTGAGACTTTTTGACACTAGTAAAATCAAACTTAGCACAGACTAGTGGTTAGAGTTATTGATAGATTAGGTAAAGTAAAAGCTGGGGTAGTAACTTTCAAAACATGTTTAGCTAATGAAATCCATGTCTCTAGTCCTGGCTCTAAAATAGTTGCTACTATCACTAGCCTTTAGGTCGTCTTATTTCGGGCAGAAAAGTGGAAAGAGAGGACCACCCCTCACTCTGCTCTCAATGTCAAATAATAACTCACAAGACCACAGATGATAAGATGAAGATAACATTATTATATGGTCTAATTTTCTACTTTTACAAGACTTTAGTTTTTGTTGAGAAGAACAAAAGGTGATATTAATCAATCTATAAAGTTAGGTGCCCTGGCTTTAATTGTGTTTTAAGTGTTATAGTAAAGCACACTAGATTACTTTCGCTAAACCAAAAAAATAAATGTATTTTTCATAGCAACATAAGCTCGGGAAACGTTCGACATAGGACATTTTGTACCTATAACTGTGAGAAAGCAGCGATTACACCAAAATATCAAAGGACGTTGCTGTCAAACGTATACAATACAGTTTCACCTGCAAAAATACTGTTGACAAACGAAGTACTGTTATTTTTCTACCTTATATACGTTATCTTAGCGCGGTGCCACATCTGGGTTAAAAGCAGCGATCGTGGGAACTGTCCATGTCAGGGCCTCCGAGATTCAAAACTAGTGTTAGCTTTAGCCGCGTTAGCTCCAGGTCCATGCCAATAACACATATTTTTACACTTTTATAGACAGACAGTTCGCATTTGTGTGAAAATAAAACGCAACTAAGCTGTTGTGCGTTTATCTGTGTTGTTTTTTTATGTCAGAACTACGCGTCTGGTTTAGAAAATAATGTGTTTCTTTAAAGCTAGTTAGCGTTGGTGCTAATGCTATCGCGGGTTAGCCACCTGAAGCTAACGACCCCGTGAAGTGTATTTTGAATAGAGAATACAAACATCCTGTATTGCGTTTGAATCCATATAAACGTGTGATAAACATAATGTATTGCGTGTATATTGAATGATGACAACGAATGGATATGCATTTTCTGTTTTCCACTATTTTCATTGAACTTATTACATAGATATAAATGCAATAGCTGCTGTAAAAATACAAAACAACTCCAGTCGTTGTGTTAATACCATGCACACATAAAAACAGTGGACTAGAAACGCATTAGAATAGAGTTGTTTGATCGATAATGAGGGAATAATCCAGGGCATGTCCCCAGACTTAAGTTACTGCAGCTATTTACTTATGCAACAGTAGTAAAACAAAGCCAGTGCGTAAAAGTGCGAGTGCCAAGTGTGCCAAATAGAATGGGTTTTTACCTGGGCTGGTTTGGGCGATCACCCATCATCCCAGGCAGATGTAAATCCAGGGGCTAGCAGTGCTAATGCTACAGGCTGACAGACAGAGCAAGAGAACCGAGCAGAGGTGCGAGGATGTCGGTTCAAAGCTCCGTGCGCACGCCTGGTCCCTGGATCCCACGCGTAAAAAAGAGCCTCACGTCCTAATGTTGTTAAATATGAACTTAAACCCAGCTCCAAGTCTGGTGCACACGGTGTAAATCTCTCCTGGAGCAGCGTAGCGGCCTGGACAAGCCAAACCCACGAGTAGCAGCAAAGCAACAGCCCTCAAACTTCCATAAATTCACAGATTACGCGTGAGGAGGTGATCTTCACATCTCCCGGGCTAGTCCGTGTGCGTGTGCGTCCCGGGCCCTGGTTCGTGCAGGTTCCGCGGCTCCTTTCGGCTCCTGGTTGTTCTTTTCACCCTTTTGTCAACACTGTTCACACTGTTGGGCAGAGACCATGGCACTTGCGCACACACACGCAGCACGCGCAATGGCCGCGGGTGTAAGGGAGTAAGCTGCACCCCGGTCTGAATGGTACGGTGACACATAAAACACAGCCCTATTAAACTACCAGGGTAAAGAGCGATAATGCAGAACAAGTACGTGATCTTTATTTATATACAAACAAGATTTACGTCCCACAGTGGTACAGGACAGTAGTAAGAGCACACAAAGAGCATACAGAACATATTCACAGATAAGTGCCTGTGATTGTTCATAATAGCAGTATAGTAATCACCATACTTTTTGGAGAATAAAGTGCACCTGTATATAAGCCGCACCACCTACATTTGAAAATAAAGTACATGTCCAGATACAAGCCACACTTGAATACAAGCCACAGGTTTAGTTAGCAAATTAAACAACACCATTTAACCCTAACACTCACTTTCTACATTCAGAACTATTGGTGGAAGGGGAAACCTAAACAGACACGAGGAGAACATACAAACTCCACATTGAAAGGACAAGAGGTGGAAACGAAACCAGGAGCTTCTTGCTGTGAGGCACTAACTGTGTCAACCATGTGACATATGGTGTAAAATAATACATCTAGACTAGAGAAAGAGACCGTATTGTAGTAATGGAATGCATTGTTTATTAATTTGTCCCTTTCAGAGCTACAGATTGTCATATTACACATTATAGATCACATAATATTATATTTCACTATTAATATTATGTGGCGGCACGGTGGCTGAGTGGATAGCACTCTCGCCTCTCAGCAAGAAGGTCCTGGGTTCAAATCCCGGTTGGACCAGGGCCTTTCTGAGTGGAGTTTGCATGTTCTCTCCGTGTCTGCGTAGGTTTCCTCCGGGTGCTCCGGTTTCCCCTACCACTAAAAATATGTACAATAGGTCTGGCATGTGCCTCCTGTACTGGCCCCGCTCCCAAAAAATAACAATTGTAAACCGCTTTGAGACTCCGATGTGCAGTGAAAAGGCGGTATATAAATAAAGATTACTACTACTACTACTACTATTATAATAATTGAATAATTTTAAGTAAAGCGTGGTAGTTCCTCTTTAAAAGTTACACAGTAAAACTTTGACGCTGTGTTCATTTGATTTCCGACACATGTCACTCGGGGCGCACTTTGAGTCACAACCCTCGCCGCTGCAATTGGCCGAAGTTGACGGGTCTCTGTCAGCTGTGACGTCACGCCGTGCAAAGGTTTAGTGGAGGCGCAGAGCCTGTTCGAACACCTTTAACTTTACATTAGGACGAAGAGCTCCCTATATGTCTCTCACAGCGGGGACATTTCATTGTTGCATCAGAAGGCTCATATCCCTAATCAACGCTTTTCGTAGTTTCACGCATGCACACTGATGTTTGATTTGTGTCTATCTGCGTTTCTTCCCACCGACTGTGCAGAGCGTGAACCGAATTGAGGCGCTGTCCCCGGGCGTGAGGCGTTGGTGTGAGGTGGAACTTGGAAGTGCAATCTCAGGGCCGAGGAGGAGGGAGAGGGGAGGCCGGGGAGAAGAGGATGTGCAGGAGGTTATGCCTGAAGTTTACTGAGTGGAGGGTTTTGAATGAGTGAAAATGTTATAATAAACACTGTTCATGTTTGTGGCAGAACATTTGAATGAAAGCTTTTTGTTTTTAGGAGATCCTTTTATTCGTCCCACAGCGGGGAAATGTCAGTGTTGCATCACAAGTTTAGAACAGAGGGAATGAAGAGCAGCCAGCACAAGATAAGTGAACAATAGTTAAACTAATTAAAATGAAACAACATTTTGAATGAAACAACTCTTACTCTAGCATCAAATAAATAAAGAAGTATAAAATCTCTCTGTTAAACATATTTATAATAAAGGAGTATACAAAAATTACATTTGGCAAAATAAGAAGCAAGTATAAAGTTCTGTGTATTCTAGTGCAAGCAATATGTGGTTAAATGTTAGCGTCTGTACATGTTAGCAGCAGTATGTTTACATCTGAACATTAGCAACAGTATGTTTACATATGTACATGTTAGAAGCTAGTTTACATCTGAACATCAGCAGCAGTATGTTTACATCTGTGCATTAGCAGCTGTATGTTTACATCTGTACATGTTAGCAGCAGTATGTTTACATTTTAACATGTTAGCAGCTGTATGTTTACATCAGTACAATAGCAGCAGTATGTTTACATTTTAACATGTTAGCAGCAGTATGTTTACATCTGTATATGTTAGCAGCAGTATGTTTACATCAGTACAATGAGAGAAGAATCCCGCACACCGTCTTACTTTACTTTATATATATATATACATTTGCTAAATACCTATTTATAGTAAATGGTAAATAGAAAAGTTAGAAAAAGCAGAAGAGTTAGAAAAACTCTTCTGCAAAAAAAAAAAAAACAGTACAATAGCAGCAGTATGTTTACATCTGTACATGTTAGCAGCAGTATGTTTACATCTGTGCATTAGCAGCAGTATGTTTACATCTGTACATTAGCAGCAGTATGTTTACATCTGTACATTAGCAGCAGTATGTTTACATCTGTACATTAGCAGCATGAGGCTCTGAGACACAGGGACTCAGTAAAGTGACAGTGACATGTGGTTATTGCACATTCTGATATAAGTAAACGATATTGCAACGATGCATGACACGTGGGATCAAGTTGGCAGTGTTCTTCCTTATTGTTTGTTGTACAGTCTGACAGCACCAGGAAGGAAAGACCTGCGGAACCTCTCCTTCACACAGCGAGGGTGAGTGAGTCTGTCACTGAAGCTGCTCTCCAGAGCAGAGAGAGTGTCCTGCAGGGGGTGACAGTCATGGTCCAGCATAGATGTTAGTTTGTCCAGGACCCTCCTGTCCCCCACCTGCTGCACTGTGTTCAGGGAACAGCCCAGGACAGAGCTGGACTTCCTGATGATCTTATTCCTGTTTCATAAAAGATTTAGCATATTCTCCAAAATTTACCATTTCTTCACTGTTCCTCTTCTGTCAAACACCTGGATTTGTGTTTAGCTCCATCCACACTAACACCACAACATGTACCCTCAGATTTGGGTTAGGGCGAGGATTAAGGTCAGGGTTATGGTAATTAGCTGTTAACTAATGAGGGCTAAACTAGTGTTACCCAGCCGTTTTTACTTTGGTTTTACAAATCAAGACTTTTAAAATATACAAGATATTGAATACATTTTGTTAATGTCATCCCCATGACATCTCCTGATCCATATTTTTAACTTTAGAAATTATTTGCTACTAATGCCAGTGCAGTCTACAGAGTCTGAGGAGCCAATATGATGTGTTGGACATAATTTTAAAGGTAATTCAATCCAGAACGAAACACTGCAATTTATATCATCATAAACAGTGATCCCTAAATAAGTAATAATAAAAAGAACATCAATCATCCCGGCAGTGTCATGATTCTGTTTGTTTTGCTCTCTTTCAAGAGCATGTGTGAGACAGGGGGCGTGGCCGGTCTCTGCTGTGCTGTTGACGAGACAGACCTGCATCCACTCACTCCACTCACCTCTGTATATAACCCATAACCCTGGTGTGCCAGACCATTCCGTCATATCGGTAGTGCTACGCAGAGTCTTCTTCGCGACACTGTTTTTTGGGATTACACAATTTACCTGCTGTAATTCCAGATCTTGTGTTCTTCCAGTCCTGGTCTCTTCGCTCTGCTCTCCGGCCTGCTCCCTGACTGCAGTGCTTCTTCCTTTTTGAGTATTTTTGTTTAATTAAAGACTGTTAAACCGCTTTGGCCTCCCTCTGATGGGGTTCGAAACTCATCCTTAACAAGCAGTCTACATTACTGAGCCTCATTGTTGCCTTAGGTCCAGCTTTGATGGATGGATGGATGGATGGGAGTAGCTCTCTGATTAAAAAAAATAATGTTGGAGACTTCATTAAATGACGGTTAGTTCTACCACTTGCCTAAGGGGGGCAGTGTTGGCTAGTGCGTGCTTGGGGGTCACTTCAGCCCTTATACCGATTGCATAAAAAATTAAAAGTTACCAGCGCCCCAGTGTCTGCCAATCCTCCAATTACAAAGATTCTACAGAAACAGTTGCTGTAGATGCTATTAATATGACAGAACATATATTTGATATTAAATAAATTATCCTTTATTGTCTTTAATTCCCTATTTGGTCAACTGAAAAGCAGGAGAGAGACCAGAGATAGACCAGAGAGAAACCATGAGAGAAATGAAGCAAATCTAAAATCTCTAACTTTAGCATAATAAAGAAGAAAGAACTATATGAAATATCATTAGCATTATAAGAAGTAAGTATTAAGTCTATCCTATCCCAAATACACATACAAACATAAGCAATATTAACAGCGTTCACCATGTGTCGACATATTTACAACTTTATTTAGAAATAGAAAATAGACTCCCACCCCATTTAACGTGTTTGTAAAGCTATTTTCACATTTAGTGAAATTTATGTGAAATTTAAATTCAGGTGTAATTTTGGTGTCTTCCCACGCTCTATCTAAAGCATCCAGAATAATGTAATAAACTAATGTGTGTGTTTATTTTGTAATCTGCCATTTCCAAGGTGTACTATTCAATTCAGCTTATTTTTGCATATAGCCCTGAATCACGACAGCAGTCACCTCGGAGGACTTGAAAAGAAATATTTATCATGTTTGGCAACTTAACTCAACGTCCTGCAGCATAAATTACCTTAATAATAACTTTGAATAAAGTTTGTGCTCATTGCTGTGTGTTGCTACGGTTTAACATGAGGTTTAAACTGTTATTAATCAACAGTTGTTTGCATTGGGATCCGCACAGACTATTGTAAAATAATATTATTAAATCAACTCTAGCCACTACACAACTTCGATACGTTTATACAGTTTAGTCATTTCTCTATGATGTGGTAGGTACACAACAGTACATTTTTACATGCCATTTTAGCCTTATATAGCTAATATAGAACAAGTATTGGAGGAATAACTTTGATCAAAATGACAGCTGTAATAAAGATCCGGGTTGCCAGAACTCACTGTGCCAAGCTAATCTCACTGGTAAAGTACCATGTGGTCGCAGAACTAAAAAAGGTCTCGTTATGATTCTCAAACCATTAATGACAAAACAAGGAAAAAAAATCTATGCGAGAAAACGTGACATAGATTTGCTGTTGACAAAACCCTATTAAGGCTATTCAGTTATTACGGTCCCAGCTGGATTGGACTGCATATCTGGCAACCTGAATCAGGGAGAGTGGGAGAGGTTGCAGTACCACTTTTGGCCAGATTTTGACATACTGCTCCTTTAACATGTTGCACACTTCTGTGTTTTTACATCTGAGTGATTCTATCTATGCGAAATGTGACATGTAAACTTCTCCATTGTTAGATCAATAAAGTTTAGGAAGCAAATATAAATCAATGTAAACTTCAAATGTGTCGTTTTATATATGCTTTAATCCACGGTCAGTGAAGATTCAAATGCAAACAAAATAGAAATAGATAAAAACTATGGGTTGGACCTATCCACAATAATTCATATCCATTTAGTCTGATTGAAAAATTGTAGGGACAACCTTTTTTTGGTTCAGAGTGAGAAATATCTTGTTTAAATAGGTACTATACTCTTTAAACCTTAGCAAAAATTCAAACTATAATGTCGATATCGAACAGCGTTTTAAAGCATTTGTTGAAAAAAAAACAGATAGAGATGCAACACTGCGCCATAGTTTGGACTCCTCTTTAAAAGACACAAACAATAACCAAACAACATTGTCTTATTATTACAAATCTACTTTATTGTGGTTATTTCAGAATGGCAAAATAAGAGTTTAAGGGTTTTCCAGCATCTCAAACATGCATTGACATAAGACTCACATATTATTTAGTCATAATTCCACTGAAAACAATAATTACTTCATTTACTACAAATGAAAAATCTCAGGATTTCAAATACATGTCTAAAGTCACTGTTATTTTGAATGTATTTCTGACTGGTTCCATCACATTGGATCTTGTATTTGTGAATGGGAAATGGGGCGAGGTTGGTTTTTGTATGGACTATGGAAGCCTGTAGCAATAAATCAAACCTTTTTCACCTTAAAACCACCTGAAAAGCTAGTTTTTGTTGTTGACAGATTTAGATATTAAATGACTCACAGTGGTAATAGATCAAGCTCGGTCACATCTGCTTGTAAAAAAAACATGTGTGTGATAGAAAACTTAGAGGGTCAGTGCATTACGTAAAGTTATAGAAACATACAAAAAAAAGCCAAACTTTCCCAAAATTCCTTCAATTATTTTCTTTAAGTAAGTAAGTAAGTAAGTTTTTATTTATATACCGCCTTTTCACTGCAGATCTGAGTCTCAAAGCGGTTTACAATTGTTAATTTTGGGCATTTGTCTCTCACTCCACACAGAGATGGGAGCGGGGTCGCCAGTACAGGAGGCGCATGCCAGAACTATTGGACATATTTTTAGTGGTAGGGGAAACCGGAGTACCCGGAGGAAACCTACGCAGACACGGGGAGAACATGCAAACTCCACTCAGAAAGGCCCTGGTCCGACCGGGATTCGAACCCAGGACCTTCTTGCTGAGAGGCGAGAGTGCTATCCACTCAGCCACCGTGCCGCCCACTTTAAACCGGTCAGAAATATTTGATAATACTGTTTCACTCATTATAAATCAATTTAAAATACTAAAAACTAAATAACAAAGCAGTGTTAACATTTCAAGCATTAAAAGTCTTGTCATTTGTCGCCTGGTATAAACTAGTAGTGTCCTTTCCAAACCTTATCTATCTATAATAGTAAATAATAATGTGGTTTTAACCCTCTATCACACCTTTGTGTTCCAAGATGCATTTGATAGTTAACATAATCTGGTGTCAATTTATCTATGAAACTCAAAAACTCACTTAAACCTGTGATCAAAAACGACCCTTAGACTTCCATTATATCGACATAATTTTAATCTGCTGAAACAGAACAATAAACAAAGTTTTCTTATTTTGACACATAATCTGAGGTGAGGATGGGATCTGTTTTATGCGTTCCTGGTTTTCTTTATTGGAAGTCGGGTTAAAAGTGTAAAATAAAAATATTTTTTTTCCAAAAAAGAAATAAAATACTTCTGTCTCCGTCTGTGTTTCTGCGTGTGGAAAATGATGCAAATATTTGTGTTTGCATAAATCTACTTTAATCTATGTCTTAAATAGGGCTCTATCACTGATACAATAATTTGAACATTATACACACACTACATTTCAAACCAATAATAAAATAAATGACATTTTTGTGATTTTTGGGGTCAGGAAATATTGACATTCTAACCTAATTATTGCATTTTAAGGGTTAAAATGAGTTGAAAAGAAAAAATATCAAAATATGAATCAGAAAAGGAGGCTTCAAAGAAAAATGATAAAAACGTTTAAGAAAATGTGAATCCTATACTTTTTCATGATGAAATAAATGTAAAATTGTCTTTACGTGAGTGTTTTATAGGGAAGATAGAGGGTTCACCCAAGAGAATAATAAACCAAAATAACTCATGATTATTGTGGATTGAGGACACGCAAACACAAACACTGTATATATATATGTAAGGTACAGGGCCACCACATACAACAACATGCATTTAATTACATTTCCAGGCATCTTCATTGGTTTGTATAGGCCACTTTGATCGTTATGAGTTTTTTGGGGCTAACATTTTCAAGCAGTTATTATAAGTATAGTGCATTAAGTCACTTTTCAAAGAGATTCCAAAATGTTCCGCAGAACAACATCAAACCGATCCATGTTCATATGTTTGTATTGCTTAAAGAGTTGTTTTTACTCTTGACAAAAGACATTTTTAACAGAATATTGAGTATTAATATTACAAGCAACCGCCAGCCAAGTGACCCAGGGCAGCTTTTACTTTGCCAAAATCTATGTTATTGTTGTGAGTTTTAGCTTCTAGAATAAAACTACAGACGTATATGTATCCACGAGGGTGAGAAGGGAAGAGAATAAGGGAGTGATTGGAATTTGGGGAAAAAGTCCTCAAAATGAAAGATAAAACTCATTAAATGCTACTACGTCATAATTCCAATATATCATCGTTAGCAAACTATGGTATAAACTTATTATCACACAAGTTTTAGTTCTTGCAGAAAAATTAAATGGAAACAACAGAGGTGAAGACTTGGCTTGGAGCTTGTGATAACTAACTGTGAGAGTAATATGTGCACTTTCTGTCTATTCAATTATCTTGAACAACAACTTGAGAACAATCTATGCTAGTTTTAGGTAGTCCATATGTGTATGCAGAAGTATGGCTTTTTCAGGCATTCACAATGACATGTCTGATGGTAAATGTATTGGTATAGATTCAGGGGTTTTCAGTTCTGCTCTCAAAAGTGGCTGCAGGTTTTCATTCCAACAAAGCAGAATCATAAGAGACTCTAACCATTTCCTCAAGTCTCAAGGACCAGACTGGACACAAGTGAGGAAATAGGTGGAGTCTGCTGTGCTCCTGCTTAGTTGGAGTGAAAACCTGCAGCCACTCTCGCCTTTTGAGAGCAGAGCTGAATACCTCAGATATACAACAAAATATTTACCCTCAGAAAAGGCCTGTAAAAGCCCTATTTATATACCCATAAATATTAGCATAAACTAGCATAGATAGTTCACAAGTTGTGGTTATCCTCCAGCATTATTTCCCATATTGTGAGGCTAACCTGCTAAATTTGCTCTGGATTTTTTGCCAAAATAAAATGATGCTTCCTTTATTTAAAGTCTAGCTATTGTGCAAGTCCAATCCCAATCATTTCCATTCTCATACAGTCACTCAAAGTGGATTTAGATGCATGCATATTTGAGTACTTCCACAATCCCCATTTTAAACGCCATTCAAACTTACTCTTCTCCATGTTCTTTCCCATCATTCTTTTTCCTAAATCTGTGATGAGGGGGCGATCCCACAGCGTTGCTCAGGCATCAGGCATTTTGTCTCAAATGCAAATAATCTGTTTGTTGCTGCTGTGTTGGAACGCTAACTTTTACTTGCACACAAAAGCCAGAACTGGACACTGACCCAGCACAATTCTCAGCATGTCATTAAGTAAGCTATAAATATCCCATAGATTTTAATATAGATTTTAATATAGAAGACAAAAGGCACAATGTCTTCTTCTTGTATAATTATCCTTTAACGTTATAACTTGCAATATTATCAGTTTTCCAATACTTCCCCCAGCTATATCGGACAACGGCTTTCAAATTCTTGCTCTAATTTTGAGTTTCCCTCAAATACGAGCCCGGTTTGAGGCTTTATGAGATCATGCTAGGGGCGGCGCTGTACAGGACTACATCTCCCATGATCCTTAGCAGCGTGACCTCCTCCAGGCCACCCACTCTGTGCTCGTACTCCAGCAGGTGAGTGCCGTCCACCGCCACCTTGAACTCGTCCTCGTCCACCAGGATCTTCAGCTGAGGAGAGAGAGAGAGAGAGAGAGAGAGAGAGAGGGAGGGTCAATGTCAATGTCAGATTTATTTGTATAGCACATTTTACAACATACAACAGAGACCAGAGTCTAGAGAGAGAGCAGAGAGAGAGAGAACAGACAGACCAGAGAGAGATACAAGAGAGAGAGAACGGAGAGAGAAACCAGATAGAGAGTAGAGAGAGAGACACCGGAGAGGCCAGTGAAGTGAGGCCAGCACAGGGTTAATGTGCTCTCTCTTAAATGTCATTGTGAGTAAGCGAGCAGCATTCTGGAACGAGTTACTTTAGATGGATTTCATTACATCTTTTTGTGGTTTGAACGTTTGGTACCCCAGCTTTACGTCCACGAGATTAAGACAACAAGAAAAATCTACATGATATGGGAACAGAAGCTTGGGCACTGACCTCAAACCTCTGTCCCTGCACAAATGGGAAATAGCCGTCTCGCTCCTCTGGGCCCCAGAATCCTCCCAGGTTCGAGTTCCTGACGATGGTGTTTTCAGGGAAGCGAGGGTTTAAGTGGAACACCACGTCTGAGCCCTTTATCAGGTCGACCTGGAACCTGCACCAGAACACACACCAGAATTATTATTATGCACCGTTACCAGCTACAACTAATGGTTAAAGACTAGGGCTGTCAAAGGATTAATTTTTTAAATCGAGTTAATTACAGCTTAAAAATTAATTAATCGTAATTAATCGCATTTCAAACTATTGGCAAAATTATGCCATATTTTTCTGCAAATTGTTGTTTGAATGGAAAGATAAATGACAGCTTAGTGAACATATGTACTGTATTTGTTTGTTATAACAATAAATCCATATAAAAAATGGAATTAACATTATTAACATTCTGTCTTTCTATTTAGACTCCATTGTTTGTTACAGATGAGGGACATTTCAAAATAGTCTGAAATGCAGAATGTCATTAAATCTGTTTGATTTGCTCACACCATAAGTTTTTTTGGCACAACCAACATGAACTGGTAGTCGAAAGGAAAATTAGGTACCTCAACTTTAATTTAGCAAGTGCGCTTCGGGAGAAGACACGAAGGAGACTGAGACTCCGCAGTCCAGCTTCAGCGCTGTACATATTGTGTGCATCGGTTACGCAAAGACACGTACGCACACTAGAGAATAGTTTGTAATAGTTCTGTGCGTGGTCTTGGATATGATCCCATTGCGCCGTTCGCCGTGATCACAGCCGCTGGAAGTGGGAACTGCTATCCAGAGCGCTGTGGCGCCCGCAGCTCATCATGCAGAGTTCATACAGGAAACTACAAGTGCCCCGCGGTCACGCGTGTATTCTTTCAAAACTTGAATTCCCAGAGGGCCTACCTGCTCTGTCCCCATCTTACACACGCGCATGTGTCCGTGGCATTGTGAGTGTTATTATGGGACGCATGGGCATGCGTCAAATGCGTTAATTTTTTTAACGATTAATGAAAAAAATTAATTAACGTGCGTTAACTCGATAATTTTGACAGCCCTATTAAAGACATTTGGAAAAACATGCATTCCGAGCCAGGACCTAGAAAAACTCCCGAATCACCTCTATTTTGTTGCCAAAAATGTCTGCCCTTTCTAGTTCTGTGCTAGCCCCAAAAACGAATCCAGAATTTGCATTTTAGCTAAATCCTGGATGTATTACGTTATCTGAATAGGGGTATCTCTATTTCTCTTTCTGGTCGCTCTCTAGGGTATGATTGGCCTGAACGTTCTAGTCTGTCTCTCTCTCTCTCTCTCTGATCTCCCTTGCTCTGGTCTCGCTCTCTTTTTGTAACATACCGTGTAACGTACTGTGACTTTAAGGGGCACATTCTTACCTATCTGCCCCAGGTACAGGTTCACCCACAATTGTGATTACAAGGTTGGGCATTATTCCAGCGTGGAGCGGAAGGTCGAACGGCACCATCTGAAACGAAAATGAAATCATCAAACTATTCATTATTCCAACTTAATGAGACTATCTGATAATTTACCATGAGGGAAATCCATAGGGAATACATAAGTCATTGATAAACAAAGATAGCAGCTTGTGACATAAACGCTCAAATTACTTTATTGCAGATTATAAAAGTGTGGTTAAACATTAGTGCTTTTGCCAGTTTTCTGCACATACGCCCAATGACTCACTAAAATCCAACACAGGAATGACGATCAAAGTCCAGTGGATAGAAAAGTTACTTTAGATATACTTTCAAACAGAAAGCAGTGAATATAAGAGGATTATATATACACAAGCACAACAGGTTTAGTTAATAACATAACATCAAAGCAAATGTAGAATACAGCAGTCAGCAGGAACATATGTATTACATATAGAGAGGTTTCATATAGAGAAGAAATATTATGAATTATTTCTGTCCATTTTGTCTTTAAGATGATTGTGAAAAATATTTACTTTGGCTTTTCATAGTTTTAGACAACTTCTTAAATAGAAAATCTGTGGATAAACAATCTAATAGAGACAGAATCTCTTTAGTAGAATCTGGTCATTACATGCAGCCATTTTCATCAACACGAAGAACATAATTTAACTGGAAAAATGCCAAAAATGGGAGGAAATACTTTGGTTTTATTGGCAAGAAATGTCTACATTAAATAGTCTATGGATCGTCATTTCTAGACCATCCTGTAAAGCCGGTTTTGAGAGAAAAGTAGACGCCTTACAAAGGCATTGGGTAATTCTTATTCCGGGTCCACCCCCACTGGCCCCAAGGTGAGGTTGCAAGCATGTCAGCACACATGCTCATGGACCTTTTGGAGCCGAGACCCGCCCCACTGGTAATAACACCATAAAGATAACCATTAGCATAATATGTATCCTTTAAAAAGATCAAGAGGGAAAGACAAGACAAACATTACTTAAACAAAGACAGACAAACAAAACTTAAAAATCGCATTGACACTCCAAAATGCTACTTTGTAATCTTTCCTAAACTTTCCTAAACTTACTGACAATATTCTTGGCTTGAGTAATAAACAACCACATTCCAAATTAATTCTTATTAAGATATTGCACTTAAATTACAAGACATAAACTATATTTATTTATATGATAAGTGAAGTTTCTGAAGTGCTGGTGTCCCTGGTGATAAAGCAGTTGATCGGTCAGTATCGAGGAGGATAATATCCAGGCTGCAAAACAAAAGAAGGCATTAATTATGACAAATATTAGATGAAAATGGGGAGTTATTTATGTATATTTCCCAGCGCAGCAGAGCCTGAAGAGGAGGGTGACAGTGGATGAAGTAGGAGTTAGTCTGAAACCTGGGAATCACATTGAGGTTCTTTGAATTCATAATGGAACGTTAAAGTGGCAGTCCTCCCCCATGAACTGCCACCTTAATGTGGTGGGGGAGTTTGAGTACTCGGATGATCCTAGGAGCCATGTTGTCTGGGGCTTTATGCCCCTTGGGGCCTCCCATGGCATACAGGTCCAAGGTGAGGAGTTACGCAGTCTGAAATATTCGGCCTCACCTTCACACACAGTTTGGGCTCGGAACCTAAGTTCTTGAGAGAGGTTGGATGCTCCATGTGTTAGAGTCCTCCCCGATGAATGAGTGGGTTAGAAAATAAATACTAAACTATTACAAAACGGCAGCCCAACCTTAATTCAAACAACCACCAGTGTGATCTGTGAAAGAGCTGGGCTAGTCTCCACAAACTTAAAGATGGCCGATTATATTGGAACAGTCCAGTATGAAGCCAAAGTGGTGTCAATGCGAGTTTCCCAAATCACAAAAAGAAAGCGTTATTATCCACCTGCTGCAGTTTGTGACATGCAAAGAGGGGTTAAGTAAGGAAAGTAAGAAGTTTGTTAAGCACAACTTAACATTAAAACAAGACCTTTTAAACCAGGGGTTTCAAACCAGTCCTCAACCTTAACCTGAAGACTTGAGGAAATGAGAGTCCTGCGTGCACCTGCTTGGTTGGAAATCCTGCAGCCAAACCAGTACTTTCTGGAAGCATTTTGACACCCCTGTTTTAACTAAAACCACCTCAAAAATACACTTATATATGAACTATTCGACCATTGTCAAACACCAGAGACAGAGACGCTACACAAAGCCCTGTATGTATCTAGTTTGAAGTCCCATTCATAAACAGCTGTGATTTAAAGTTTACACTACCAACTCTAGATTTCATTTTTTAGGCCATTATTCGGACATTATGAATGAAATCACTTCATTCTCATTGTTAATGGCCGTGTGAAGCCATTCATTGTCAAATATATTTGTTTTCAATATTCAAGCTATAACATAGATCCGGGGAAAAAAATCTACCTGGGTATGTAAACTTTCAAGCACAACTGTAAATGTCTAACTACAGTGGTGAAAACAAACAAAATCCAGAACCCATGCATCCATTCACATAAACATTGGTCTCTGAATATTCCCTGACTGAGCTGAAAGTCTCAGGTAGTCCAGATAAACTGGAAATATTCCTAGAAATAAGCCAGATTTTCTACAATTCTGAAGTAATTTTGCCATTCTCATAAACATTAGTTCCTCAACCTTACCTCACTGGCTCTCTCCATTAGATAAACTGGAGACTTACTGTCCAGACAGACATTAAAATGCAGTGAATGGCTCTAATTACATAAACTCTCCTCCTGGGAAATATGAGAGGACTTGGTGGATCTGTTATTGTGTATTGCATGTTTTCTTTGACTCCTTACCCCAGAAAAGCCATCCACAGACCCCACAGTTCACACAGCAGAAAGCAAAAGCCCAGCTCAGGTTTTCTATCAGTGTCTCTCACCATGGAACCTCCGTATGGACCCGCGGGACCGGGGCCAAACGGACCAGGAGCCGGAGGGAAGCCCCCAGCTGCAGGTGCCCCCCACGAGCCTGGGGGGATGGGGGGGAAACCTCCAGAGGGGAAGGGAGGGAAGACGTCAGGGCCCGGAGGAAATGCACCAGGAGCTGATAAGTAAGAGGAGAACCAGGTTAAAAATATACAACATTAGCATATAATTGACAATTTTTTTCTATCGTTATTTTTGATGTTGTCACTTGTTTATAGTAATTGTATTATTAGGCTATATTCTAAACACAGATGGTCCAAAGACATGAAAGAAGACAGGACAGAAAACAAAGATTTCAGACACTAAACAGTTGGGGTGTCAAACGGTCCTCAAAGGGCAAGTTTTCATTCCAACCAAGCAGGAGCACATCAGACTCCACCCATTTCCTCAAGTCCTCAGGTTTAGACTGAACTCACTTGAGGATATGGGAGGAGTCCTGTGTGCTACAATGAACCAAAAGCATTACTTTTTTTTATTAAGTACCTTCTGGATTTTAAGGGTACTTTTAAATAAGCCACACAACCTATTTTTTTAAATACAATGTCCGTTTTAAATGATAAGAGATAACAACTATCTATGAAGCCAGCTTCGTCCAGTTACCTCCAGGTTGAGCTCCGGGGAAAGGCACATTGGGGTAGGGTCCAGCTGGTGCTCCTGGCCCGGAAGGGAAGGGTCCAGAAGGGTAGGGCATGGGGCCTCCAGGCAGCTGTCCTGGGACAGCTTCTGGGGGGTAGTGTGGAGGGAACTGGCCTGGAGCTCCTGGGCTGGAGGGGAACTGCCCCGGAGCACCAGGAGGGAACTGTCCAGGTCCTGTCACAGAAACACAACATGAAGACCTATAACTGAAGAGCCCGTCACTCTTTGTAGGAGGAACAGGTGCTGGATAAAGCAAAGTGTATTTTGGCTCAGCCAAAACATCCTCTGATTGCTGACTTGATGATGGCGTTGTTTTAATGGTCCAGCTCAGAGAACACATGTTTTTTTTCCAATTCTTATGTGCCCTCTGCTATAAAACTGACTCACTGAGGCCCTGCTTAGGCTCAGTGTTTAGGCTCGTTATTGCAAAGCAAGTAGCAATAACGACCAGGCTTCTTATTCAAGTCCACAGCCTTTTTATGACAACGGAAACTAATGTAGTTCGAGCCCCCGATCAGTAGTGGGCAGTGGAACGTTACAGCACGACACGGAGTCGTGTTCGTGTAGAGTCTTTGTTCTGCTCTAAAATTCTGCAGCAAATTAATTGCCCTTTTGGATTAATAAAGTTTCTGAATCTGTTAAGACAAAACTTTACAGTGAGAACAAACTAGGAATGACACATGAACACACAGACTGAGCAAACATATGATGAATCCCTATACAAACTGGGTTTCTTTGTGTGTGAAGTGTACTAAAACCTCCATGCATTCATTTTATACCCCTTAATCCATTTCTGGTCAGGCTACATGAGTATGGCTGCTCTGTCAGTGAGAGCATAGCCTTGATCTTTCAGCGGGGGATTTGTATTAAAACAAAATTTGCCAATAAGTAATAACCTAAAAGTGGACATAGTGATGTTGTTGAAAATCTTACCTGGAGCACCGGGCCCTGGAGGAGGGAATCCCCCGGGGGCTGAGTATGGAGATCCAGAAGGGTACTGTCCCGAGCCTGGGGGCTGTGACGGGGCGCCAGGAGCAGAGCCAGGCCAGCCAGGGTTTGAGGGCGGGGCAGATGGATTTGTGTTCCCTATCTTTTTGGCCTCTTTGGGAGTGTCATCTCCTAAAGCGTCTGTCAACTACACAGAGACAAGATTACATTAAAAAACTATTACAGAAACAATTTTAGCGGCAATATGTGAATCTATTGATATTGAATTATTTTGTGTCTCTTACTACTGTCCTGTATGTGTGCTGCAACATTGGGATTTCTCCACTGTGTGACAAATGTTCTTTTATCTTATTATCTTAAGATACAGTATTTTACAGACGTCATGTTGAGACGTATTTAAATTATTCTGTATTTGCAAAGAAAATTAAATAAAAAGAAAGGTGGTCATTAAATAAATAAATTCCAATAATTAAAGATAAAGATGGCTCTTTCCTCTTTTCAGCCAATTTCTTTTCACTGCTATTCATGGAGTTATTGTTCACTAATCTTGTGCTGTGTGCTCCTCATTCCTACTGATCTGTAACTTATGATGCAACACTGAAATTTCCTCACTGTGGGACAATTAGGATTGAGACATTTTTGTTTTGTTTGAGTTTTCAAGTAAGTATTCAAAAATATAAATTATATATAGATAAATTAATATATCTTTTATTCAAGGTGAGTGACAAACAATGGCTGTGCCCTGTGTTAATGAGAAACTACATAAATAGATAGATACTTTATTGATACATTCTGACAGCTGAAGGAACAAAGGATCTCTTAAAACGTTTTGTTCGGCAGTGCAGTGATATAAGCCTGTTGCTACAATTACTCCTCTGAGCAGCCATAGTGTCATACAGAGGGTGTCTGGAGTTACCCAGGATGCTATGATGTATTGATGTCTGATTGTACAGGAGCAATATCATCTCAAGGGTCTTAAGTATTACCTTTTCTTCAAACATATTGAAGCCTAATCCAATACATATTATATAAACTATGATTAACAGTAGAAAGATCTTTGGTCCTTTCTTTCCTTTGAACCATCATAAATATTTCAAAACTTACACTTCAAAAAAATAGTTTCAAGATTTAGATAGAAAAAACATAAAAAATAATACATGTAACGCTACTTACCGAGAACTCTGACATGATCTGCAGAAAGAAAAAAAAAACAAGCAGAGAAAGTTTATCCAGTTGTCGTCATAATAACACAAGCTGTCAAAATACAACTGGGAACTGTGAGTAAGAGAAGGGAGTAGTAATTATTTCCATTCTGAGCCTACGGACAAGTAAAAAGGCCTTCAGTCACCACAAATCAATGGCGAAATTACTTGATAAATTACAATAAAAACGACCCGGATTGTAGATAATACTTTGCTTATTCAAACATACACTGCATACCACAAGCGGCTAACCGTAGCGGCTAACAGTGACAGATCGCTAGCATGTTTTTAGAATCTTAAAATGTAAGTAGCGATCAAAATGACTGTTTTGTAATACCTGGCTTGGGTGGTGAAACAAGAGAAGCAGCAACAGTTGTGATTTATCCAAAAGGAAGTCTGTTCGCTGCAAGTTTCATCTACCGAGGAGGAGCATGGAACTACAGAAGCTAGCTCCCGAAGAAGTGACAGAAAACTACAACCCGGAATGCGGAAGTGTAATGTTGTTCAGGGGGCGGGGATTTTACGCACGTAGAAATAAAAATGTTTCAACAGTAAATAAACGACGTACGATTATTATTATTATATTGTATTTATTATAATTTCACACACTTAACTACCATAAATATTTATCACAAATATATACACAAATATAAAAAAAAATCTGGCTCAGTTGGTAGAACATTTGCACATTTAAATATTTGCAACGAAGGGAAAGTATATTTTATTCAAATCAACCACTAATAAAGATTAGTGTAAATAAAATCATAATAAATGTAGTAACGTAGAGATGGATTCGCTGTGTGGGATCGGCCAAACTCCGTCACAAGATAATCAGAAAAAAATCAACACACAAGAGTCGACCAGAGCAGCAGCCTCAGCTTCAGGAACTACTCAGCAACAATGGTGAGTTTATTAGAAGATTTACGGCACGAACACGGACTGGGTGGGTCGGTCACAATCCACGTCCAAAAGCGTTGATTAATTTGTGAACGTTTCAGACTCGACCGCAGAAAAATAAAGTCTTGTCTGGAATTGTCTGTTGTTAGCGCTTTAGCCTAGCATCTGTGAAGATAACAGCGTTAGCAAGAGTCAGCTTCCGGGTTTCATTTCAAAATATAAGGAAATGTGGCTGTAAAGTTCCCAATTGTCTTTGTGTCTGTTGGAAAGAAACTTCACCCTCATTGCCTAGTGTGTGTGTGTGTGTGTGTGTGTGCGTGTGTGTGTGTGTGTGTGGTCGGAAGAGTCAATTGCACTGACTGGTTGCCTCTTTTTTATCCGTGTGCCCCAGGGCAGCCGTGGCTACACTAGTAGGTTATCTCCATCATGTTGGGAGGGAAAACATTAGGACATGTGAAGTGTCTTTGAGTGTCCTAAAGAAGCACTATACACAACTAATGTATTATTATTATTATAATTATCACACAGTTAAAAATTCACAAGAAAAATTACAACCATATCCAGAGCTGGCAGAAGCGAAGCAACCAGTATGTGTCAGTTGCTGACTGAATTTTTCTCTAAATGTTCTTTTTTATAGCAGATACTAGTGATGGGTTGATGAAGCTTCATGAAGTGTTGAACCTTTTCATCCATTGGTTCGAGAAAAGGTTCATTTCTTGATGCTTCATATGCTCACAAACCTCCTGTTGGTCAAAATCTGTATTGACAATTGAACTGTTTGTGAGGCTCTTGCGCATAGGAATTAATACTGGTAACAGAAATAAAAATGTAATTTGATTGTGTATGACCCATTAATTTATCTGTTTCATTATGATCAATACACACACACACACACACACACACATACATATATGTAGATATATATTTATATACATATTTAATGATGAATGATTATAGCTTTTCAAGTCAAAATCAATGTTATAAATCCAATAGGACAACAAACATGTTGAAAGTGTAAGTGCTTTTCAAAGGACGTGACACAAATGGGGATATCATTTGGGATTGTGACCCCATCAGTTGTTTAAAACCAAAACATTTCTGACAAAATTCTTTCTCGTGTATTTACATCGACGCACTCCCGGTGAGATTCGAACCCCGGTCTCCCAGGTCCCAGCCCTGCTTCCCTATCAATTGAGCCAACCAGCTGATACCTCAACCTTCTCCATCACTGACTACATTAATCACCAAAACAAACACACAGTTTGAGCGGATCTTCTGCAGTACTTCATGAATTGCTCCATTTCCTGTGCTCCCGAGGCTTCAAACGTCATTAGTGACGTCACTCATCTAAAACAACTCAGGCTTCGGCCCGCGCTCCGATAAAAACTTCAGGGATTTCTCGGCTCACGCCCCGAAGCGCCGACGCGGCACGACCCATCACTAGCAGATACCAACATCACACCTATATGTCCTCTGGATCATTCTACTATTTAATGCCTTTTAAATATATTGGTATCAAAATATGTCTAAAGTTCATATTTTCATGAACATGCTTTTACTTTTAAAACACTCTCCTCCACTTCCTGTTTCCTCTCTTTGCTCATGTCTGCAGGATTTCACAATGATGTTGCTTCTTCCTGTCTTGGTATTTGGCTGCGTGTCTTGACAGCTTCTCAAGACTCGAGCCTTTTTAGGCAATTTTTCAAGTCATTTCTGGTTTACTGTTGAAGCTGTATCTCTCTTCCACTCTTTGTTGCTTTGTTAACAGTGCAAAAATGCGAATCTTGTGGCTTATCTTGCAACGTTTTTGCTCTTCAATTACCCCTGCTTCCTGATTTTTTTTTCTGGTCTCTCAAGCTTGGCACATTCTAATCTTGAAATCTACTTTGCAAGCATTACAAAAAAACCCCACAAAATTACTGAAATCCTCCCTCCAGCCATCTGCTCGGTCCACTGTAATACCGTTTTTGGGAGGTCTCCAAGTTAGCGCCTCGGCATCATGAGAAGATCAGAACTAAACACTAAAAAAAACACTATTATTGATTAGTATTATTATTAATCACAATTTATTTTTGCAGACTATTGCATAATGGCAACAAACTTATTACAAGATTATGACTACTATTAAAGAGATTTTAAATCGCAGCAGCCTTTGTCTCAGAGGCAGAGTCACCAACAACAGATTAGAGAATAAAACACATAGAAGCCATTGGTCCATAGGGAGTGGGGTGACAAATGTCTGTAAATGTTAATAAATGTACTTAAATGTTCAAGATCATTATCACTGTACTTAGACCCTCCTGCATCTTTGGTGAGGTCCACGTTGAGAGAGTGATGGCCACGCTATAGATCCAGGACTCAGACTGTAGAACGAGAACTGGGGTGTGTGGTGCAACACAGTATATCGCCTTTTTAGGAGGAGTAGAAGCAACTCCATGTGAACGAGTGCTCAAATAGTTTTCCATGATTTCTGTTCAATTTCTTGTTATAGATTTATATTAATTTTCAAATAACAAACCCACATATACACACACAGTTTTAACACATTACTACACATTAACATGGACCAGTGGACTCACTCCTTCACTGTGTCCAACTTCCTTCAGCTAAGTTTGTGTAAGCCCTCAGTCGTACAGGGATTAGTCAAAGCAAAGGAAGGTTTCTCACCCATCATCTGTACTTCTTAGCAAGTTTTCCCGACGTTTCGTCCTCAACCTGGGGACTTCTTCAGGGAATGAATTCTCAGACCGCGCGTTGGAGATTTAAATCTCCGCGCGTTGGAGATTTAAATCTCCAACGCGCGGTCTGAGAATTCATTCCCTGAAGAAGTCCCCAGGTTGAGGACGAAACGTCGGGAAAACTTGCTAAGAAGTACAGATGATGGGTGAGAAACCTTCCTTTGCTTTCCTTCAGCTAAACGCAGACAACAAAGAGAGAGCGTCATCTGTCACCAACAGTCTCCCTCCCTAAAACCTTCAAACAAGGTCAGAAATCAAGGGGTAATACTGGACTCAGACTTAAGTTTTATTGTATAATTTTATTTATCACATAAAATCAGTAACATCAGCAGCTTTTTACCATCTAAAAAACATTGCCAGGATCAAAAACATAGTGTCTAAAGCAGACTTGGAGATTCTTGTCCATGCATTTGTCTCCAGTAGGTTAGACCAGTGTTTTTCAACCTTTTTTGAGCCAAGGCACACTTTTTTCACTGAAAAAATCTTGCGGCACACCTCCAGGAGAAAATGTAAAAATGTATACAGTACTAATGTAAAAATATATACTGTACATACTCTGTGTGATATATAAAGTATATCTTATCTTATCTTATAATGTATACAGTATACTCTGTAGCCTATATTCACAATATACAGTTATTCTCATCAAAATGCTTAAGTCCAGGCCTTGACATTAAGCTTTATTTAATATTTCTAGATACAATTAACAAGAGTTTGGGAATAAAGTGGCACTAACTGTGTGGAAAAAAACTAAGAAAATCCACTCTCTGTCCAAATAGTCAAATAATAAGTCACACAAAGAACATGCATTGTTAGTGCATGGGAAAAATTTAGGTATCCGAGCTTTAAATTCAGGAATTTTGGATGAGGGACACGGGAGGTCCTGAACGCGAGTCCATGGTTCTGTCCGGTCCGCATGTCTGTGGTTCTGTCCACTCGACTATGGTCTGCGCTCGGTACCCAGTTCAGAAGTGCGTTCGCGAGAGCTGTTGTACAAAAATTGTACATTTCATAGTTAAACCACAACAACGCGGCCACAGCTGCCCCGGGGCAGAGCGGAGGGTGTTAATCCTGTTCAGAAACGGCATAATTAATTTTCAAAAACGTCTCTATCACTTTCATACGGAGCCCTGCAAGGGCCAGGGGTAAAAAAAAAATAAACTGTGCGCACAGATTATTCCACTGTGCGCACAGATTATTCCACTGTGCGCACAGATTATTAAACTGTGCGCACAGATTGTTAAACTGTGCGCACAGATTGTTAAACTGTGCGCACAGTTTAACAATCTGTGCGCACAGTTTAATAATCTGTGCGCACAGTTTAGTAATCTGTGCGCACAGTTTAGTAATCTGTGCGCACAGTTTAACAATCTGTGCGCACAGTTTAACAATCTGTGCGCACAGTTTAACAATCTGTGCGCACAGTTTAACAATCTGTGCGCACAGTTTAACAATCTGTGCGCACAGTTTAACAATCTGTGCGCACAGTTTAACAATCTGTGCGCACAGTTTAACAATCTGTGCGCACAGTTTAACAATCTGTGCGCACAGTTTATTTTTTTTTTTACCCCTGGCCCTTGCAGGGCTCCGTACTTTCACTTCTCACTCGCCACAAAGCTCTTGTCTCGCTCCCTCCCACATTTGTTGGTCGCATCCAATTTTACCTTTCTCGCCAGTTTAGACAGTTTAGTAATCTGTGCGCACAGTTTAGTAATCTGTGCGCACAGTTTAGTAATCTGTGCGCACAGTTTAGTAATCTGTGCGCACAGTTTAGTAATCTGTGCGCACAGTTTAGTAATCTGTGCGCACAGTTTAACAATCTGTGCGCACAGTTTAACAATCTGTGCGCACAGTTTAACAATCTGTGCGCACAGTTTAACAATCTGTGCGCACAGTTTAACAATCTGTGCGCACAGTTTAACAATCTGTGCGCACAGTTTAACAATCTGTGCGCACAGTTTAACAATCTGTGCGCACAGTTTAACAATCTGTGCGCACAGTTTAACAATCTGTGCGCACAGTTTAACAATCTGTGCGCACAGTTTAACAATCTGTGCGCACAGTTTAACAATCTGTGCGCACAGTTTAACAATCTGTGCGCACAGTTTAACAATCTGTGCGCACAGTTTAACAATCTGTGCGCACAGTTTAACAATCTGTGCGCACAGTTTAACAATCTGTGCGCACAGTTTAACAATCTGTGCGCACAGTTTATTTTTTTTTTTACCCCTGGCCCTTGCAGGGCTCCGTACTTTCACTTCTCACTCGCCACAAAGCTCTTGTCTCGCTCCCTCCCACATTTGTTGGTCGCATCCAATTTTACCTTTCTCGCCACAATGCTGACCTGTTACAGCCAGTGGTCGCATCCAATTTTTCAGTTTCAAAGTACTTAGCTATCTGCTGCCATCTACTGATTTGAAAAAGTATTACATGGTTATTCCACAGTTCAAAACAAGTCACCGCTCGTCAACAGCGAATGCAGTTATTTTTAGACAAAGTAGACGAATTTCTCACGGCACACCAGACAATATCATACGGCACACTAGTGTGCCGCGGCACAGTGGTTGAAAAACACTGGGTTAGACTACTGCAATGGCCTGCTCACGGGTCTGTCCAAACAGGCTGTAAAACAGCTGCAGTACATTCAAAATGCAGCAGCTCGAGTCCTGACTAGAACCAGGAAGTACGACCATATTAGTCCTGACTAGAACCAGGATGTACAACCACATTAGTCCAGTCCTCAGGTCTCTGCACTGGCTTCCTGTGGCTCAGGACAGACAGTTTAAAACAGCTCTGCTTGTGTACAAATCTCTCCATGGCCTCGCACCACAATATACATAGTGACATGTTAGTCCCATATGAACCAGCCCGGACTCTGAGGAGCACAGGGACTGGACTCCTGTTAGTGCCCAGAGTCAGAACTAAACATGGGGAGGCTGCTTTTCAGATTCATGCTGCAAAAATCTGGAACAATCTTCCTGAAGATGTGAGACAGGCCTCCTCTCTGACAATGTTTAAAACCAGGTTAAAGACAGTTCTTTTTAGCTGTGCATACAACTGAGGGATTTTATACAGTATTTGTATCTTTCTTTTTAATGTTCTGTGATTATTTATGATTTTAATGCTTTTAACTTTCTTATTTTGTTCAGCACTTTGAATTGACTTGTGTATGAATTGTGCTATACAAATAAACTTGCCTTGCCTTGCCTTACATTAGAATTTTTCTGTAATACTACTACTGTGGCTATAACTCAAGCCCATATTTACAACTATTTTTCTCTATTGAAATATAAAACTAAAAAAAAATGTTGTGTAGGATCAAAATAATTATACCAAGCTTTTTAAAGTAGATTTTTCACTATATTCCTCCTTTAAAAGTATCCAGTGTGTTGGTGTAAAGCCTTCCTCCTATGTGTTCTTTGTATTCTTAATGTAGTGATCTTGCATGCTGACACAGGCTCTCAATAGTTAATGCATTTGGTGTTAGTTAGTGTTAAGTTATTTGCTGAAGTGCACTTGCTGACGTGGTTCTAACGCTTTATGCATGTCCTCTTATTCCAGCCGAATAAACTTGCTTTGATAATTCATGCCTGTATGAGTATGCAGCGGTCAGAGACAATATAGAAAGAACTTACCCCAGGATGTCATGAAATAAAATAAATACATATTTATTTACAGTTTGTGTCTATGTCTCTTTGTCTGTCTCTCTCTCTATCTTTGTATTTTTTATTTGTTTGTTATATTGATATTTGTAAAGATATTTGTTATGGAGGTTCAAAATAAAAAATAATCTAATGTAGAAGGCCGCCATGAAATATAGTTCCAGGTTAAAAAGAAAAGTTCCCAATGACTGATGGCGTATTCTGTGGTGTTTCCCCTCAGAGCGAGTCACTGGTCGTGTGTCAAGTGTGCGATGACCTGTTGGGCAAAATCAAGAAGTTTCGCTTCCGGAAAGAGACCACAAATGCCGCCATCATCAGTGAGTGGATGGAGATTACAGATGGTCTCTCTCTGGTGTATCTCTCTGGTCTCTCTCTCTGGGGTCTCTCTCTGGTCTCTCTCTCTGGTGTATCTCTCTGGTCTCTCTCTCTGGGGTCTCTCTCTGGTCTCTCTCTCTGGTGTATCTCTCTGGTCTTTCTCTCTGGTCTCTCTCTCTGGTCTCTCTCTCTGGTGTATCTCTCTGGTCTCTCTCTCTGGTGTTTAGACTTAAAACATATAGCTGTATTTAAAAAAAACCTTGAGGAGTAATAATCGAATTCTAATGAATATTTAAATACATTGTTTGAAAGCATTGCTACAGTCGGTGAAGAGAGTTCATAATATTTACATGGGGTCAATTATATTGAAATATTTATATTTTCCTGGAGCCTTGTATTGATTTATTCATGCGTCCTGAACACTGGACTGTAGTTTGTTGTGTAAGTCCATGTCTCTTTTCGAGTGTAAAATATCAATCCCAGAAGCAGCAGTCAAAGCTGACTTCCTCCAGTTCATCTATATTATTGACTGAAACGGACATTTGTCCTTAAATCTTTCAGTGAAAATTGACAAAGAGAAGCAGCTGGTGGTTCTGGAGGAGGAATATGATGTAAGTGGATTTTTTCTTGGATTTTTGAAACAAAAAACTTTTATTTTTAAGACAACTTTATTTTTTTGCAGGATATTTCACTAGAAGACTTGAAAGACGAGCTGCCGGAGAGACAGCCCAGATATCCTTTGAGATAATAGGTGGTTTGATGGATGGGGAAAATATTTGAACTTGAAAAGCACCTGTAGAGCATATACCTCTGCCAAGAGGAACAGTTCCACTACTACTGCTATTACCAGCTGCTACGACGACTGTTGCAGCTACTACTGCTGCTACTAAGACTGCTGGAACTATTACTACTACTGCGGCTACTACGACTGATACTCTATATTTCTACGACTATTACTTCTGCTACTGCTATTACTGCTGCTATTACTATTCTACTACTACTACTGCTACCTTCCTTAGCGCGCCTCACATTCATCATCTACAGTTATAAGTACGTCCACGACGACAACCGTGTCTCGTACCCTCTGTGCTTCATCTTCTCCAGTCCAGTCGGTGAGTACAGATCTTTATTACAATACTAGTTTTATATCAAAGTTTTATACTACTTTTTATACTACTTTATACAACCCTGTTATCCTCAGCTTGTATGTAAAGTCACTGATGACGTTTTCTTTGTTCCGCAGGCTGCAAACCGGAGCAGCAGATGATGTACGCGGGGAGCAAAAACAAACTAGTGCAAGATGGAGAACTCACCAAGGCAAGTTTTGAATATGAATCTCTCCCAAAAACAGTAGAACATTTGCTTGAGGTGTACTGTTTGTCATGTGTCTTCCTTTGTGCTACTGCTACTGCTACTGCTACTGCTACAACTGTTGTTGTTCTGCTACTACTACTACTACTACTACTACTGCTGCTATTGTTGCGGCACGATGGCTGAGTGGATAGCACTCTCGCCTCTCAGCAAGAAGGTACTGGGTTCGAATCCCGGCCGGACCAGGGCCTTTCTGAGTGGAGTTTGCATGTTCTCCCCGTGTCTGCGTAGGTTTCCTCCGGGTACTCCGGTTTCCCCTACCACTAAAAATATGTACAATAGGTCTGGCATGCGCCTCCTGTTCGGCGACCCCGCTCCCATCTCTGTGTGGAGTGAGTGGACAAATGTAACCTTGCCTGCAAGCTGAATTCTCGCGGTATTTGTGAGTTCACAAACACTCAAGAATACATCTTGTACCGCTCCCGCTTACACTTTTCGAGTCGAACCACTGGGTGTGCGAGCCAATCACGCGCCAGTCTGGGGGTTTAGGGCGGGATATCCGGGTTTGACGAAAGCAAGAAGTGCCGGGCCGAAGCAAAACAAACATGGCTACGCAGGAGGACGGACGCGTAGCTGAGGCTATCAAGTCAGTTTTAGCAGAATCTCCAATTTCTTTTTTGAAAGATGAACAGCGAGAGGCGCTTTGTGCATTTCTGGACAGCAAAGATGTTTGTGCATTTTTACCTACGGGTTTTGTCAAACCTTGGTAGGCGGGCACACAGCGTCACTTCGCCCAATCAGCTTCAAGTATTCTGCTGCTTATCCCTCCTTTCCCCGAAAGGATTCTCCGGGAGAAATCCCAGATTGATATCGCGGAGAACGCGTTAGAGTTCTACACAATCATCAATCTGGCTCTTGCCAGGTTAGGACAAATGCCCAAAAAATAACAATTGTAAACCGCTTTGTGGCTCTGGTCTGTGAAAGGCGGTATATAAATAAAGCTTACTTACTACTACTACTTACTTACTAGTGTGTTTGATTTTGTCTTCCAAAAACGGTAGAAAGTGAGTCGTTTGTCCTGTGGTTTCCTGTATGCTACGACGACTGCCACTACTTCTACTACTGCTGCTACTTCTCTTGCTTCTGCTACTATTGTGTTTGATTTAGGGTCTTTGACATTGCACAAAAATCATATTCGAAGTTTGTTTGTTTATTGATTTAAATATTCAAATATTTAACCATAACATATTGATTATTAAATGCCTTCAGTAAGACCTTAACTTAGACAAAACCTAAGTTGTATTTTTAGTACTGTCAATCAAAGTCAATAAGCAGGTGGCGATGTTTTAATTTTTTAAATTGAAGATCAGAATACAACTTGGTCCATCGTATCCTGGTTTATTCTTTCTAAACCAAAGTACCGCCACACCATACTTTTTAGATGGCCACTAATCAAGGTGATTTTACCTTTTACACTAGCCCAGATGGCCACTAATAGCCCCGTTAATGAGCTCACAATTCACAACTTCACCAGAAAATATTGAAATTTGAAGTCAAAGCCCCTGTTTGATTTGGATCTTTTATTCTTTTCCAAAAACAGAAAAAAGTTGGGTTGAGGTCTAGCTGTTAGTCGTGTGTCTTCTAGTGCGCTGCTACTTTTGTTACTGCTACTGCTGCTACTACCAGTGTGTTTGATTTGGATTTATTCTCTCCCAAAAACAGTAAAAAGTTTGGTTGGCTATTTTGTTATGTGTGTTTGTTTGAGCTACTACTGCTTCTACTACTACTACAGCATATATGTCTTTCTGTGTTTTTTGTGTCTTCTGTTTATAGACTTCCCTCTTGTTTCTTGTTCCAGGTTTTCGAGATCAGAACCACGGAAGACCTGACCGAGGAGTGGCTTCGGAGTAAACTTGGATTTTTCCGCTGAATCGTACAGTTTTTGGGAAGTTTTGGAAATCCTTGCGGAAATTCAAAGTTCCCTCGTCTCTCCAGTACCAGATCAGTTCTCGAAATAGTGTTACAGTCACTTTTTGCTCGGTTTAGGGTTCCGATGGTGAATTTTAAAACAATTTGAAACCTTATAATGACAAAAATGTAAACAAAAATACATTTAAGATGCTGAGTTTGGTATAAATTTAGAAATAATTTAAACTTTGATTTGACTAAACCCACCATAAACATGACTAAACCATGACAGCAAATTAACAATTGATTTGAACTTATTTAAAGCTGGGGTATCTAACTTCAAAGCCACAAAAACCTCAATGATAACACTTATTAATATCCATCTAACTCATTTGGATTAATCTCTACGTTGTCACATGTATTTCTGACCTCTGTCACATCTTTAGATCGGCTTTTTCAGACAAAAAACTTAAACAGTCAATCATTTCTCAGCCCAAAGTGTCAAAAAGAGACTCACAGGGTTCTGTCTGTCAAGTATGCAACAGATAACATGTTTTCTAATGAGATGAAGACCTCAGGTGTGGTCGGAGTCTTTTTTAAAATTCAGAATACAAAGTTAGGGACCCCAGCTTTAACCAGAGACGAAACGAGACTAAAACCTTTACAACAGCCAAATCACAAGCATGATTCTCATTAATAGGACAACAAATGTATAAATGATTGAAATAACCAAGCTTTCTTTTTAGGTAAAACAAGAAATTGGAAACAAACAAAGGATCTCTTAATTAATTAGCCTTGAGGAAATGGTTGGAGTCTGGCGTGCTCCTTCTTGGTTGGAATGAAAACCTGCTGCCACGCCAGACTTTTTGAGGGCCGGGTCGAACAACCCTGATCTAAATAATGATTTAAAAAAATTCACCATTGGAAATCTGAACCTGAAAGTGATGCTATTGTTATCTTTCCATGTGCCAGTACGTGACTAACCTCTTTCTCAGCGAAGCGAAGACTAATAATAACCTGAATCTTCCTCAAAATCTTTCTCACAGTTTACACAATTTTTAGCCACTCATACCACTTTTGTTCACTTATTTTTGACACCATCCTAGTGGGATGTTGGATTTTAGTTGGAACATCTACTGATTTTAAATGCATAGAATATGAACTTGTACTGTATTGCTGTAAGGAGAAATGAGGTCCAAACTCATGTAGACGAGTTCATTTGACAATTAGCTGTGACAATGTTTAACTTAAATCTACCTCCTTTTTAAATGTACCCTGAAAGAACGGGCATTTTTATTCAAAAGAGGCAAACATTTCTGAAATCTCTCCAGTTCTTTTGAATAGGTTGTTTCAGTGGTCCCTTATTATAACACTTTTCACATTTTGCGGATTTTGCATGTTTTTCTTTCTCTCTGGTCCCTCTCTCTGGCTCCTCTCTCTGGCTCCTCTCTCTGGCTCCTCTCTGGCACCTAAAAAAAATCAGACCACTCCCTCTCTGGCCCCTCCCTCTAGTCCCCCTGGTCTCTCTCTGGCCTCACTTTGGTCTCTCTTTCTGGTCTGTCTCTGGTCTCTCTCTCTGGTCTTCCCATAGCCCTCAGTCCTGCTCCTCCAGCATCCTCTTCAGCTGTATTACAGTGCATGCACAGCTTTTGACAGCTGCAGCAGCGCTCAGACCTACAACCAACAGGTTTGATATTTGCTCCCTCTCACTTTAGCAGTCATGAGTTCAGGTGGTTAGGAAAGAGTATAAAGTGTGAGGGGTTTTACAGCCTTAAAACAGAGCTACTTTTTCCCGGATTTCACTTATAGTGTATTTTTTTTTTTTTTTTTTTTTTAGAACGTAACCCCCGCAATAAACAAGGGACCACTGTACTAGAATTCCGCTGAAATGATTCCCTTTTAAGCACTCCAGATACATAATGGCCTATGATTTTGTTTTAATGGAGCCAAAAAGTGCATTTGTGTGGAAAAATTACGACATCTTCTTGTGTAAAACAAACAAAGTTAAATGTCATATATTGTCTAAATACGAAATTCTGATCTGTTTTAAGTCTTGCAACACGTGAACTGCCTTGAATGATTCTAGAATAATAGAAAGCTGTAACGAAACATTAGATTTAAAGTGACAGTATTAACAATTTGTATGTTTCCCCAGACACAATTTTGATTATTATTGGCCTTTTCTGACTAAAATGTTACTGCTGATTTAGTATAATGCAGTTGACACAATTTGTTAACGTTTTATATTGTGGTTCTCAAGCTGAGTGTCCAACCAGAAACAAAAGAGTGTATATATAGATGGACAATGCTAAACCCCGAGCTAGCTCAATGAAGTTTGTCTCCAATGCGCTCTGGCCCCTGATTTAAGATAAGATAGACTTTATTGATCTCTGTTACATTGAAAAGAAAACTGACAAAGGTCCCCCAGTTTTAAAGCGGCTATTTTCTCATCACTGGATCTATATGTTTAGTCTTAAAACAATTTAAAATCATAGACTAGTTGGAAGATAGTCCATGGCCTAGTTTATCTATGGTCTATGTGACAGCTCCGGTGGCTCATACATTTGATACACGTTTTAACCTCCAGGTCCTGAGACTTACCTAGTTTTTCATTTGTATTATCATCCATTGAATCTTAAAGCTTAAATTACAAACATGAAAACATATTTGACTGTTTTTTATTTTTTCAAACTCTTCACAAAATCAAACATTCCAAGAAAACCTCAAGTCATTTTTCCAACAGGGTTTTTTATGCCAGTTACTGTGCTGGGAGATTGTGTATGTATAGCTAATAATATTATTAGTGTTTTTAAATGTTTTTGCCGAGCTTTCACTCTGAGAATCAGTGGGAGTTTTCTTCGGTCAGGATTCAAAACATTGATAAAATACATTCAACGTATATGGGGAAAAAGGATACCTGTCCATTTATTAGGCTCGACTTTTAATGTATGTGTACGAGACAATTTTGAATATTTAGTTGTATCTCTTTGGTTGTTAAAATGACCACTATCCAGCCACTGAAAATTAATGCCTTTTCTACACATAAATTGGTGAATGTGTTGTGTTATAATTGTTTGAAAAATATGGCTTTGTTAAGGGACTAACACTTTTGTTTTGTACTTATCTGTCTTGTCAAATTCTAAAAAGCACAATATTGCTAACGTCATGTAATAAAAAAATACATGTTTGCGTCAATTTGGTTCATATGAGATCTCTACTCACAATCAACTATAGTCAGTCACTGGGGGTTTGGATTCTGGTTTAATTTATTGGAAGAATTTAATGGGATATTTCAATGTACAGGTTTGCGCTAGCATGTACAAGAAATTTAGTAAGTAAGTAATCTTTATTTATATACCGCCTTTCACAGACCATAGTCACAAAGCGGTTTACAATTGTTACTTTTTTGGGCACTTGTCCTCTCACTCCACACAGAGATGGGAGCGGGGTCGCCGAACAGGAGGCGCATGCCAGACCTATTGTACATATTTTTAGTGGTAGGGGAAACCGGAGCACCTGGAGGAAACCAGGTGAACATGCAACAAACATATTGCATGTTGAACAAACGCAGACACAGGGAGAACATGCAAACTCCACTCAGAAAGGCCCTGGTCCGACCAATTTCACGGACAAGTTATCATAGATCCATGGTAAGCATGTGGACCAATGATGCTAGCTCTGATTGTTTATAAACTTGCTTTCAACATGGATGCCAGTTTTACACCAATATAGCCACAGTTAGTGAAGGAAAAGAGTAAAAATAGATTTAAGTTCAATATGATAACCTGTCGTTTTAAGTTGATAAATCCTTATGTCTTACTGTGAACCCTGACAAGTAAAGTTTACTTGAAAAAACCATGGAAATAAATTGCGTATTAACTTCACTTGAATTCCTCGAGTACATCTTTTACTTGATATTACTAAGTAACTCAAGTGATTGCAATAAAGTTTAAATTTCTACTTATGATCCGTACTCAGAACCCTGTAGTTGAGAGGCAATGGTGCTACCCACTCAGCCACCAGGACACCCTGTCATTGTCACACCTGTCTCATTAAAGACTCTTCACGTCAAAATGTCAAAAGTGAGGCTTACTTGAACAGAAACAGTTCAATTCAAAGAAAATCCTGAGTGACATAGGCAAGCTTTAAATAAACTAACAATAAATGAGTAATATCTACTTACTGGGAAAAATCTATTTAAATAACTTTGATATCTGAAGTACGATTGAAGTTAGGGTTTACAGTGTGGATTGTTAAAGCTGAGATGCCTAACTTTCAAACTACAACAAATCCATTCAGTTGGTTCTGCTAGTTTTCATTTTTTGCCTTTGTCATATCTTAAAATCCTTTTTGTTTTCAGATATAAAAGTGGCTGAGTGAGAGTGGTCCTCTCCTTCCAATCAGCTCTCAACCCAAAGGGTCAAATAGTAACTCACAGGACTCTTACAATTGAAGGCAGAAATTTGGTTTGATTTGTTCACGACATTTTGCTTATGCAAGAGTCTTTCTGTGTTTAATAATTATATGAATTACTTATTATAAAATAAAGTTAGGTATCCCAATTTTTTAAGGCCATGCATTAATTGAATTAGAAAAAGTGAAGAATCTTCTCAAAATTGTAGCTTTGAAATGTGCAATAAATGTTTCATAATTTGAGTTTTGATCTTTTCTTCTTTTTCTCTGTATCTCTGCATTCTGGCGTCCTATCCAGAAAAATTGTGATTGTTTTCATTCAATTATATTACACAAAATATGAAACGATTCTACAATGTAATGTAACAGTTGTCATTTGGCATCAATTGAACCTTTTTGTACTTTCCATATGGTTGTACCTCTTGTCTGAATAAACAACAGTGTGGTTCATAAACTTGTTTTGTGAGGCTTAAACACATTCACTCAGTTACTGTGTTGTATTTAAGAACTAAAACCATTTATAACGGGCAATTTTGCACTTCATAAATTCAAAAGCTTTTCTATATCGATTGCTTTTTTCCAGTACAATCAATAACATTCAGAATGAGGAATAATAATAACGGCATAAATTGTATTAATGGCTGTATATTCAGTTTATGTAAAAAAAAAATTGTGCAGATAAGAAGACTATTCAAGACATCAAATGAATAAAAAAAAATCCCTTTACAATTAAATACTAATACAAGACTCTTTGAGCTGAATGATGGGACTTTCTAAGACCAAATATGAAAATACTTTGAACACAAAGAAGTGTATCTCATTACACATCTACTATCTAATAATTCAAGAAACATTATGATTATGTAAATGTTACATGAAATTACTGATGATAGAGAATAGGTGATTGTACTTTATCCACCGTGTTCTTTGTGTCAGTGTGAAAATATCAAGTCTAGCATAAAAAGAAGTATAAAATCTCTATCTTTAGCTGCTTGATGAAGAAGCAAGACAAAACCCCCTGAATTTATCATAATCAGGAAAACTACTCTTTTTCTAAACGACATAAACAAACAGTCTCAAAGCAAAGGAAGGTTTGCAGTCTCAAAGTTAGTTAAAAGGAAGATCAAAAGTTTACATCAGCTGAGTAATTATACTTATACCAAAACTAAAAGCCGTCAAATTGAATGCTCTGGGAGTCTTCTGGTGCATTGTGGCTTGCATGGCTTACCCAGAAGATGGCAGTAAAAACAAGCAGAATGGTTTGGAGCCGAATGAAGGACATAAGCGACAAATCTCACATCAGAAGTCGCTGGTGCATCACTCTGAGGATCACTCCGCTGCTAAAGCCGAGCTCAGAGCCACACGATCGGGGGAACATGGCGTTCACATTCGCGGCCTTTTGTTATATGCTCGCTCTCCTGCTCACGGCGGCGTTAATATTCTTCGCTATCTGGCATGTAAGTAAAGTAAATTGAGATAATTGTTCAAAAGGTGGACGTGGCGGCTAAAAATCACATTGCCACACTAAATACGTATGTGAAATGTAATGAGAAAAAAATCACAGAGATAGCAGCCTTCAAACAGGCCATACTCAGAACCCGTATGTGGATATTTAACGCAATGATTTAGAAAATGGAATGACACAAGCGGCGTGTGCTCATGCTACTTAGCATCTGTACAATGAATGGCACACACCCTGCTGCTAGCCGCTCAAGCTAACTGAAAACAATTATAAAAACCAATACTGATTTATATTTGTCAATAAAATAATCCAGACACCACATGTAATATGTAATGTATTAATGATGACCTCACCATACTAAATGTTTTGTATGTAAACGTAGTGCTTGTCAACGTGTTTTTGTTGTGTAGCTGCGGGTTGGCGGCTAGTTAGCTCTGGATGCTAACAGCTAAAGCCGCTGTCATCTACAGTGGTTTCCTCTCGTTATGATTTGTTTATATGGTGTGATTTTTCAGCAAAACTCAATGTATGTATTCTGTTAACAATGACAGCATAGATCGCATCACATTCTCCATGTTGGGAAGTGACTAGCTATCTACATTATCTGCCAAAATATCTGGAATTTTGAATAACTGCTTCTAATGTTGGTGGTATTCTGCTACTTTGCAAACAAGTCCAGCGAATACATTGTAGTCAAGCAAAAGCAGAAGATAACAGGAGTAACATTGTACTATTTGGTCATGCTTCATGTCATAAGATATCGAAAATTCTCTTTTGAGTTCATATTTATGTCATGAATAATGAATAATAAGTGTTCAGAATAAAGTTATTTGATTGAAACACCACATCATTCCTTACAAAATATATTTAATCGCTTTTGCTATCTACTAGTTAGACATATAAATTGGTGTATTAATTGTGTGTGTACTATTTGTGTAGGTTGATTTACTATTGAAGTATTGAAATTAAAATCAATATTGTATTTGATAGGCAATTCTAGCAAGGTGTCTAATGTTTATAGGAATATATTAAGCAGTGTAATCTCTCAATCCATTGAAATGCATTGTTCAGAAGGATTTATTGCAGTAAGAAGGTCCTGGGTACAACTGGTCTGAATGTGAATGTGTGTGTGTGTGTGTGGATCGAATGGGAAAATATTGATACTCCAAAATATTCCCAAGTGCTTTGTGAGACATTGGTAATTGAAATGGCCTATATAAAATGGTTACTTATTTAACTTCATTATGTAAGCTCCAGGTTGTTGCATTCTCAACAATTCTTTGTGTTTTGTGTAACGTTTTTAGATTATTGCGTTTGACGAGCTGAAGACCGATTACAAGAACCCTATAGATCAGTGTAACACGTTAAACCCGGTAAGTTTGTCACGTCCCACCCCTTTCTCCCTTTTGCTTGTTCTTACTGCATCTGCATGCAGGTCTTTCTTAACATGATTTCTTCTTATTCCTCATACTTTTCAACCATTTCTCTGCACTGTTTTGCTAAATAACTTGTTTTTAATTGCCGATCTTTGTCAGCAGCTGTCAAACTCTAACTCCTTTTTGTTTTTGTTCTTCTCTGATCTGCTTTTTTGTACACTTTGTTAACGGCAAAAAGACAGTTGAAAGGGTCAAAAAGATTAAAAGAGTCAAAATTGCAATAAAGGTTTGTACCAGCTTTTAAAATGCCCGCTCAATTCAATTCAGTCTGCAGTTTGTCATTTTGCACGAAGCAGTGTTTGCAAATGTCCTTTCAGTTAACTAATCTCACTGGGATTAAAACCAGGGGTCCCTGTCAGGATTAGCAAGAGCCACCTGTGTATCTTTCTACAACACTATCTTTTAATGATTTAGCAATGATACTACACTAAAAAACTTTCATACACACATGAATTCAGGATTTGGTGCCGAATTATAGTTGTTTTTGACTAGTTATGCTTTATTTACTAAAGGATCATCAATTTTTTAACTAGTTTCAAGATGTTTAACCCATTTCTTGTTAAAATAAATAGCGTTTTTGTTAATTTTTAGATGCACTATGCAACTTGAGTGGTCCTGTGTTATTTTTGTCTGGAATGTTCCACAATTAGTCTGTTTTCAAATGGGTGAATTCTGGCTAAATGTGTTCATTAAAGCTGGGGTACCTAACTTTTAAAACCATGAATGAATTCAACTGAATAAATTGAGATAACGTTTCATCTAAAATATCCATGTTTTCTGATTTGGTCACAATATTTTACTTTTACTAGACAAAATACATGGATTTTGCATTAAAAAAAAAACTAAAGTACCTCAGCTTTTATATGCCCTTTTTTAGATAAAATTTGATCTTTTGTTGGAGACAAGCAAGCAAGCACAGTTGGCAGGTCGCATCTGTGGAGAGGTGAGCTGACCCATTGTAAGAATTCAGTTTGTAGAGCTTGTATATCCTATTGGCGTACATTCCAAGCAAAGAAACAACATCTCTGTGGCAACAAGCGGGTTGTGGACCACCACCAAAACATTTTTTTTAACTACTTCATTAGTTCTTCTCTTTATGGACAAGTTAAAGCCGTCTAGACTTGAGTTTGCAAGTTTTATAGTCTTAAGAATGTGATCAATTTTTTAAACTTGGATTCTCACAGGCAAAGTTGTCCAGAAGCTTCACATTTTGACGCAAAGTTTAGTTGTTAACTGAAAAGACTTGCAAATGCTCAAAACTTGCATGATTATTACAACCTACCCCCTGTTTGCATAGAGCTACCAAAACTATTCCCAATGTGCCATCAAACAGGGTCACACAGAGTTCAGCCGCTGAGACGTATTCTCTCAATGTGGTCATTTCCTGCCTAATTTTCTCATGCTAGCTCGTGTACGGGTGATCACCGTGTGTGGAGTGAATGGAAAAAAACACATTTGTTCTTTAGTTTTGTGAGACCTCCATGAAATCGGCTGTATAATGATTACTTGCTTAAAACAAAAGAAGGTTGCTCACCCATCATCTGTACTTTAGTAAGCAGATTACTTGCTTACTTAATTTTACTAAGGAAACTCATTGCACTATACTAAATTCAACATCAATCTTTGGGCAGATATTTATTATTTCCCCAGAAGTATTGTAGTTGCCTCCAAGTTTCTATTTGGTGCTATTGTAAATCTGTTGTTTTAGTATCTTAATTGTTATCCAAAGCCTTGTTTAAATCTGAGTTTGAAATCCCACAAAAAAAATCATATTTTGACTATAGACTGAAATCTAATTCTGCAGTCCCTGTCAAGAGGAAATTGTCTCAGTGTAGTATCTTTTTATCAAAACTGCTTAGATTTTTTTATCCCTGAGATTTATATGTCACGGGAGAGGCTCAGAGTAGAGGCGCTGCTTCTCCACATCGAGAGGAACCAGTTGAGGTTCCTCTTTGCTCGGGCATTTGTTTTGGATGCGTCCTACGGCGACCACTGCTCCTTTCGTAAGCCCTAGCTTATGACGCCTTCTTTGACGCCTCCCTGGGGAGATGTTCCGGGCAGGTTCCACTGGGAGGAGACCTTGGGGAAGACCGAGGACACGCTGGAGGGACTATGTCTCTCAGCTGGCCTGGGAACGCCTTGGGGTCCCCCCGGACGAGCTGGAGGAAGTGTGTGGATAGGGAAGTCTGGGCGTCTGTACTTAGACTGCTGCCCCTGCAACCCGGCAACGGATCCCACTTGTTCCTTGTGTAATTTTGCATACATTTGTACACTTTTTTTTTTTTTCAATATGAGAGCACTTGTGAATTGTCTCTGGTGGCCATAGGTGGCAGTATGTTTTAATAATTAGTGTTTTGCTGTAAATGAGCTCTCTGTGTGGTCTCTGTCACCTGCGGTTGAACAGATGGTCCTGAGTCTCATCCCCAAATCAGCACAATTTACAGCCACAGGATTGGACCAGGGCGTCTGGTGGGAGGAGGAAGTGGCTTTGTTTTTTAATGTTCGTGTGTCTTTGCTGAGTTAGACTAAACCCTCCATAGAGGGTATAGAAGCTTCAGTTTGTGACAAACGATTAAAAAAATTAAATTATTTAATATGAAGAAATTCTGCATTTAAAAAAAATAAAAATTTGAGGCAGGATTCCAAGATTATTGATTCCATAAGAAGAGCAGGTCCAGAGCAGGTCCGCCAGAGCGTGAATAGATTTCAGCTCGGTGTAACAACGAGGCAGCGATAGGTAAACCGTGTGCTAGTGAGGGACCATCTTGAAAAAGCCTATTGCCTATTATGTGATCAAAGGCCTATTACATGATCAAAACTCAAGACAACACCTCCAGTGGGAAAGACCTAGACCCTTCTTTTTGCACATACACCATGTATTTGACTCAATGATTACTACTGATAATAATAATGCTCTATAAATTGACTTTGTCGAGCCCTAGGCTGTTGTTTTGTATTTGGCAGCACAGTGCAGGATTCTCCCCGTGTCCCTGAACACCACATTATTTCGGTTACACGATGGCGGTTTGGCCTCTCTCTCTCTCCCTCTCTCCCTCTGGTGCATGGCTTCCTCGTGGTTCCTCCATCTGCTCCCAATGTTTTAAAATCTGCTGCTTTTCTCCTCACAGCATGGACCCAGTGTCACCCAGTCTGTCTGTTTTGGAATAAGTTCAACGCAGAGTAAAGTCACGCCTCAATACGAGTTTTGAGACGGAGAAAATTAAGCTGCATGAACGAATGAAAAGGGGTGAAACATTTAGTCCACTTGCACTTGTATTGTTTTTAATAGCCGTCAACGTCAAAAGTAGTCTCCATCGACAGAACCCTCTCTGGGGTGAGGAGTTCTCCTGGATTCTCTGCTCAGACTGCAAAATAATGTAGATATGGTGGTAATACATGTTGAATAAAGTGGTTTTGATCTTAATTTGAGTACATTATGCTAAATTTAGATATTTTATTTTTGTGTTTATCTTGTGCTATGTGCTCCTCTTTCCTTCTGTTCTGTAACTGGTGATGCAACACTGACATCGGAGCACATTCTGACTGCCTTAAAACAAGATTTGCCAATGAAACAAAGCCATTTAGTCCTATTTCAAGAACTGTTGCTTTATTTTCTCATTTCAAAGGAGTAATTTCTTGTATCTTTTTAAAACAAGCTCATTTTGCTTCGTCCCATTGATAGATCTTGTTTTAAGGCAGTCAGAATGTGCTCCAATGTCAGTGGTGCATCACCAGTCACAGAACAGTAGGAATGAGGAGCACACAGCACTCTAAAATAAAATAAAATATTTAACCTTAGAATAATGAGGAAAGACTGTGGCATTAATAGTGCGGTTCGCCACTTTGACTGCGCTCTGATCGTCAATCTGACGTCAGCACAATGTCTTTAACTTTTCGTAGGGCAAAAATAAAACCGCACACATGGCCAGATTTGGACTTGCAGCTTGAAACAGTGGCTCCTACGTCACTGTTTTGTTTCAAAGCCTTAAAGGGGACAGTATTGAATATTTTCATTTTAGAATTACATGTATATCTATGATGTGTCTCCTGATAATGGGTCACATGTACATATTTGATCATTTCTGGACAACAGTTTAAAGTGGACTTATTCCAAATATGAAACACAATGGTCATGTCAATAATATTTATTATTTTAAAGAAGACTGTCCTGAGTGCATATTGTTTACTAGTTTAAGTACATTTAACTGCTTCTTGATAACTTTATTTTTCTTATATTTTCTATACATATGTATTTTTAAACTCTGCGACACGGTGGCTGAGTGGATAGCACTCTCGCCTCTCAGCAAGAAGGTCCTGGGTTCGAATCCCGGTCGGACCAGGGCCTTTCTGAGTGGAGTTTGCATGTTCTCCCCGTGTCTGCGTAGGTTTCCTCCGGGTACTCCGGTTTCCCCTACCACTAAAAATATGTCCAATAGTTCTAGCATGCGCCTCCTGTACTGGCGACCCCGCTCCCATCTCTGTGTGGAGTGAGAGACAAATGCCCAAAAATTAACAATTGTAAACCGCTTTGAGACTCAGATCTGCAGTGAAAAGGCGGTATATAAATAAAAACTTACTTACTTACTTTGATTTGTGCTTCATAAATACATTAAATTGGGTTTAATAACATATTCAAAAACAAAAAGTAGTACCACATGTAATTTTAAATTACATCAGATTCACAAATAAGTAGTTACACGTAACCCACAAAGTCTGTACAGTTTTTTTGCCAAACCCCAGCAGGTAAATTGCATCAGTAATCTGTGTATAGGAGCGACATGTATTTAACGCAGACAGGAAAATTCTGGCAACAAGTCTTGATTGTGATTGTAATTACTTTGTCAGACCAGTAGGAGTGAATATTACTGTCGCCTTTAACAACACAAAAAGCATCTTAGATGGGGAGCAGTAGTCTTAAACTAACTGGATCTGGAGCTCCCCTGAGAATAAACTATTTTATAATTATACAATATATATTATATAATTCAGACACAAAGAGTCCACATGTGAGTCCAAGAGGTGTTTTCTTGTAAATAACTTTACACATTTATCCTAATAATGTTTTATGTTTGAACTGTACGACCTGCCCTTGCACAAAAATCCCCTTTCTATTGTGCAAGTTACAGAACGAACATTCTGATATTATCAATGTATGAATTTTATCAACATTTGTTATGTAAGTATGTAGCCTCAATTTTTTAACTGTTTTGTTTTATAATTGTTGTTGGCATTATACACCTTGCCCAGGGACAACAGCTGAAAACTAGCTTTGCAGCTAATGCTGACACATTTACAGAAATGTTCATTAATGTGTAATGTCCCTGTCAAATAAACTAATAATAAATATAACAAGCCAAAAAAATAGAAAAACTTTACTCACATATAAATGCAATATCCATGTGTGCAGATTGGAACAATGATGCAAGATGTTAAATGTTCACCCTTTAGAAGCTCAATTTCATCTACAACCAAACTATATCTAACACTTTCAGTTTAACTCTGTCTCCTCGTGGTTATGTCATTCCCCCTTTTCTAGCACTTTTTTATTTTTTATTTTAAATATCTGTTTTGTAAGTCTCACAACACCAGCTCATGTATAACTGTCTTTTCCATGTAGCCGTATGGTATGTCACGCATGTAGCTAGCTGTGTGTATGTTATTGCATTATCTCTGTTTGTCTCGTCTACAGCTGGTGCTTCCCGAGTACCTGATCCACTTCTTCTTCTGTGTGATGTTTTTCTGTGCGGCGGAATGGCTCACGCTCTGCCTCAACCTGCCGCTTTTCGCTTATCACGTCTGGAGGTGAGTGCCGCCAAAGATTTCATTTCGTTGTTTTTTTACATGCGTTGAGCTGCTTCAGGTTCTGTCTCTGGACTTTGAATTGGAATAGTTTTTGTATAAAAGTGAAATGTTGTTCAGACTGGAGCTAGCACCGGAGAACAAAAACAACCCACTCTACAACATGGCATTTATAGGAGTGCAATATGTCGGTGGCTCTTATCGTTTCTAAACCTTTCTAAAATGTTTAATTGTTGAAGCATTTTCTTCAATTTAAAATGTTTTATTTCTCATTGTAACAATAAGTAGTATTAGTTTTATGACTTCCCAGGGATAACACAGTCGTACTCGTGATGGTATTCGGTATTGGCAAGTACTCAAATTAAGGTACTCGTATCAAATGTTGGACTTTGACTTTAATGGGGGACTTCACGCTCTGGCCTAAGTGTTTTGGTCAATTACAAGGTAGTGCCAGGCAGAAATTGCATAGTTAACTTTTGGTAAACCCAGCTTAGTATGAAATGGAACTGAGATGTGTGTCTGTTTCAGGTACATGAGTCGCCCGGTGATGAGCAGTCCGGGCCTGTACGACCCGACCACCATCATGAATGCTGACATTCTGGCCTACTGTCAGAAAGAAGGATGGTGCAAACTGGCTTTCTACCTTCTCTCCTTCTTCTACTATCTCTACGGGTGAGCAGGCTTCTGTCATGTTTTTTGTCTTTGCATTTCTTGTGTTTGAACTGTTAGGCCAACACCGATTAGAGAAGAAATCAACAACGTGAAGAGGGCTACTGTTGTTATTTAGGGCTATACAAAAATAAATTGAATGAACTCTCCTCTCTTCAGAATGATCTACGTGCTGGTGAGCTCCTAAAATGGCCGCCCCTTCAGGACGCACGTCTCGGTGAAAAATGCCGCCGCTGGACTCGGTTCTTCGGTCTCTTCGGTCTTCGGCCTTCGCCTTGGACTCTCTGGACACTGCAGCCATTTTAAACCAGTGAACTCTTTACCAACTCCACCACAGCTCATAGCTTTGTAGGTAACAACCCGAAAAACGACAACAGACTGATTATTCTTCTTCTTTATTTTATTCAGTGCTGTGGTGATTTTTACTCTTGGGGGTTTAAACAATCAGAAATAAAACTGTCTTTGTTCCAGATTTTTTTGAGGTGTGAGAGTGAGACTGCTGTGAAGATATTTTCAACTTTCAACAATAAAAACCAATGCAAGAAATCCTCAAGCTATACAAACAAACTTGACTTACTTAACCGTTGTTTTGGCGAGTATGTAATAGTTAACGGAGCTCTGCGTTATGTATTGGAAACATTACAAAGATAATATTTTGTCTACTTTGTTTTAATCAATGAAAACAAAGTAGATCTCAGACACACAGCTGTGTTTTATGTATTCTGCACCTCTGTCCATGTGTGTATCCTACTTTATGAATTTTCAATAATATATATAAATATTGCTTAATTAAAGCTGGGGTACCTAACGTTTCTCTCGCCCATAATTGAAAGGGGTAAAAGTTTGAAATGTTGTGAATGAATTGGACCACAACAAGCTGTTTTTTATCTTTTGCATGCTGATTGGCTGAATGAGCGCAGTCCATTTCTCGTTTCTGTCAGAAAAAAAGATGTGACAGAGGCCAAACATACATACTTGTGAAAACGGTTTTTACATTTAACAACTAACAACATTGATTTTTATGGCATAGTTTGACTTTTTGATGTCAATATCATGATACAAACAGTTACTGAGCTGGAGGAGTTTAGTTTTCAATGGGATCCAGAGCGAGTTGGAGCACTTCCCTATTGGGCTTCATCATTGAGATAGCTAGCAGGTTAGCATTGTCAATCTATATACAGTCTATGCCAAGGGGCTCACAGCATTTTTCTGTATTTCTTCAAGGCTAAATGATTGCATAATCAACACGGAGCATCCAGGCCTAAAGGAAATAGGGTCTTGCACAACCGATCTCCTGGTTTTCACTTGTCAGTTATTGTAATTCAGTATCTGTTCACCGCCTGATGCTATCTCAGAACCATAGTTACAACTTTCTACCCGTGCAAAGTTCTGTCGGTTTGTAGGAGTAAAAACGCAGTTAAAACGTCATCTTTTGGTTGTAATATTTGAGGAAATTGTATTTTCAGTCACACTGGTGCTAGGCAAGTTCATTTGTATAGCGCAGTTCATACACAAGTGACTCAAAGTGCTTAACAAAACAAGAAACAAGTCTCTGGATTCACTTCAATACAATATTGTGGTACAGTTAAAGTTACGTAGTGCTCTTTTAAAACTTTATACTTTCCACTAATATTTCAAAGAATTGATGGAATGTAAATTTAACTTATTTACTTCTATTTCTCTCAAAAATAACACTTCTGTACATTTCAGTGCCAGGTTTGACTGTCTCCAAACAAATGGGCTATATAATTGAGATGTTGCACAGGGACTCGATTCAAATCATGTCACACTACCATCGACTTTGGTATCAACGCTTTTATTTTTCCCATTTTTGTATTAATGGCAATACTTTTCCATTCATGTGTGTGTAATGTCAGTATCTTGTGTTTGAATCTCCTTTTTAACTGAAGTAAAATCAACAGTATCATTGAAAGTTTGAGACAAGAAAAAGTCTGAACTTTTTTCTGAGGTGGGAGTAGTCTAAACACTTTTAGAACTTTAGACAAAACCTGTTTCTTACATGTGGATCTGTTGAAGGTTGTAAAACTAGACACAAGTGAGACCAGGGACAATACTGTACATAATGACAGCATAACGAGCCATGGAGCCGTGTTTGGGTGAGTGAAGCACTTACCGTCAGAATTTGGGCTTTTGCACATGCTGCTCTTTCCATTTTTATAAAGTTTTTCTTGTGAAAAATGTTTGTCATCCAATATCAACATATTCAAACTGACCGTAGTCCATAGAGTGCATTTCCTCTGTTCCTGAGTGCACTGCACTGTAATTTTGAAAGACTTAAGACATTTTTGATATTTTCCCTGTGATGAGAAGCAACACAGGTCCAAACAACACCTTTCCCACTGCAGTCCTGGGTCGACTCGGCAATTCAACAAAATCACCTTTAAAATTTGACTCTTGCTCCTCTAACCACTGAAGTTTTCCCACTTTGGTTGGCATATTCTTTTGAATCATTAATGCCCTGATGAGTCGTCAGCATTGTGCAGGTACAGTTGCTTGAAGGGAAAATGAAATCTGTTTGCTAACATCATTTGTGGTCTGAGCGGAGCCTGCAGAGCCTACATTTCTGTCGTTGCACAAAGAGCCATAAAACATGCTATTTCTTCTTTAAGATTACCGGTAATATAGGTTTTGGCGGTGGACTGGCCTCATACTGTTGACCTTTACCTTCAAAAGTTCAATTGTCTTGTCATTTTATTTATTTAGGGTTTTTGTTTTTTGGTTGATATCATTCAAGCACTCCTTGCGGACTTTTCTTTCACATCTGTGCATTTTTTTGTAAATTTGGATTGACTGAAGATTGAGGATAATTTGTCATTTCAAAAGTGTTGTCAGGGAATTATTTTTTTGATCCCATCAAGTCAATGATATGGTTTTTATTTTAATCTGAATAATAAAAATCTCCCACTGTTAATAAATCCTGTATCTTGCTTCATTGATCATTAAACGTAGTCGTTAGAACAGTGAGTATGATTAATTTAAAAATGAAAGTCTACTTTTTGGATTCAAAAATCAACTTTGACTCTAGCTGTCCAAGTCAAAGAGACATGTTGTAAATCAATCCAAATGATTGAATAGTTTGGCATGTTGTGATGTCACATTAATGCAAAGAGCCTATAGTTTAAAAATGGAAGAAATCTGAAGTCTTTCCTGGCAACAATGGTAAGGGTCAAAAGTCACCAGCCCTGCTCAGCGTTACCTCAAAGGGGAGCGTTTCCATTGTCCCTTTTTACAGTTTCTGTAAACATTTTGTATGTTAGTCATTACATACCAAATTGTTGAACTATTTGTCAATATTGCCTTGAGAGGAAGACATCCACTGTGATGTAGATAAACATGTGTCCAGGAATAATGTAAGTTCAGTTTACAGTTATTGTTTACATTCGTGCACTAATGTTTGTTCAAGTGACTTTATTTATTTTTCACAATGCTGTAGAATTTCAAAGAGGGCATGCAGTAAATGTGAAATACATACATCCATATGTATGTTGTACTCTGTTTCCTCACTAAATACAGTAATCTGTAACTTTACTGTAGTGATCAAATGGCTGTACAGAGTAAAGTGCTGTCTTGAGCATTTTCAGGTAGTGTCACAAATATGACTTTTTTGCTTTGGAAAACAGACTGTCACAATGAAAACATGACAAAACCATTTGATTCTTTTTGATAAAAAAATGGTGTCGGGACTTATTTTGATGACATGAATTATTTGAAGAATAAACACACTTTTGCAGGTTATCCATTAGGTTTTGCTGTTTATACTAATTGTTCTCAGAAATACAAATTTTCATAGAAAGCACCAAAGCAACTGAAAGAAAAAAGCTAACTGGTACCAGGTTCTTTAGTATCTTCTTGGTTCTTGTTTTAACTGAAGGTGATTGGCCAGAGTGCTGCTGGAAGCCATGGTTACAAAGGAGTGTTCATTGATACTGGTTTGTTGTTGGTAGGTTGCTAGGATACGGGACTACAAACTCCTGGTCCACGTGGTCGGGCGGCAGTAGCTCAGTTGGTAGAGCGTTGACCTTTGAGCCAGAAGGTTGTGGGTTCAAGCCCCGCTCAAGACTTTCACCATCGACTCCCACTGACTACTGTCGTTGTGTCCTTGGCAAGACACTTAACTTCTGAGAACACCAGCCACAGTGGGGCAGCTGCGGCTGTAAAGTGCCAAACTGCCGTTGTGTCCTTAGGCAAGACACTTCACCCCCATTGCCTAGAATGAGTCTGGTGTGTGTATGAATGGTTAGTGGTGGTCGGAGGGGCCGATGGCGCATACTGGTTGCCTCGCTTCTGTCAGTGTGCCCCAGGGCAGCTGTGGCTACAGTAGTAGTTTATCACCACCGTGTATGGAGTGAATGAATAATGACACATGTGGAGCGCCTTTGAGTGTCCAAAAAAGCGCTATATAAAACCGATGCATTATTATTATTATAAAAATAATTTCTAAGATCATCACAATTTGGTGGTTTGGTCGTCCAAACCACCAAATTGTCAATGTTCCACAACTCTGGTCTGAATGTTTTCTCATAAAAGGTGTCTAGAAGTGGTGACAATATTCGAAAACAAACCTCTGCAACATTTTAAGCATTAAATCCAGCTAACTTCCTCAGTGTGTAAATAATCTGCCTTCTCAGACTGGAGTGAAATAAATGGACCAAGGAGATGATCATTGACTTTCACAGGACAGGGCATTGAAGTAGTGCAGTCTTACAAATACCTGGGAGTCCACCTGGACCACAAACTGGACTGGTCAGCTCAGGCCAATGCCATCTACAAGAAAGGTCAGAGCAGACTTTTCTTCTTGAGCTGACTGAGGTCCTTCGATGTGAGCAGTCTGTGGTAGCTGGTGTCGTGTTCTTTGAGGTCGCGTGTTGGGGCGCCAGTCTGACCTCGAGAGACAGTAACCGGCTCTGATCAGGAAATGTGTCTCAGTGATGGAGAGAAGTGTGGACTCTGTGGGAGCTGTGCTGGAAAGAAGGGTGAGGGCTCTGAAGCAGGGCATCCTGGGTAACTTCAGACACCCTCTGCATGACACTATGGCCGCTCAGAGGAGTAATCATAACAATAGGCTCCTATCACTACGCTGCCGAACGGAACGTTTCAAGAGATCCTTTGTTCCTTCGGCTGTCAGACTGTACAAGACCTGGATGAGTCTTCTGCTGCTGGACACCTGAATACCCCCTACAGGGGACAAAATATCTAAATGCCTACATTATCTGTTATCATTATCAACATACATAATCCTTTTCTTTGCTTATTCAGATATTTGCCTGTCATGTACCCTGATGAATCTCCCCTTTTATAGCCCCCTAGACCAGACAGGTCAAACTCCAACCAACAAGACCATTTTCAGTGGCTCCTGAAATTATTTTATTATATTAAGTTGCAGCATTTTTTAAAGGCAATGTTCCCAAGAAAACAGCCATATTAATGAATTCAGAAATGTTAAGCAACCATGTAATTAGAAGTTACATATTTAAACATTTTAGAAATTGTCTGGGAGTCTTCAGCAACATCTCTCAATATTTGGTCCAGTTTTGGTTCAATCAACAGTAACTGAAAACTATTGGAAAAAAAGAGGCTATCAAACTAATGCAAATGAATCAAATCAAATCAAAGGAATGAATCAAAATACATTCATAATGTAAAAAATATAATACATTTTATTCAGCCCTCAACCAAAATTAGTTTGACAGCCCTGTCCTTAGACACAATTGCCGTTTCACTGTCACTTCACCAGATCCACTCAATCCTTTCCTCCAATAAAAGAATAAACTGAAATTGGCAGCTGCATCATTCAATGTTTCGGATAATGATATTTACAGTCTATGGTTGAATCCCACTCCTGGACTCAGTATCACTAATGATACACATGTCATTATTGTATACACTGCAAAAAAAGACACGTCCAGTTCCCACAACCACTTATTTAATTGCATAAAAATCCATATATTAAAGTATTCTATTTAAAGTGCAGTCACAGAATACCACATCACTTCTCACCCATAATAATACAGATACAAACAGTTTTTTTCTTAGATTTTATGGTGTTTTCAGACGTTATCACCGGGAGACGCAGCGTTCTGTCGCCGCCTCGCTCGACTCTTGGTACAGCAGCAGCTTTTCCCGAAACTCGTGCAGGAAATTGTATTGCTGAGACAGATGGAGAAACACAACTGTAGTAAAACAGAATTAAATCCGAGGCATGATGCCATTTCAGTAGAATGTGTCATTACTGCTCTAGCACTTGTGAAGTTGTCAGTAAAATGCAGGTCAGACATGAGTAAAGGTTTAAATAAAGGAATACAATTTTAGTTTTGGACATAATGATGAGACTACAAGTTTAAATATCCAAAAAGGACAATATACATCCAGAAACAGACGAAAGGAGCAAGACTCTCTCTGGTCTTTCTCTCGCTCTCTCTGGTGACTGTGACTGGTCCTGGGCTTGTGTCTAGGTTGGGGAGACTCACTTTGACGGTCTGGATGGCGCCCCCTCCTCGGTGCTGCCTCAGGACCTCAATGGCTTTGTTTGGAGTCATGGTCCCCGAGAGCTGCAGCAGGAGACACGCGGCAACTGGACCAAAAAACAACAGGAAACGGCTTATTATTTTTCATCTTTTTTTGTCTATAAATAAACAAATATAAAAATGCAAGGCAGCTGTGGCTACAAAAATACATTAACAGTATTTACATTTGGTCCGGGGGCAGAAAGAGAAAGAGAGAGATAGAGGGAGAGAGAGAGAGCGAGACCAGAGAGAGAGGCTACAATAGTAGTTTATCACCATTGTGTATGGAGTGAAAGAATATTGACATATGAAGTGATGTGTGTTTGAGTGTCCAGAAACCACTACATGAAACCAAAGCATCATTTTTTTTTTATTACAAATAAACATGCATTATATACATATATATATATATATATATATATACACATACTTAATCCAGAGCGTCCCAGCCCTCCAAAACAGCTGAAAAACAAACCGACAAAATATTTACAACATGTAAATAATTACAAAACATACAAGTGTATGAGTAAAAATAACATTTGGGTGTTGATCATGGCAAGAAAGGAAGTGCTTTTTAAGTTTTACAATAAAAAATGCCCTTACACGGCTCTGGTTCTATCCAAGCTGGACGATAGGGTACCAGCTCGGACACCAACTTGCTAGGATACGGAACCAGATACTAAAGTGTAATGGAAACAGGGCTTGGGAAGATTCAGCAAATGAGCTTTTTAACCATGTGCAAGGATTAGTACAGAGGTAGTGAAAAAACGTCATCATAAAAAGTACTATTGCCCAAACAAGGAAATTGGTTCCAGCTATTGTATTCAGCAAACACTGTGGTGACGTCTGCACTGGGTCAGACCACTCCTAACAAACAGTCTGTAGTTTTGTGGCACTCACTGTATGAGGGTGCGGCGGTGGTTGTCCAGGCTACCCATCACCTCCTCCAGGATGCGCGTGCACAGCTGGAGCTCGGGGGCGTCTCCGTCTGCAAAGGGCCGATGCAGGACCCTGAAGCCACTCTGAGCGTAAGCCTCCAGAAGCAACGGCACACGGTACTTCCCCAGCTCTCCACGAGTGCAGAACACAAACACGTCCTGGACGCCCTGAAGCCGCAGCTCCTCTGGGGGAAACATACGGCGACATGTAAACAAAGGGAAGTGTTTATGCATATATGGTGCCTTGCAAAAGCTTTTTACCTATTTTGTTACATTACAGCCTTTAGTTCAATGTTTTTTTAATCTGAATTTCATGTGATGGATCAGAAAACAATAGTCTAAGTTGGTGAAGTGAATTGAGAAAAATATATAAATAAAACTATTTTTCAGAAATAAAAAACATAACCCCTTTGTTATGAAGCCCATAAAACTCACGGACCGGGCAAGGAGGGTATTAATCAGGGAGGCAGCACAGAGACCTAAGGTAACCCTGGAGGAGCTGCAGAGTTCCACAGCAGAGACTGGAGCATCTGTACATAGGACGACAATAAGCCGTACGCTCCATAGAGTTGGGCTTTATGGCAGAGTGGCCAGAAGAAAGCCAGTACTTTCAGCAAAAAACAAAATGGCACGTTTGAGTTTGCGAAAAGGCATGTGGGAGACTCGCAAAATGTATGAGGAAGGTGCTCTGGTCTGACGAGACTAAAATTGAACTTTTCAGCCATCAAGGAAAACGCTATGTCTGGCGCAAACCCAACACATCACATCACCCAAAGAACACCATCCCCACAGTGAAACATGGTGGTGGCAGCATCATGCTGTGGGATGTTTTTCAGCAGCCGGGACTGGGAAACTGGTCAGAGTTGAGGGAAAGATGGATGGTGCTAAATACAGGGATATTCTTGAGAAAAACCTGTACCACTCTGTGCGTGATTTGAGGCTAGGGCGGAGGTTCACCTTCCAGCAGGACAATGACCCCAAACACACTGCTAAAGCAACACTTCAGCGGTTTAAGGGGAAACATGTAAATGTGTTGGAATGGCATAGTCAAAGCCCAGACCTCATCTCCAATAGAAAATCTGTGGTCAGACTTAAAGATTGCTGTTCACAAGCGCAAATCATCCAACTTGAAGGAGCTGGAGCAGTTTTGCAAGGAGGAATGGGCAAACAGCCCAGTGGTAAGATGTGGCAAGCTCATAGAGACTTATCCAAAGCGACTTGGAACTGTGATTGCCGCAAAAGGTGGCTCTACAAAGTATTAACTTTAGGGGGGTGAATAGTTCACCTTTTCTGTTATTTTGTCCTATTTGTTGTTTGCTTCACTATAAAAAAAGACAACATCTTCAAAGTTGTGGCATGTTCTGTTACTCAACTGATGAAAATCCTCAAAAAATCCATGTTAATTCCAGGTTGTGAGGCAACAAAACACACAAAATGCCAGAATTTTGCAGAATACTTTTGCAAGGCACTGTAGATTCATGATCTGTCCATTTATCGTACATCTTGCTGTCGTTGTTTGTTGTTTCCACTGGTGTCTGCTAGGCTAATGCTACTGGGCTAATGCAGCTGGATAAAAAAAGAGCCTTTAGCTTTAGCCAATCAGCGCCGGGTTAACCTCAAGCCCCACCAGGAGCTGTTCAAGGCCAAATGGAGTACCTCCTCCGGAGAAGGCGCTCCGTTGGACCCCAGGAATAGTTCCTGTAAAAAGTGGGGGAAGGTCCTGCAGTGGGGACACACACCAACGGGGCTGGCCCTGTAAAAGTTCCTCCTGAGGAAACACGACTTATTTTCTAATACATTTTCTTAAGTAGAACATATGAATCAACTTGTATCTCGGCATGCAATTCCCCACTTCTACTAGAGGGAGAAGTTGAACTTTTTTATTGTTTGCAACATCAAACATTACAAGCCACACTGTTCTCACTGGGAGAAAGTGCTCAATTCAGAAGTGATAATTGTCATTTTTCTTACCAACATCTTTCTGCAAACTTCTGCGTACATCTTTATATTTGCAACCTGCACAAAACACACATTGTGCTTTACATTTATTTTACATTTATAATTCTTTACAACATAAAGAATTATACAATTTAACCAAACCTGGGAGAGCAGATATCCCCAGATACTGAGAGCTGCCAACGATGGAGAGAGGGAGCCTGGAGAGGACACAGCAAGTTCTAAATCCATTTTCTACATAATTATACAACAACATTGACACAAGGACTACTGTATTTGAACTCCTGGTGGCACTATGTAATCTAAAGCCTGCAAAAGTACTCATACAATATCAAATCTTGCTCATCTGGTCACATTTGACTACAAAAAAAGATTTTAGTTTGGACCACAACAAAGAACCTGAGAACTGAAGTGAAAGGAAACAATGACTTTGTAAAAAAAACTAACAACGTTTTATTTGATACTCTGAGAAATGAAATCACAACATGGATTTTAGAAAGAACATCAGCTTTTCCAGACAGAAAGGTGAAAAAGACACGATTGTTCTTTACAATTGCAGTGTTTGTTGTACTGTCCTCATGCAGCCCCAAATAACACAATAATGAGAGTGTATACAATGTGCAACATCCATCCATCCGTTTTCTTCCCCTTAATCCATTTCTGGGTCGGGGGGGGTGGCAGTCAGAGCTGCACCCAGTATACATAGCACCAGCCCCTCACTGATCCTCCCACATGAGCCTTGATTATTCAGCAGGGGAGTCAGGCAAAGTGGGGTTAAGTGTCTTGCCCATTACACAACAACAGCAGTCATCAGTGGGAGTCGTGAAATAGCTCGAACCCACGACCTTCCGGTTCTAGGGCGAATGCTCCACCAACTGTCACCCCACATGGAACAACAAAGACATAAAGTAAAGTAAAGCTACTCACCAGGAAATGTGGAATGGAGTCAGATCTTCCTCGATGACGTCATCATCATCTGACGAAGAATCAAAATCGTTTGTTCTCATGGCTCTAACTGGAAAAACAACACAATAATCTATTATAATTTGCAAAAAGATAAAATATTGTAAAAAAAAAATAGAGTGTATTTGTCTCCACTGGGTTAGACAACTGTCACGGCCTGATCACTGGTCTCTAAAACCAAGCTGTCGAGTCCTGAGAGCTGGACAAAAGTGATAACAGCACTGGCGTCCTGTGTCTCTCTACGGGCTCACACCAAAGTACATCTGTGACATGTTAGGTAAAGGTGCACTTTTATTGATCCTCGTAGGGCAATTCATCCTCTGCATTTGACCCATCCTGATGCCGCTAAGGCTTACGTCAGGAGCATTGGTCGCCGTAGTACAGCGCCCGGGAACCCATCTCCAGATGTTGATACTCAGCTTGGTCAGGACTACCAGAGCTGGAGGATTTAACCTAGTGTGCATGTTTTCAGTTTTTGTTTTTTTTCGTTTTGTGTAGGCCACTGGGACTCTGGAAGACGAGGGGTCGCCTGTTAGTTTCATATGAACCAACTCAGACTCTGAGGAGCACAGGGACTGGCCTTCTGCTGGTCCCAGAATCAGGACTAAACATGAAGAAGCAGCATTTCAGATTTTTGCAGATAAAATCTGGCAGTCTTCCTGAAAATGTGAGTCAGGATTCTACTCTGACAATGTTCAAATCCAGGTTCAAAACAGTTCTCTTTAGCTGTGCATACAACTGAAGGTTTTTATCTTCACTCTTTTTAATGTACTGTGATTATTTATGATTTTAATGCCCTGTGATGCCCTGTGTGATTGTTTTTGTCTTTCTTTGTTAAGCATTTGTGTATGAACTGTGCTATACATGTGCCTTGCCTAAAAACATGGAAAACTTTCACATGGGTTCTACAATTTAATAACATTTTAATTCAAATTATTTAACAATATAATTTTTTTTTAACATTGAATATAGTATGTGTCTTGTTATCAGCAGTTAATACATATAATTGTCCTGTGTCATAGAAAAGCATTGTGGGAGGAGCTCAGCTATTTAAACTTCTCATTGCACACATAATAACAAATATTAACAAAACAAGCCAGCATCATGTAAATCATTAACAACACACTAATACATATGCAGAAGTAAAGGGTGTCATGTTCCAGTTGTTTCATAGTTTAATCAAAATATATGAGGAAATTAGCTACACTTTTAGCAAAAGACAGCAACCCAAATTGTGGCTAACAGCTAACATGCTAACACTACAGCGAACAAGCTAATCAAGAGGTGTGCTACAAATTTGCCAATACACGTCCCGACAGATAAACTTTACGGGTTATAAAAGGCCCTCTTCTACATGTACACGTGTAGAGTTCAGGAGATAAATTCTATAGTGATTAATGTGTGCTCACCTTTGCTTTGACAGCTCCGTCAGCTGCGGCGACATTTGAAAACTGCAAATCAGCCAATCAGAGCGCCTCACGCCTCCAAATCGTCACCACGGCAACCAAAAAAGTTCGAACATAAAGAGATAAAAATGAGATAACATAATGAATATTTAAATGCACTATCTATGTACGTATGTATTTTTCTATCATATATAATATCAAATATAAAATTGCCGTTAATTCCATAATGGACAGTTATAAGCATGACAATAAATAAAAAAAATACCATACTACTAATACTAATGAATTATTTGAGTGCTAAATAACACTTATAATTTCACTAATATGCGCTTTTGAGTCATAAAGAGTGATACAAAGATAAGTTGAGCTAGAAAGACCTGCGTGTTTGGCTTCAGTCTGTGGTAAGTTCGCGGACCAGGTGCAACGCAGTGCCTTCTCTCAGGGAAATCTACTTTTTTAACCTGGAAAAATCTGATTAACCTTGGATTGAGAGTGATTTAGATATTTTCATCCACTGGAGGAGAACGGATTAATTTAGGTGAGTTGGATTTTTCCCTCCAGCTTTGATGCAGATACTTAAGTATCGAACACTAGCTTTTAGATTAATAAATAATACGTTTATACCATAGACTGTAAGTTTATACACGTTTGTCCCAACAGAAAGAGTATTGTAAAGCTAAAATATAGTGAGCAAGTAAGACCTCAACGTGCCATCTTTATGTTATTTAAACATGTTCTCAATAAAACATTTCTCTTTATGGCCTCGCGCCGAAGTTGACATGATAGTGCCATGTGAACCACCTCTGGGACTCTGAGGAGCACAGGGACTGGCCTCCTACTGGGACTCTGAGGAGCACAGGGACTGGCCTCCTACTGGGACTCTGAGGAGCACAGGGACTGGCCTCCTACTGGGACTCTGAGGAGCACAGGGACTGGCCTCCTACTGGGACTCTGAGGAGCACAGGGACTGGCCTCCTACTGGGACTCTGAGGAGCATAGGGACTGACCTCCTGCTGGTGCTCAGAGTAAAAAAGGGGAGGTAGCATTTTTCATGCAGATAAAATCTGGAACAGTCTTTCTGAAAATGTGAGACAGACACTCTGACAATGTTCAAATCCAGGTTAAAAAAGTTCTGTTAGGAATGGATCTCTTATATCACTTTTGAAGCAATTATGGTTTAATCTAATAAGCTTGTAATTTCAACACTATACAGAATTCAGTGATTTCCACAGGGGGAGGTCCTTGATTAGTGAGATTTAGATTTAATTTCAAAGCATGAAATACACCTTACACTGAGTCCTCAGGGCAAACAAATCTGCATTTTGGTTCATGACCATAACCTCCTCATTTATCACGTTGTCTAAATATATCTTTAAACTGTGGCTTGCAAATTTACCACAAGGCTACAACTTGATTTTGTTAGTTTATGTTTTCATTTAGTATGTAACATTTTGCTTTCACTGCTAATCTCAAAATACAATCTGTGTTTGTGGTCGTACACGTGACAAAATGTGCATGAGTTCTCGCTGTATTAGTACTTTTTCAAGCTGTAGATTACATAATAATATTGAATTCTCCCTATGAACCTGTGGCCGTTTGCCGCAGACTGGAGAGGACCTTGGATCAGACCTGGACTCCCCGTGTATTTGGCTCTGGTTTTACTTCCTTCACAGAGGGGCCGCTGCGAGGCCACAGCCGGAGTATGTACAAACCAACCTACTCAAAATACGACACATTACACAATTTAAATGAAAGCGTTTGTTGTGAATGTAACAGTATTATAAGTAGGAGTGTGACAATATATCAATATCTTGATGTATCGTGATACTTTCTCACGTGATCGATTATCGATATGCTTTTGCCAAGTATCGATTTAAAAAATATTTATATATATATTATTTTCTTTATTTTTTAAAATGAGTATCAATACTTGATACAGATATGGCTACATTACACATCTCCATTCCATTTATCATGAAATAAAGTGTAATTTTTCAAATTTTTCTTTTATTTAGTGCTGTATTTGAATCCAGAGTTGAGAATTAGTTAATAACTCACACTTGTAACTATTTCGTGTTTATTCAGATTGCTATACTAAAAGATTTCTATAACAGTATATTTCTAACCAATATTTCGATAATCGTGATATAATCGTTATTGTGAGCTTTGTATTGTGTATCGTATCGTATCGTGAGGTACTCTGAGGTTTCCACCCCTAATTATAAGAGTGAGAAGACCGGAGAACTCAAGATATATGTCGGCCTATTTGTTATAACTACCTATGAACATTTCAACAAAATGCTTCGTTTTGGCAATGCACTTTTATTTGTATAGTACATTTTGCCAAATGTAAAACTTTTACTCTTCTTTTTATTATGATTTCAAGATTTAGTTTTTATACTTGTTTTTGATGCTAGCGTTAGAAATTTTGTTTTATTATAATTAGTATAGCTATTGTTCACTTATCTTGTGCTGTGTGCTCCTCTTTCCTGCTGTTCTATAACTTGTGCTGCAACACTGAAATTTCCCCACTGTGGGACGAATAAAGGCTCTCTTAACCTCAATCTTATAGTTCCTACACAAGGCAACTCAAAGTGCTGAACAAAACAATATGTTTGTGCGAGGCCATGGAGGGTTAGGGTTGTGCACATTTTCTGGGCCACAGGAAGCCAGCGCAAAAACCTGAGAACAGAACTAATGTGATAGTACTTCCTGGTTCTTACAGCTCAGCGAGACCAGTGAGCAGGCCATTCACTCGAGTCTTGTTACAACACAGACCATGTCCATATTATTCATACACATGAAAGTATTAGGGAGAAACCTTGTGTGTTGTGTCAGTCGTTATAAAGTATGGTATAATGTATTGTTCCATTAGATACTGTAAATATGTCATCTGCATTTGACCCTCACTAGTTTTTGCTTTTACTTCAATTTCTGGTTTTTATTGCTCATAGACAAAAAAAGCATATTTTTGTCTATGATCCCATAGAGATTTCCTCTGACATTGTCCCTAAAGTCTCATTTTTGCACTTTTGTTTCCAAAGAGGCATCACATTTCTAGGTCAATTCTTTGTGTTTTAATCATGTCTGAAATCTGAGACAGAGACGTTGTGGTTTGCTGAAAGTTATAAGATTAAGATGAAGAGATCCTTTATTCGTCCCACAGCGGGGAAATTTCAGTGTTGCATCACAAGTTATAGAAAAGTAGGAAAGAGGAGCACACAGCACAAGTTAAGTGAACAATAGCTGTGTTAATTAAAATAAAACAGAATCTCTAACTTTAGCATCAATAACAAGTATAACATTTCTGAAAATAATAATAATAAAAAGAAGTGTAAAAGTTTTACATTTGTAAAAATAACACAGTATTTGAAAATGTGACTTTGAGTTTGTTTGTTTGTGTTGAAGGTGATGAAGCCTCAGGAGGCAGAACTCGTCAGTGAAATCTCAAAGGTAAAAACTCTTTTCCCACTTGTTTTTAGGCAAAGCAAGTTTATTCATTTAGCTCATCCCATTGCATGTTCTCCCTGTGTCTGTGTAGGCTTCTCTCTGTGTGCTCCAGTTTCCCCTTCCACATGTACAATAGTTCAGGGTGAATCAGTGTGTGTTTGTGAGTGCGACTGTGGGATAAAGAAGGACAATAGTACAATCCAGAGAGGTTCATTAACATGCACTGTGCTATGTCGGGCTTCTCAGGACCAAAAAATCCCAAAAATTGCTTCAACACATATGTTGAATTCAAATTCATTTTTTATAGCCCTAAATCACAACAGTATCGCTGAGGACTTTATAAAAGGTGTCAATTAGTAACTGAATTGTTACAGCTTCAATCGATGGTATGTGAGCTGAAGTTGGGCTTCGGAGCCGCTCTGTCGGAGCTGAGTCAGATCCAGACCTCGGACTCCTTCATCAGAGATGAGCTGGAGGACAATCGCCGCAGTTGCCACAAGAGGGCGCACCGCCTGGAAACGCTGGTGGACACTCTCAGGGTCAGTGCGCTTCTCAGAGGATCAGAAGATGAGTTATTTGTTCATAATGATGTACATACGTATACGTCCAGCAGAGATCCACTCTGGATCCACTCGCTCCAATAGAAGTGACATTGATTGTATGCACCAAGTGCCTATAATTTGACAGTTTGAGTGTTGTACGAAGTATTACCCAAGTTATTATCACACATGTACTTAGGGTGGACTGTGAAAAATGAAGAAAAGTGAAATATGGCACCTTTAATGTGAGGATGTGATGTGTTTCCAGGAGGAGCTGACTGTGATGAGATTTCAGGTCCTTCAGTTGTTCAACCTCAGAACAAAAGCTGAGACTGAAGCGAGAAGCAGCAAAACCAGAGACAGGCGAGTACCACATTTCAATCCACTTTATTTATATAGCACATTTCATAAACACAGTTTCCAAAGTGCTGCACAGCAAAATACTAATTAATACAAATCCATTGTAAAACAGTAAAATCATTAAAAATCAAATAGGAAAAACTTTGTGTGCATACATGTATAAATACAAAAATAGCAATAAAACAAAAATGTAATGAAAGGACCATACAACTCTCGCAGTTTTAAAAGCCAGAGCAAAAAAAGAGGGAGCAGTTTGAATATGGGGGGGCAGAGCGCTCCACAGCTTTGGTCCAGCCACAGAGAAGGCCCTGTCCCCCCGGGTTTTAAGTCTCGTCCGAGGTACCACAAGCTGGAGCGGGCCCTCGGACCTCAGCGCGGATGGTATATTTGAATGAGATCCGAGATGTAGGAAGGGGCCAGTCCATTCAACATGTGGTTGACACTTCACCCACAATGGTCAGTGTGCCCCAGGGCAGCTGTGGCTACAGTAGTAGTTTATCACCACTGTGTATAGAGTGAATGAATGAAGACAAGTGAAGTGTCTTTGAGTGTCTGTAAAAAACGCAGTATAAAGCCGCTGCACTAATGCAAAAGGTTTTTCCCTTTCTGTTAGTGGTTTTATTTATGGCATTTATGAACATCTATTACCGTTTATGGACATTGGTCATCTGCCCCATATGGACCAATGTTTCTATGTGTTTTTTATCATCGCATTTAGTGAGTTTAAACTGTTCGATTCTCTGTTTTGTGTTTGCAAATCAACAGTTTTGTTAAGTCTTCCGAGATAACTGCTGTTGTGAGTTAGACCGATACAAAAATAAATAGAATTAAAACTGCAGAATTTCATTGATTAAATTGTGTTGCATTTTCACATGATTTTTTCCCTGCTCTCATTCGTTGCAGTGCACCTCCAGAACCAGACCCAAGTCCAGATCCAGTTCGGGGCCTAAACCAGGACCAGGATTCAGCCCCTGAGAGATCCCAGTGTTGCTGCTCAGGGTCTCGAGGCAAACTGCTGCTGCATTGTTTCCTGCAGGGACTGAAGGCCGGACTGAGTGAAGGAACAGGTGGACCATTATTGGAGCTGAGAATCCCACTGATCTTTACTCCCATCATCATTATTAAAATCAAATTCCTAGTAAAAAACATAGAGCTCAAAATGTATCACAAAATTTTAAAAAAGTATGTATGAAATTCGACTATCTGTTAAATATTACTACAAAAGTGATGAGAAATTCACTGGACCTGTTTACTGCTATTTTTCTTTAGCCCTGTCTCTCAATGCACTACATGCACTACATCTAATTCTCACTATAACACACTGTTGGGCCATGGGGTCCCTGTTGTTACAGATGCCCGTCAGCAGGTGGCGATGCAGCTGCTACACTCTGAATGGGAGTATGTGTCAACTCTGAACCAGCTGTATGAGCGCTACAGGAGGCCCCCGGACTACCACCTCTGCCCCCAGCCCTAGTGAGTCGCTCCTCTGCTTTATGGATGGACAGATGGGGGTATTAATTTGTCCATCCATCCATCCTGCCTTCCTTCCTTCCATTCATCTTTCCTTCCATCCTGCCTTCCTTCCATCTATTTCTATGTATCTAACTTTCTGTCTATCTATCAAAATGTTTGTGTTTTGTTTAGTTGTGTCCTCGTTGTGTCCTATAGGCTGGACTTGATGAGTGTGGTGGTTAATAACCAGGAAAAAAATACCAAATGTTGAGACGACGCCAGAAATCAGTCTGCCCCTACTGGCTTTCACTTTCTGTCCCTGTGTTGCAGTGAGACATACGTGAGCTTTGTGGAGCAGCTCCTCCAGAGGCAGCTCCTGTTCCGGAACACGCTGCAGGAGCGACTCTCGGCCCAACACTGGAAGTCTCTGATCGGGGACGTTCTGGTCCAGCTGCTCGGACACAACGATGTGAGCCTCTGTCCAAAAGCCTCACAACACACTTTTAGCCAAATATGAGAGTTTTTTTTATTTATGTGTCTTGTGTTTCTCTGCAGTCCTCGTTCTCAGACATGTATTTGGGCTACACCAGGACGCTGGCCTCGTTCCTCTCTCTGGAGTTCAACCGCCTCAAACAGCAGAGCCACAAGCAGCAGAGCCACAAGCAGCAGAGCCACAAGCAGCAGGTATACAACTAAAGGACTGAGGCTGTAGATCCAGGACTGAGGCTGTACATGTAGATCCAGGACTGAGGCTGTAGACCCAGGACTGAGGCTGTAGATCCAGGACTGAGGCTGTAGATCCAGGACTGAGGCTGTACATGTAGATCCAGGACTGAGGCTGTAGACCCAGGACTGAGGCTGTAGATCCAGGACTGAGGCTGTAGATCCAGGACTGAGACTGTAGATCCAGGACTGAGACTGTAGATCCAGGTGAGAACTTATTAACGGCCGAGATAATCCACCCAGTGAAATCTTGTGTGTTCAGAGCGGTGATCAGGAGCAGGAGGAGATGAAACTTCTGTCTCTGCTTCTGGCTCCAGTGTCAAGGATCCATGGGTATCTGAGCCACATCCAGGTCAGACAGACACACACCTCTCTCTCTGGCCTCTCTCTCAGGGCTCTGTCTGTGGTCTCTCTATGGTCTCTCTCTTTCTGGGCTCTCCCTATAGTCTCTCTCTGGTCCCTCTCACATGTCACTCTGGTCCTACAGAAGTAGAACCACTGCACCTACTGTACAAGAACCAGAGCTGACAAGAAATGTCTGGAACCTCCATGGTGCTAGCATGCACCAATGAGCACAGACCATTAAGACAATAGAAACTTCTCAGTATCACCAAAGCGGCCCTTGTTTAGTTTATTTGGACACAGAGCCTTTCTCTCTGGACTTTGCATGTTCTCCCCATGTCTGCGTAAGTTTCCTCTGGGTGCTCCATTTTCTTCTACCACTAAATTCCTGCAGGCTTTGTGACTCTTGTCTGTGAAAAGTGCTATGTATATAAAGACTTACTTACTCATCATTTGCAACTCACAATCCAATTTTATTCATAAAGGGCTTTAAAAACAAAAGCGCAGATGATTACAATAGACTATAACAAGAGATAAAAACAGTAGTACATCAAGAAAGAAAAAGATCAGCTTACTCTAAATTAAAAGCCAGATGGAAAATGTAGTGCTGCCTCATTCCCACAATTAGCAACATCAAATTTGTCCAAATCTAAGGTTCCAGTGAAAGTGAGAATTGCCTCCTAAAGTTCTGTGTGTGTTTGTGTCGGAGGATCTAAAGTAGTGATGATCCAGGTTTGTGTGTTTGTGTCCCAGAGCTTGTTGCAGTGGACGGGAAAAGACCATCCAGACTGCAGCCTCCTCCTGGGCTCCGAGCGCTCGCTGAGGTCCCTCCTGAACCAGTGCCACGAGATCCTGGAGCAAAACGTGAGATGGGAGGAGCCACAGGAACCAGGGTCAGAAACGTCATCATCATCAGTATAATTATTTTCATTGTTGTTGTTGTTGTTGTTGCTATTATTTGTAAGTATGTATTATTGTTTTAGAACTCCAGAGAGAGAGAAAGAGAGAGAGAGAGAGAGAGAGAGAGAGAGAGAGAGAGAGAGAGAGAGAAAAGAGACTAGCGAGAGAGAGAGAGAGTTTGTTAAGTCCTCTGAGACTTCTGTTGCGAATTAGGGCTATACACAAATAAATTATGAAATCTTTAAATAGCTGTTGTTTTTATTGTCATTAGAGTCTGCAGTGACACAACTGCCTCTGGTGGCATCTCTGGGAACTGCAGGGAAGACAAGACAGGAGCAAAGAGGTGAGAAAAACCTTGTAGAAAAGTTTGTTGTAAATACAAACTAGAAAAAAAGTGTTAATGTATTATTGAATTAGGAGCTGTTATCCAGGTGTCTGGACTATATTTTCTCCATCGAGAAGTTTCTGGATGTCTCAATGCTCAAATCTGAGTCTAGACAGTTGACAACAGTGGTGATGATCCAGGACACTCGAGATTCAACGACATTTATGGACTTTATCAAAAATAATAAGTCTTTGAATATTGATTGTCCTGGATCATCAGCACTCTCCTAATACCCCCTTTTTTACATACATAAAGTTAGGGATTCCAGCTTTAAAGTGATCATTTCTTTCTTCCAGCGACGCCGCTCTCGCTCCCTGCCCGTCTCTGCGTGTGGAGTGTCTCTCCTGCAGCCCGATCCGCCGCAAATCCTCCTCTCTCCTTCAGAAACCTTCTCCTCCAGACCCCAGGAGCTGCCCTCACTGCTGCTCCCTGCACCTCCTCACCCCCCAGGAGCCCGCCCCGCTGTGGGGAGAGACCAGTGACTCAGGCCAGGGCACCTACAGCCACAGCCCAGGGAGAGCCAGGGAGGAGGTCGACAGCGACTCCTTCAGCTCAGTCACCTCCTGCAGCATGGACGAAAATCTGAGAAGAGAGGAGGAGGAGGAGGGGGAGGAGGAGGAAGAGGACAGTCATGTACCAGTGCTGCTGAAGCCACGGGAGAGAACGGTGAGAAGATCCGACAAACTGGTAACACTTGAGATGAGAAGGTTTCAAACATCCCAGTAGCCTGAACTAGCCGGCTGGATTCAAAAAAAGTGCACAAGATGTAAAATAAAGAATAATCTGCACAGCTATGTAGCTTCCAAGTTGCTACATAGCTGTGCAGATATTTCTTTATTTTACAATATGACCACTACTCCCAGTGCAGAGGGCCCCTCCAGAGGAAATATCCATATCCATGTTCAAGGAAATGTCTGGGTGCCGCTTCAGAACATGGACTGTTTACACTTCAGTTTGTTTACAATGTCAGGTGACCAAGACTTATGGAGAGATCTGGTCCTTAATCAAACTAAAGGATTCAAACCCTTGTTGCTCGAATTACCGAGAGTTAGGGATCACTGTCAAAGACGACATATCCTTCCAAGCTACCGTGGCACCAAAGGACTGCAATTTATGATCTCAAAGCTAGATGGGAGTAAAAACTACACAGTGTACTTTTAAGGTCAATCTTAAGGAGCAATAAGGACTAGGAAGGTCCAGGATGGAGATGTTATTAGCAATCTTTAGGTGGAATGTAGGTCGTGAGGGGGTTCAATGGTGAGTTGGACATGCCAGCTCTCGTTGCTCAGTGTGTAGATATAGATCTGTGTTTTTTCTTAATAATATATGTAATTAGACTATAATAAAAGTATTCATGTCACCTTTAACACATGTTTTTATATTTCCTGAACAGGTGTGTTTGCGGTGGCAGATTCCCAGACTGACGCCTCACCCTCCTCTGCACCAGGACCAGGAGAAGGAGGAGGATGAGGAGGAGGGAATGACAAGGCCTACGATCCTCAAGACGCCGCGGTCTCCTCCCAAAAGTGCTTTCAGACCCATCTGGGACGACCCCTCCAAGCAGGTGACATCATGAAGTATCTCGTATGGATGATGTATTTTTTCTGCTGGAGTGGACACTTGAATTTATCCTACGGGGATCAATAAAGTATCTGTCTATCCATCTCCAGCTGGACTCGGCTCCAGAGAGAGACTGCAGACAGGTCTTTATCCCGATCCAGACGCCCAGACCAAGCTTCCACCTGTTTAACACTCACCGAGAAAACCTCAGGTACGAACCAGGACGAGAGCATTTACAGTTTTTTCCAGTCGCTTTGGCGCTTTTCTCAGATCAGAATCAAACTTCTCACAACCATAGGAGGATTTTTGTTCACATCTACATAACATCTATATAAAGATAAGCTAAAAAATAAGTATGAGACCGAACTGAACGAATCCAAAGCCCATATGAGACCTGGGATGAAAATGAACGTGAGTCAGACGAGCCTCTGTCTTGGCACCGATCTGCAGGACAATTATTCTTACTTCATAGAAAACCCGGGACCCTTCACGCAAGACAAGTTAAAGGCTGGACGTCTATGATTATTTTGTTTCTAGATTTTTTGTTTAGATTTGCCATTTTTTCCTGCAAAATTATTCCTGGACATTCACGCGTTCATGTCCCACATATTTTCATCTCCATCAGAGCGGACGTCTTCCCTTGCAAGGCAGCGAGGAAAGTGTCTCCTTGAGGCGAGTCCACCTCCTCATGAGTGAAAACTGAAATTCTCCTGAGACAGACTTTCAGGATTAAAATGATATAGGAATGTGTAAAATTAGCTCGACAGATTTTGATTTTCAGAACTAGTTCAACAATTATGCAATGACTCAAGCAATGAAATGAGCACTATTAGTTTTATAGGTAAGGACTATTCAGCTTCATAAGTATGTTTCAATTTGACTCAACTGACAAAAGTAAACGATAATGTTATAAAACAGCAGAGAATTGTATAAAAGTAACTGATACATGTCCAAAAGCATTTGACATTTGTTCTGCTACGATGATGTTCACAAATGACTCAATGTTGTGGAGGTTGAACTAATATTATTGAGAAATTAAAGTCTGATCTGAGAAAGGCACCAAAGCCACTGAGAAAAACTGTATGACACAAAAAGTCAGGTCCCCCAGCTTTACTTCACTGTTCTCTCTCAGACAGAACCTGCTGCAGCAGAGAGGAGCGCCCCCCGGTGGAAACACAGCAGCATCACTGTGGGACGACAGCGACAGCGAGGGCCCTTGCAGCACGGTCTGAACGCGGTGAAAAACTGGACATGAGCTTTAACTCATCTCACTGGTTTTGTTCCGTTTCCTTTGTTGAGAAAAATTTGCCTTCTGCTTTTAACGCATGAAGAAAACAATAATAATGCATTAGTTTTATTTAGCGCTTTTCTGGACGCTTAAAGATATGTCCTGTGTCAGTATTCTTAATACTGATAGTGATAAACTATTGTAGCCACAGCTGCCCTGGGGCACATTGACAGAAGCGAGGCAACCAGTATGTGCCATCAGCCTCCCACCACCACCAACCATTCACACACACACCAGACTCATTCTAATGTGGGGGAAGTGTCTTGCCTAAGGACACAACCACAGTTTGGCACTTTACAGCCGCAGCCGCCCCACTGTGGCACCTGGTGTTCTCAGAGGTCTCCCATCACAGCACTAACCAGGCCCAGCCCTGCACAGCTTCAGAGGTCTGAGAGGATTTCACATGGAGGTGTCTAAAACATGTTGAGGCAATAAACGTATTGATAAATGAAATGTTTGGATCAAGTTATTTATATTCATAATTAATTAACACTATAATTTTAATTACATTATACTTTATTTTTGAAATGCGAGTGGTCTTATCTTTAACTAATTTTCAAGAGGAGAATTAAGTGCTAGTTACCATAGCAACAAAGTTTACTGGCACCAGTTAACTTTGCCGTATTTCAGTTCGAAGTGAGCTAAAGGTCAAACCTGATTTCTCAGCATTCCATTGGTTTGATCGAGAGCAGTCAAAATAACTGTTCGGGGAGTCCTCATATCAAGATGTTCTGGAAATATTTGCGGTTGCTGTCAAACACTTTTAGAACTTATCATAGATCTGTCTAAAGAGAAGCAAGTCCTCCTCAAGTAACTGGACCTCTTAATTATGGACCCCTGGGCTAGACCCTGATGATGGGAGCTGCTGCAGAGCACCAACAGGAGGAGGACTGAGAGCAGTAAACTTATGCCATCCTTCTTACAGTCCATGGTCTGAACCTTGCTTTAGGTTCATGTGATAATCAGAGGATTACAGTTACCAGACGGTGGGACCAACATTCCAACAAATGACCATTAATCCAAATGAACACAAGACATTTCCACAATAACAGTTTGCCTCCAAACCTGGCAGCACCTATGTCACCTTACACTATCGGGGAAGGACACGCTGGGACTGTCTCAGCTGGCCTGGGAATGAATTGGGGTCCCCCGGATAAGCTGGAAGTGTGGACAGGGAAGTGGAAAATAAATGGATTTAAGACAAAAGGTCAACGTGATTACAATTTTCAAATTTTGTTCAATACAGTGATGACAGAAGACACCAAACACCCGACCAGCACCATCAGCTCACTACATTCAGACTATTGTACTGTACATGTTTAGTGGTAGGGGAAACTTGAGCAGACTCAGAAAGACCTTGCTGAGAAGAGTTAACCACTCAGCCACAGTATGTATTCTGTCCTTCAGATCATCATATTCTCCATTCCATTATAAATCCACTGTTCCCTTCTTTATATTTTATTTGGCTCGTTGATAATGCCTGGTCAGTGTTACAAGATGAAACGTTGCGACCATCTGGGTCTTTTTAAAAACATAATGAGCATCTGCATTCATCACACGGTGTCTATTACGTGTCACTTCATGTGTGATGACAGCCTGACGGATGACCTACATGTGCTGCATTCACAAAACTAGGGTCAGGGAAAACAGACTGCATTTTGAAAAGAAGCCTTTTTATTACAACAGTGGAATAAAGATACAAGAAAACATTGACTTAGTGTTAAAAATCAGACAACACGGGAATATAACAAATAGTATTCACACAGTACATGAATGTTAGAAAAGTAACAGACATGCCAAATTATCTTAAGGTCATCAGAGAGAAATACAATATTTACTCCTGGCATCTGTTTAGCAGCCGGTGCAGGCGGCGAAGGAACAGATCTCACACACATCCATGGGAACCAACGCTGGAGGAGAGAGAATGGGAACAGTTACAAGATAATATTTGATCAACATCATTTTCAATCAATCAATCAATCAATCCTTTATTATCTCACACAGATGGAGAAATTCAGTTCAATGAATAAACATCAAGGCCGGCCGCGTACTCTAATTTTCCGCGCTCCTTATGACAGTTATTCAACAGCATAGAGCAAAACAGACACATATTTCAACAAACATGGGGAGAGACACGGTACATGTGGAAAAACATGCGGATCTTTTTAATGGGAAGTCATCACTCTGGCCCGCCTCGTCCAATATAGCGCGTCAGAGGGGAGTGTGGGTGGGGGAGGTGGAGGGGAAGACCACCATAGACTGAAAAAGAGAGAGAGGCAGACATGTAGAAGGGGGGGGGGACTGTAACTGGTGTTATGGGTTGTGAGTCTGAGATAGATAAGAGTCCAGTGTCAGCCTTGAGTGGCCGTGTGTGGTGGTGGAATGTGAAGGACAAAGATAGCGCAGTTTCTTTGATTTATAAAGATTATATGGCAGTAGATTATATTAATTTATGATAATTCCCAACTCTCTCCCAATGAGACAGTGACTAATTACTCTAAACACTAACTAGAGTGCCTTTGAGTCATATATTTGTCTGCCCTCAGCAGATCTGAGCCCAGAGATATGATGTTTGAAAATGTATCGGATGCAAATTCCACCAATTGTTTGCCATTAATAAACATTCTGTGACCTTGGCTCCTGTAATCACCCATGTCGGGGGTGTCAAAGTCATGTGGTCAGAATAGAAGGAATTTACTTATAGCCATTTGCACATTATGAAGGTACTTTGACAGGACTTTTATGTGAGTTACACTGGTATTTTCTGGGTCATTTTGTTTAACTTTGGATTTAACCAAAACTGGACCAAATATAAACACAATTATCTAACGTCACTGCAAATGATAAAATATGAGGTAATAAAGCGAGTGGCTTCTGTCTTAATTTGGGATCTGACTGTTTTAAAACAAGATTTACCAATGAGACAAAGCCTTTCAGTCTTATTTCAAGAACTGTTGCGTAATTCTCATTCAGTAGAGACATTTCTTGTATCTTTAAAACGAGATGTTTTTTGTCCCATTTGCAAATCTTGGCAGAAAAAATGTGCTTAAATTAAGATATTTTGTCAAATGTCGTTCTCCTGAGACTGGATTTGTTACATGTCTTGGTAGCCCATAACCATTAATGCTGATAATAATTTTAAATGCTTTTGAGGCAACTAAAAAACGTCTTGAGTTGGATCTGGCCTAGCCTGGTCGTACCACACCATAGTACAAATTACATTTCATACATGCAGGAAAATGATGCCTGACCGGAGTGTACGGATGGTTAAGGCCAGGCTCTGGCCCACAAGTCTGAGAGTCTACATGCCTGATTGAGGTCAAATAACCTGACCAGCAGAATTTATGAATACATTCATTCATTCTCAAACGTCTTTAGTAATACATTTCTGGGTCGGGTTAATGATGAATAATTTCACATAATCTCAGCAACATTTTTATATACTGTACATAAATACTCCAATCCCACCACACTGATGCTCTGTAAACCTAAGTCTTACCCAGTCGGGCCAGAGACTCAGACCCTCCCTTCTGTCTGCACAGCGGCACGAACTCTTGGGGTAACAGGGGGTCCAAGCACAGGAAAGCACTGGGCCTGATGTGTGGGTTCTGCTTTGTGGCCAGCATCTGGTCAGTGAGCTCCTGGAGTCTCTGCACAGCCTCCAGGGAGAAGGACATGCCGCCCTCCTGAGATGTAGAAGGCAGATCAAGACATTTTCAGAAAAACAAATGAGTTTTCTGTTTTGAGCATATGTAGCATTACTATACACTGCAAAAAAGATAAAATATAAGTCAAAAAATTCTCAAATTTGGCAATATATCAATTTTAGCACATTTTGACTACGTAAGAACATGAAAAATTAAATGTCTCCCTTGAAATGAGAACATAAAACAGTTCTTGAAATAGGTCTAAATGGCTTTGTCCCATTGGCAAATCTTGTGCAGCTTCTGTAAGTTTGGAAGAAATGCATTTATGTAGGTTTTTCAGGTTGATGGAGGTATAAATACTGTATCTTCAGAGATTTCTTACAGATTGAGTGAATACATTACAGCTAGAATTATCAAATAGAAAAAAAAACTTCGATACATGTAGATTGCATTTGGGGGAGTTGACTTTGTAAGGATGGTGTGTTACGCTATCAGGCAAATAAGAAATTGTGCAGGTAATACATTTGGGAGCTAAAACTGCTATACATATTAATTAGACTGGGATTTTAACTAGTAAGTGGTTAAATGGATTCAAATAGTAACTGAGTGAGGGTGGTCCACTTTATTTTAACAATAGTCTAAAAAAGCTGTGACTGCGGTCAAAAAAAAATGCATGTGAAAACTAGTGACAGAACTAAACTGATGTGTGTGTACGCAAATAATTGGTTAGATAAGAATTTTTGTGGCGTGAATGTTAGGTACCCCAGCTTTAATCCAATTCAGGCTTACATCAAGAGGAGCTTAACATGTGATAAATTATTTGGAGAAGAAGAAAGTTATGGAGGAAATCATTATTATGGACCAACGGCTCTCTATATATATATATATATTTTTAAATTCATTCCATTTCTTGTGTTTTAACTGTTTGATTCTGATCTGTGTTGATGAATTCGACTGAAGTTAGGCCAATACAAAAGTGAATTCTTTGCCAAATGTAACATGTAAATTTCTCCAGTGTGAGATGAGATCAGTAAAGTCAATATAGCCTATTGTATAACTTACCTGCACTTTCACAGCGTCAGAAGTCCAGCCAAGTCCGAGTACAAGGAAAGCCACAGCGATCAAAGCAGTCTTCATGATTGTTTTTAGTATTTCTTTGGTGCTTCTCTGGTTTGTCTTTGCAGGTCTGGCTCCAAGTGTCTGCTCTGGCTCTCGTCCATCCTTCTTTTGAAGTGGATAATCAGACACACACAGGCGTTTTTCTCACGGGTTAATGACGTTATTATTATAGATCCATGGTTAATGATTAGGGACAATTATTTACACAGTAGTTATAAGATATTCATAAATCCTTCTCACACCAAATCTCCTTTCATGGCTGGCTATATTGACCCCAGCGCCACGTCAAACAAGACTAGAGAATATACTGAGAGGAAATGCAGCATGACGTACTGAGCTGACAAAAGATCTGTGTTGACGTCATATTTGTCACAAAGGTAGTATTTCATGTGGATTTATATACACGTTCATTTGTTGATAGTTTTTTAAAAATTATTATTCCTAAAACTCAAACAAAAGCATACACGCACCCAATTTCAGGATGCCTTTTATACAGTTTAATTAGAACAAAATGTAATGTATTTGATTACATTGATACTTATTCAAAATGATCTATAATCTTCTCGTATCTTTTCATGAAATGTACTTGCTGGATTGCAGCGGTATTTTGTGGCATTACTATGAAAAAATGAGCAAAATAAAGTGACGAATACAAAACTGCTGTTGTGAGAAACTATTTACACAGATTTAAATTATTTTGTCGTGATTTGAAATTCAGGTTCTGAGGCTTTCGCTGAATTCAGGACAAATGCCCACAACAATTATTAAGCGCTTTGGATATAGGATTGACCCAAAAGCAGAACTGAAAAAATACAATTTAAACCATAAATGCCCCAAAAACTAAAAGTGAACCATACATATAAAGCATTAACCTGAAAGCATACTGGCTGCAAATTGAGGGAGTTCCTAAATAAAAACTATTTTATCTGTACTATGACGTACCCCCCAGAAGATGGGTAGTTGCGCCCCTACACGTCACGCACGCTTTAACCCGGGGTACACATACGAATCTGCAATTCTTAATTTTTATTTTGTTGTATATATATTCCGATAGTAGCTAGAGGATTTCATTTGATTTTATTGTAAAGCACAAGCAGGTTTCATTGAGTGTCGTAAAGGCCTCTATAAATAACATTTGATTTGAGTAGCAGCATTGCATCATTAATAGGCAATGTTTTTTACCAAAGGAAACGATACAAGAAACAGAAAAAAGACCATTCTTTACAAATACAAATTATTTAGTTAGTGTATACATGGTTTTATATACATGGTATCCACAACAAATGTACAATTCATAGTGTTTGTTCTCAACATGACATAGGCAACTTTATTTTTTAGCATTTTAGACACCATTTGCTTATTCGGTAAAGTAGAAAACGAAATTAAAAGGCACATCCGATGCAATATGGATTATTTTTTTCAGTCTGTTTCCGGAAAGCTGAGAGAGAGAAGAATGAAATAATATTGAGAAGTTTGTCTTGTTGTGGTTGTAGTACGAGGAGCAGCCACCAGGTGTCAGGAAAGATCTTTAGTTGCTTTGTTGACATCCATCCAGAGCTGAAGTTGGAGAAGTGATTCTGAAGAGCACAGTGTCAATAAGAAGCAGTCTTTACATCATTATCGTTCGGATTCGTCTCAACCAGGCGGAAGTGGGCGGCCATCTTGGAAAGTCACCAGTTTTACATTCAAACTACGAATGAATTAAGCAAAAGAAATAAAGGCTGCAACAATTGCTTTTGGAGTTGGACAAGTCAATATCGTGTTTATACTGTACATTATAATCTACTTTTAAACCAATTAAGGATGGGGACCTTACATTCAAACCACAACTAATGTTTTACAAACAAAATGAGTCTACATCTCAAAAAAAAAATCTTCTATCACTAGTTTGCATGCATCTCTGGCCTGTCACATCTTAAGATCAGCTTTTTCAGACAGAAAAGTGAAAGAGGACCATTCTCACTCAGCCCAAAGAGTCCAATAGAGACTCACAGAGCTTTCTTATAAGTATACAAAAGATAACATAAGGAGAAGGACAGAATGTTGTGGTCTGATTTGTTAATGACATTTTTACTTCTATGTTCTTTCTGTTGGTACAAACATGTATTATTCGTGCAAATGATGGTCAGCGAGAGAAATTATGTTTATAAAAAATTACCCTCCAGATTTGTGGTAAATGGCTCACATTTCCCAAAACAGGGAGAAGACTTTTACAGGAAAAGTCCAGAGTCCATTTCATATCAATCTAACACCAACAATTTTTTTTTTTTTTTTTTTTTGCAATTTCTAAACGTATCCTCTCATCTGTCCAATCAGTCTCCAATACTACCTTAGTTTGACACATCTGCTGCTGCATTAGATGAATGAGTATGTATCGTGTAAACACTAATAGAATGATAAAATATGAGGTCATAAATACTTGAATCAAGTGGTTTTTGATCTTAAGAGTAAATTCTGACCAATGGGACAAGCCATTTAGTCTTGTTTCAAGTCTTTTTAGTACATCTTTTAAAAGCAAAACCATTTTACTTGTTCCATTTACTTGTGCTAATTTTAAGATACATTTTGCCAAATTCAAGCAATGTTATACTTTTTTTTCATCACTTGTGTAGTTTATTCTGTTAACGTTAAAGTTTAAGAGTAAGATTAAAGTAAAAGTAAGGTTCAAACTTTCTTTTGGTTTGTATTTCAGAGTTTCTATTGTCCACATATGCCTAAATTTTCAATAGCTCACACAATTGTTGCAGCCTCGAGAAAGTATGATGTCATGTGACAAGAAGAGCAGTTTCGCCAGTTCTGATTGGTCGATGCAATACGTTTGAAATCTCTATACAAAGTGCCTGCCAGTAAAAAAAAATAAAAATAAACATTTGCAAAAATTGGCTTTGAATACAAAATGTACAAAACAAGAAAGTGCCAACAATTATAATAATAACTAAAGATTAAGGTAGACTTCATTGTAGGCAAGTTTCATATCTGTATCCCAGACTAGACCAGCTTTTACGTATCCCAATAGAGTTTAATTATAGTATTTAAAGTGCTATATATTGAATTCGATCCTACTGAAACCCATAAATGTTGGACTGAACAGGTGACATAAAATGTATGTAGAATGTGGGTAGATTTCTTAATAAACCCAACATATATATAAAAACTTTCAAAGAGGTTTCAGTTTTCCCAGTTACAACAAAGGCATCTGTTGTTCAAAAAAAAAAAATAATTCCAAAACAAATCGTGTTGTATTGAGCTTAGTAACATTCAAATCGTGCATCATTTAGTCCACCAATAAAGAAAAAAATCTAAGTAGGAAAAGGTTCATTCAAATCCTCGTAGCGCATCTTCCCCGACAGATTTTGGAACCATTACGTCAACATAATTTCAAATAAGGCATTTATGTTAGTAAGGTTGTGTGTGAGGGCATCTAGTCTTCAAAACAAAATTATTTACGATAGTTAAGGCTTTTAATTAGTAAAAAATATTTGTTGAAACGCAAGCTATCTGGCAAATTTGAATGTTGACCTTTCCAAGATGGCAAAATTTTGAGACCACACCAAGATGGCCGACAACTACGGCACACTTTCCGCATAGTTTTGTTAAGATGTTGGCTTTTCCAGGTTCATGGCAGATGTTTCTCCTTGTAGAATAAGTTTTTTTTTCATTCAAAATGTGCAAAGAAGTTGTCCCCTGGGCGGTTTTCTCCCCTTGTGTCTGTAAAAGGCAACGTTATTATTTATCGGACCATAATTTCTGACAATCACAGTGAAAGATAGTAGATCAAGTTCGTCGTAGTAGGGGGATTCAGTGTCGCCTCGGTACAATGTATAAAAACAAAAAAACAAAACAAAAATCCCTTATCCCCCTGCATAAAATAAGACTTTGGCGATAGTTTTTTTTCAATAGAAATGTCTTGCCATTCACACGTTTTGTCTTTTTAGTCCAGAAGTCCTGTGTGAATCGCGAGAAAATGGCGTCAATGCCCCCGTAGAAGCGATTGACGGGTTGAGGCTACAGAGAAAAAAGTCCGATGCCCCCTTTGTTAATCTAACACATTCATAAAGTTGTCCGTTTTCGATGGGGTTCTGAATAATGCTGTTACATCTGAGAGCGGAAAGTGGAAGCGTTGGTTGTAGTGAATGGAGGTAGATGGATAAACGGTCAAAGAGACAACAATTTAATTGAATCCCCTTTTAGTCTGGGTTGGTTTGAGATGTGTCTAGTCCTTTCTAATTTGGAGATTTATTCTTGGTTTTGTCAAGGTTTTTACCCACTTTAGTCTTGCATTAGGCCTGGTTTGTTTTTGTAACATCTATTTACTTCTTAGTTTGCCCTACTCAAAACTTGATTTTGTCTGATTTTAGTCCTGAGTAACAAACAAGTTACAAGACCGTCACTAAGTCAACCAATAATATAGTTTGTGCTTTGAGAGTTTTAGAAAGCACATTGATTACTCATGAGAATAGTTATCTTCTAAATTAAGGCTTCTAAATCATTGGATAAGACATAGCCTATTCTTGATATTTATTTTGAATCCAAAGTCTTGGCTCTAGAAATATAGTACAGTTTTAGCACATACACGATCCACTTTTCATCCAGGTTTAATGTTAGTCTAGACCCGTTTTAGTTATTATTTCATTTGTAGTTTGGATCACATACAGCCTAGGATTATGACAGTTGAGGCTTTTAATGAGAAAAAACATGTTGAAACGCATGTTGTGCAAAGCTATCTGGCAAATATCAATTTAGACCTTTCCAACATGGCAAATTTGAGACCACACAAAGATGGCCGACAACTCCAAGCACACATTCTGCATGGTTTTGTCAAGACGTTGCCTTTCCAGGTTCAGGTAGAATCAGCTTTAGACCAAATTTGTTCCTATATTAGATCCACTTTTTATCCAGGTTTAATGTTAGTGTAGACCTATTTTAGTAATTATTTAGTTTGTAGTTTAGATTCAAATGCAGCATTGGATATCGACTTTAAATCTGGATACAGTCTCCTTGTTAATTTTTTTTGTATCCATAATTGCTTTTATGTCTCTGGTTGAAATACATTGGGTATTGTTTTGCACAATGACTTAAAAGTACATTCATTTGGTCCAATTGGTTCCAACCGTCAAAACTGTGCTGAAATGTCACCTTCCATTCAAAAAGAGAAATCTTCCAATTTGATGACAGATTTTCCACCACTTCCATTCATTACAAAAGCTACGCAGCCAAACCCAAGCTCGTCACACCAATTATTATAGAGTATTTTGAAGGGAGCCATCTTCTCCACTGTTGAATCTCGCTCGTCGGTGATTGGCTGGCACTCCGGTGTGTCTCATTCTCATTGGCACAGAGGGTCGTGAAAGAAGGCGAAGCTACTGATCCCCTGAGAGGCACAGCGAATGACAGAAGAGATGAAAGAGGTGGGTGAGACTAAGACGGACCAACAAGGAAGTGTTCTCTTAAAACAACTCTTTTTAAAATTCCCCAATGATCAGTAGCTTTTAGTTTGAAATTTACATACACTCGGTTGGTGGGCTGTCGCGGAGAGAGTTAACGTGGGAATGGAGCTTCCCCAGCATTAATTTAGCCAAAGTTGGTGTCAGAAAATGGCAAGAGAATGTACCATGCTAGCTCATGTAATGTCATCAAAGGGGATATATTATCCAAAATTGACACAAATGGGCTATTTTTTTGTCGTTAACTTGGCATTGATTCTTTTCAGTTCAAACCATTATTCCTATTGATCATTCATTAATTTTAAATCATATAATGTTAGCCTTATGCGGAACAGGCCGATTTAGACATGAGCTAGCTAGAGCCAATTTTCTTGTAAGGGCATTTCTTCTGCAGTGTCAGTTTTGCTTTGTAACAGTGGCAGATGTGCTGCGAAGATGGTTGCCATGGTAAACTAGTGTTTACCCCGCAAATGCAGGCATCTGATTGGTCAATCTTTACATGGCTCATTTATGGATTTACAACTACTGTATATTGAAAAGTAGCTAGAAAGCCCAGAGAGAAAGAGAGACCAGAGAAAGAGACTAGAGAAAGGGAGAAGAGAAAGGGACCAGAGAGAGAAAGGCCAGAGAAAGACCAGAGAGAGGGAGACCAGTGAGAGGGAGACCAGAGAGCGACCAGACCAGAGAGCGAGAGACACCAGACCAGGTAGAGACCTACCCTTAACCAGTTTTGAAATGTGAAATACCATTTTACAGTACACCAAATCTGAGCACAATCCAAGACCGTGAAGCTAACCCCACGCTAGTTCCCAGTTAACCGCTAACGTTAACCCCACTCTAGTTCCCAGTCCTCTCCTGGTTTCTCCCCTGGTTCCTCCCACACCACCACTACTGCCCGCTCTCCGCATTTTCCAGCAGAGACAGGCCCTGCAGCGGCGGCGGGAGCAGCTCGCGCTTGTAGGTCTTTGGTGGGAGTTTGGGCAGCTGGGGACTGGAGTTGTGTCGGGGGGGCACGGGCGGAGCCATCACGGCCGGGGGCAGGGGGCACAGACTGTTCTGGCTGGCGCTGAGCGGGCAGGTCCGGCGAGGAACCCGGGGAGACGGCGTGCTGGGTGGCGTGTTGGGGGAGCTGGGGGAGCTGCTGAAGTCCCAGTGGTAGCGTCCGACCGGAGAAGGCTGCAGGTTGAGAGGGTAGTTGATGAAGATCTCCGGTGGGCGCTGAGGCACTGGTGGGGGGGTGTCGGGCATGGGATCCCGCGGTGGGGGAGGAGGGGGGCTGGGTAAGGGGCCGTCGATGGGGAGGGGACCATTGTAAGGAGTGCGAGGCTGAGAACGAGGTAAGGGAGGGGGGAGCCGGGGAGGGATGGCCGGGGGGTTGTCGGAGCATGAACCCATCTGAGGCGAGAGAGAGAGAGAGAGAGGTTTGTTTGCACGTAAAGATTAAACACAATGGAACATAACAAATTATTTTGTTTGATATTTGAAAATTACTGGCTATAAAATAACATGTCTAAAGTTTAAAGAAAAGTTTCTATATCGACTATTTATGGTGTAAATTTCTTGTGCATCTGAAACACTTTGCGCAGCTGGTGTTGTGCTGTTACATTGACATAGCTCCGTTTCTACAAGCCCTACCACTAAGCTCTACTCTACCCATCGTATCCTAGCAACCTACCCACAACAAACCAGTATTCGGGAGTAGAGTAGGGTAGGGTAGGGTAGGGTAGGGTAGAGTGGAGCGGAGTGGAGGGGGGTGGGGTAGGTGGAAACAGGGCTTGTATTCTAATGTACTTGTGTAATAGTTTTAGCCTCCTCCATGACCTCTCCTCTCTCCTCTGACCTTTGACTCCGACAGCGTGTCCTTCCTTCTCGGGGGCAGAGGAGGAGGCTTCAGCGGCTCCTCTCCGAGCTGATGCAGACTGCCACACGACACCGACTGGAACTCTGAACATACAAAGACACACAATGAGGAAACAAGGAAAAGAACAGCATAAACACATGGACATTTGGGAGACAAGGGAGACAGGGGAGACGGGGGAGACAGGAGGAGTGTCCCGGACTTACTGGAGGGAGGCAGGAGAACCGGAGCGAATATAGAGTTACTGCCTGCTGGAAAACACAGAAACAAAACAATACATTTATTTGTATAGCACAGTGCATAGACAAGGAAACTAAATGTACTTAACAAAACAGGAAAAGAGACATTAAAATCATGAATTGTCACAAAAGAATATTAAAATGAGTGGTAATATGCACACTGAAACAGAACCCCTGGTAAATATGCATTTCAGGTCTTAATGATGATGATGATAATGATCATAATAATAATAATAATAATAATAATAATAATAATATAATGGGATCACAGGCTACAAGTATTGCCTGCGAATTACTTTTGGGGAATTTCTTCAGTGAAATGTCGATTTCTATAGATGCATGTTTTCAATTATAATTGCAACAGTTGATGTAATTTCCCACTTCTGCCACCAGAGGGAAGCGTTTCATACTGGGATGTTTTATGTATACATTATAAATGTTAATACATATATTTTCAAATACTATTCTACAACTCTGTTTTCACAATGTACTGTAAAATATTGTCATTATTGCCCTGTTTCTACTAACCCTACTTTGACTCAATTGGGAGCGTTTCCACTTGTTTAACTGATAAAGTAACTTTTGGAACCCGATTTGTTCCTGGTTCTATCCAAGCCAAACTGGTACAAAAGTGTTCTGACAGAAATTGGCCAGAGTTCTGCTGGAACTCTGGCCAATTGGATACTAGTTTGTTGTGGGTACGTTGCTAGGATAGGTGACCAGACAGTAAGTGTAATGGAAACACAAGAGTAGAGTTGGGCTGAGTAGGGCTGGTGGGAAAGGGCTTTATGCTTCAGGGCCAAGAGAACACATTTTAACTTTAAGGAAATTTGAAAACATAAATTTGAGAAAAAATGTGGAAAGTGCGTCACCTCCGTACGAGCTGCTGAGGTCGGGCTCCATGAAGACGCTGCTTAGGTCTGAGGAGGCGGAGGGCGGAGGCGTGGGCGTGTTGGGGCTGGTGGGGACCGAGGCAGAGGTCGACGGCTCCTGCTCAGTCTCTGCGATGCTCCGGAACGTGATCTTGTGAGGCGGCTCTCGCTCCAGAGGGACCGGGTGGCCGGTCCCTCTGGTCCCTCCAGAGGTGGAGGTGCGGAGCGGTCTGATCCCAGGGGACTTCAGAGAGTACGCAGTCTTTCTCGGCTGCAGCAGAAAGATAGTCATCAAAAAAATAAAATATGGTTACAGTGGCCCCTTGTTTATAGGTGGCGTCTACCTGACAGCGATTGGTCAGAGTTAGGGATGTAAAAAAACTGTAAAATTTTCATTACCGACCACCGAGCCTCATTAACCAGTTGAAACCGGTTAACCGCGTAGTTTAAAATATTCCACGTTCTTTGAAATAACAGCCATTCCGAGCCGCATACTTCTCATAAGTGCATCTATGCGTTTTACGGGATCAGAGCCGAGACAGCGGCGCCAAAACCCGCAACAGCTTCGGTACCTTTGCGCACAGAGAACTGCTTTTATAATCTTCCCATTCTTCTGAGCTGCGGGTTAAAGCATTTTAGCAGCAAACAGCGGCTCATTCACATGGTCAGAGCAGCGAGTGACGAGCCTCGTCTCGCAGGTCTCCGCTAAAGTTTAAATACAAGTGATGTCTGTGGAGCTGATCTAATGCCAAGGACCAGCAGCACAAACATGTTCCATGTGATTTGACTGGAGCTGCGTATTTGCGAGGATCCTCTGGGCTCCGTAACACAGAGGAGCGCGACAGACCGGTATGTGTGTGTGTACAATACATGTATGTGTGTGTGTGTAAATGTAAGCTCCAATGAGGTTCTGACCCGCAGCAGTGTGCAACTTTGGCAGTAAGAGAGGGGAGAGATGATGCATGTGGATGTTACGTATGAATGGGGGGAAAAGTGTGTGTGTGTGTGTGTGTGTGTGTGTGTGTGTGTGTGTGTGTGTGTGTGTGTGTGTGCGTGTGTGCGCGCGCGTGCGTGTGCATGTGTGCGTGCATATGTGGTGCGTGCGGCATGAGAGTCGTCCCAGAGTTTACTAATACATTGCCGCACACAGCTAGAGACGGACCCGCTCGTCACACCGTGCAAATAGGGCTTAAAATAGCGTTAAGAAACGTCCCCTCTCCCCTTTTTCTCTTTTTTAACTGACAGCTTTGACCGGTTAAACGGTCACCAATTTACATCCCTAGTCAGAGTGAACTTCCACGGACACTGGTTTGTTGTGGGTAGGTTGGTAAGATACAGTACCAGATACAGCGGCTATTTTTGTTTTGATTCACTTGCATGTACAGCACTTGTATAAGCATAGGCTGTTATAAATGTGCTCTACAAAAAAAGATTGATTGATACAAAAGTGCAATTGAAACGCAACCAGGTGGAGGTACCATGTAGGGCTGGTGAAAACAGGGTTTATGTTTTAATATCTGAGTCGATTGACAGTATAAAGCTGTGTTCCCACAATGGACGTGCATTCACTAAATATCAGCTGCATGAGTTTAGTCTATCTTCTGTACGGCCCTGCGTTGGAGGAAAACGCAGACCGTGACCCCGTTGTCATCCCTGGTTTGAGCCTGGTTTAGCTCATGTTTTGGTTGTTTTCGAGTGTCTTCATCTTCCTGTTTGGACATGAGTCCCTGTGACCGCTTTTCTCTCTGATTGGTTGCTACACATGAGTGGAGCAAGAGTGTTCATCTTCTGCTTTCGCTGCATAGATCTAGCCGCAAGGATCCACCGCGGCTGCTGGGCCGGACAAAAGTGCAGGCCGCGACTGACATGCAATTCCTCGCATCGGCGAACGTTACCAGTGACTTTGCATTGAAAATCGTTGCAACGCATGATCCTGTGGGAACACAGCTGAAGAACTCTCAGTATGTTCAAAACCACACTCTATCCAGTCAGGTTATCAACAGGTCTGATGAGTTTAGGCCTCAAGGCTCCTGATCTGAGACAGCTTTCAAAAGACATCTCATAACGTTCCTAACTTTTTAAATGTAATTCTGAATAATGCTCCCTCTGAATAAACACACAGAGGGAAAATTTGATTAAGTAAGTCATCTTTATCTATATAGTGCCTTTCACAGACCAGAGTCGCAAAGCGCTTTACAATTGTTGTGGGCATTTGTCTCTCACTCCACACAGATGGGAGCGAGGTCGCCACACAGGTGGCGCATGCCAGACTTATTGTGCATGTTTTAGAGGTGGGGAAACCGGAGCACCCGGAGGAAACTTACCTACTTTGAGAGTTTCTCAGCTACTTTCTAATATACATTTCTATTATGAGTTTGACTCTTCCCTGTGCTCATAAAAGCATCTCATTGGCTCATAAGGATCCAGTTGATTTTTTTAAGTTAAGCCATAATTATACTTAATAAGAACGTACAAATCTGGGGGGCTGCCTGCTGTTGCGAGGCTCGATCTCCAGCGACATGTTGAAGAGATAGTCTGCAAACTCCTTCTCTCCTCTGTTTCCCATCGGATTCAAGTTTTCAAAGAACCTCTGGAAGAACACCAGAATTTCACTCACAAAAGCATCACAGAGACATAGACCAGGTTAACTGAGACAGAAAGAGTGACAGTGAGACACACAGAGAGAGAGAGACAGGCCGCTCACCCTGATGTCCTGCTCCACCTTGAGGCAGTACGGCTGGTTCTGGTACTGTTGGATTTCTCCCGTGATCTCTGCCACTTTCCGCCTCTTGCTGAAGTTTATGAGCTCTTTCCCGTGGCGTTTGAGAAAGTCTGGGTTTCCCTCCTCCGTCTTCAAGATGTTGGTTAAATATATACCTGAGAAAAGAAGAAGAAAAATGTGTTCATGTGACATCACAACATTCCAAAGACCCTATAGTTTAACATTGTCAAACGTCAGATTTCTAGTCTTAGTTTAGAGCTAATTTTGTCCATCGCTCTCCATAGTGTTACCGGATTTTCTTGCTTTTTCTTCTTGAGATGTTGCTGCAGTACAGTGATCATGGTTTTGTGCTGGTCCAGACCGGAGTGGAGAGGATTCATGGTCTGAACCAAGTGGATCAGGCGAAGATTCACTGTAGGAATGCTAACTTTTTGAAAAATGCTAACAAAGCCTTTAGCAATTTACTTTAGACCAGAGCAGAGAAAATGATCTGGAGCAAATTCCTATCTTTCTAAAGCAAAGAAGATGGATAAACATATGTATTAGTGGCATTACTGCATAGAACCAGGGCCTTAACCCTCTCATGTCTCCTGCATGGAAAAATCAACACTGTCCCACAACAAAACCATTTCTTTATGACCAGTAAAAGTAAAGAGCAGTGGTGTTTTGGGGAAACACTGAAAACTCATAAAAGTTCTTTGAGACTGTGACCATAAACACAGGTGCAGCGCCGTGACAACAGTGACAATTAATGAGGAGACAGAGAGAGTTTGGTCTGGAACAAAACCCGAGAGAATGTGGAACTATCCAAACAGTTGAATTTGACTTTGTTGAATTATTACATACAACTGATTTATGTGGCAAAGTATCCGACTATAAAACCAGTCCAAATGTTGTGTTTCTGCAGTATCTCTGTCTATGTCTATAACTATCTCTATCTATGTCTATAACTATCTCTATCTATGTCCATCTATCCATCTCTGTCTAGGTCTATCTCTATATCTCCATCTATCCATGTATCTTTCGACGTCTAGCTATGTCTATATCTATACATATATCTAAAACAGATCCATTTTATATAGTTATAGTTATTATTCCTTGGATCTGAACTGGTTACTACATTCAGGCTATTAAAGAACACAGAGTTAGCAGAAGTTGCAGAATGTGTACTTGCTGATATTAACAAGTTTAAAAGTTGTACAAAGAGTCGTACTTTCTGGACTATGAGGTACACCTGTACGTATAAAAGCCGCACCACCAAAATTTGAAAAGAAAATCAATATTGTCCACATATAGGCCGCACATGAATATAAGCTGCAGGCTTTCAAGTTGTAATGTAGCAGAGACGACTGTTTAAACTGGACCTAACATGATTTAAGTAAGTAAATAATCTTTATATAGCGCTTTTCACAAACCAGAGTCACAAAGCGATTTATAGAAGGCAAATGTCAGACCTATTGTACACGTTTTTAGTGGTAGGGGAAACCGGAGCACTCGGAGGAAACCTACGCCGACACTGGGAGAATATGCAAACTCCACACAGACATGACTTGGTGTTTAGCAGCTTCACTGTGAGCTTCCATCATTCACCTTAATCTATTTTGACAACAAACAAGTGTCATAGCGACTAAAACTTGACTCTGACTTGACTCTAACTTGACAATCCGTGAAGTACATTTGAATGTATGATTTTCCGCAAGTGACGTTTACAGATTGTTGTTTAATGTGTATCTGCTATAACTAAATTAATTAATTAATAAAAAAAAAACAAAAAAAAAACTTATACATACACACATTAGCCGCATTGCTATATAAGTAGGGTTGGGCGATATTTTTTTTGTACCGGTATAAGTAAATTAAATGATAAGAAAATGCCTTATACCGGTGAAAACGATCATTTAACACTGAAAACAGCGAGCGGAAGACACGTTTATGTGCGGCGCACTTTGATGACGCACGTGTAGCAGAGCGGCGTGCAGGGACAACAACAACAGAGCAGAGAGTAAACATGGCTGAGGGCGGCGGTGAAGACCATGGTGAAGACATGCAGATTGTAGAAGACATTGTGCCAAAACGCGGAGCTACCTCAAACATATGGGAGTAGTTTGGGAACTGGATAAAAAGAAGCAATTGTGTGTCGTCGTGGTTGAGAGTGCCGTGTCTGGACAAAGGAGAGTGGTTCTGGTTGAACAGTTGATAAAAGATCTCGCAGCTCGTTCACTCGAAGGGAATAAAACTCTGGAGTTGAGATTGAATGACATCGTTTGCCAGGCTTGAACTCTCTGACCCGGCTTGGATTTGCCCCTGTGTACGGGGTCTGAGGGCGCCGCAATTCGGTTTAATTGGATTTAATAGAATATCTGCCTGCTTTTAACTGCTACATTGCATTTAATATTGTCCCCCTGAGGCGATGTGTTTTCTCCTCCTGTGCCTTCTCTCCACTCTTATCTCACATTCCTCGGCCAAGGCCATAATAACACAGGTCCCAATCTACAACAATTCACACTATTCAGTCTCCAGCTTGGATCCCCTACCCCCGCCTCCCTCTACCTATCCATCTTGCTCCCTCCCTCCCCTCCACTCCTCACTGTGTTTCCGACTCACCCCCTTCCCTGACCCCGCCCCCCTCTGACAGCCACATTGGCCGGCTGTCGGAGGTGCTCATCCCGAGAAAAAATCCGTGCTTTATACAAAGCACAATGTGTCTATCCAACTGTCTGTGAAACTGTATGTTATTGCTCTCTGCTGTTTATTCTACTGTTTGTCGCATGGCGCCGTAAAGATGGCGCCGTGGCAAGAGCTCTGGTGTGTGTCGTCTTCTCTGTCTGGTGCACACCGGGGTAGTCTTGCACAGTTTTTCCTATGTGGTTTTACTGCAAATGGCAAATAAATGAATCTGAATCTGAATCTGAATCTATCGACAGTGGATCTAATGTTGTGAAAGCAGCTGCCCTAAACAACTGGACTCGAGTGGCTTGCTTCGGACACTCGCTCTCTCTCTCTCTCTCTCTCTCTCTGCCATTGGTAAGCTTTATTTTCTGTTTACTGTCATTCATTTTACTTCAATGCATGTGTTTGTCTACATTGCAATATAATTACAAATAAGTTATAATTACATAATTATAGAAACGCAAAAGGATACAAAAAATATATACAGTATTTGATCATTTTGACTATATTGGGATTAGGAAACATAAGCCAAAGTGATCAAATAATTATTTGATAATGCTACACTTTTTATATTACAAAGGACAAACTTTTATATATTTTACAAATTACAAATCTTCACCTTTATTACATGTTGCCTGCAATTTTCAGTATGTACAAAACAGAATTCTCTACAATTCAGTTTTGTTAATACGTTTTATATACAATAGCTGTATTGCACATTTTGCTGCCAATAAATCAGTAAATGCACTTTGAGGCAAGTGTGTTTAAAATTATCAGTGCTAAGTTTTTATAGCTTTTATATGAGGCTTTGTTAAAATTATCATATCGTCATATCGTGATACATACCAACAAAAATCGTGATACATGCTGAGGCCCATATCGCCCAACCCTATATATAAGCCGGTGATCAAAGAACCATAAAAGTAGCAGCTTATAGTACAGAATTTACGGTAAATACAAATCGTTGCACTGTCTACCCAACACCATCAATCAAATCTATATTTGTAGAGCACATTTAAAACAGCCAAGGCTTACTAAAGTGCTATAAAGACAAGAAAAAAACAGCACAATAAAAACAGACATATAATATTTGTACACATAAAAAAAAGAAAACTAGTACTTTCTATCTGGTATTAAAAGCCAAAGATATAAAGTGCTTGAGAGATTGTGCAGTCTATACACTGCCTGTATATAGATGGAGAATGCTAACCTGCTAGCTCAAAAACTACTCCAGGTCTGTTTTTGATCAGGGACAATGAGGTTGGTGCTGGTCCTGTGGTGTGAGTCTTACCAAAGAAAGGCACACATGGTGGGTTTATTGACTTCAGTTTAGCCAAATATTTCTTAAAATGGTCCTGGCTCAGCTCCACGGCCTCCTCAAGAACCTTCTTTTTCCGCTCTGGAATCGCCTGCAGCAAACAAGTAGATTTAGACAAGTTGCATACTAAAATAGAGAAACCTTTAGAGAAAAAATAAAAATAAAATAAGATTCCAGAATTTGACCCCAGGAAGACGAGCAACCAGCGACAGTAGAACAGTTCTGGGGTATTTTACTATTGACAAGAAGCAAGAACATTTACCAATTATTAAAATAGAGGAAACCAGAGGTGGAGTCCAGGAACCTTCTTGCTGAAAAGCCAGATTTCTAACCACTGAGCCACTTAAAGTGTTAAAGAGACCAGAGAGCGAGACCAGAGAGAGAGACCAGAGAGAGAGAGACCAGAGAGAGAGATAATACTTATTTAATTGCGGTCCCTCACCTCGAAGGTGTGGTCGAGCCGGTACACAGGGACAGAGTTGATGGCACAGACCACCTCCAAAACTCCATTGAAATTATTGAGCTCCTGAAAAACCTGTAGAATCTCAATGATCCGGGTCATGACGGCAACTCTCTCCTCCAGGTTCATCATCTCCACTATACATCTGCAGAGACACACACACATAGCGATACAGACACACACAGAGACACAAACACACATACAGACAGACACAGAGAGAGAGAGAGACAGAGACACACAGTTAAACTTGTGTTCAGCAGTTGTGAGAACAGGGCAAACCGGACTTCCCTCAGAGAACGAAGCATATTTATAGATCATTATTGTTTTTAAAGCCAGAGCACCTAACTTGTCATCATGTCATGTCATGTCACATCTGGTTGACATCCCAGTTCTTACTTTTAGGCAGCCCTATAAATATCTATATATAAATATTTTACTTTGTATCCAATCAAGTCAACAGGTGAAGTACTACTAATGTAACATAAAGTAGAAAAGTATTTACTTTTCAAACCAGAGCGTGAGGTTGGTCGTGTGGCGGATCATTCGCAGAAGGTTCGGAGAGTTCTTCTCTTTGTCTTCTTTGGTCCAAACGCTGCCCACCAACTCTGAGGGACGCACCGCTCTGAGGGGAGGGGGAGAAGTACTGATGGCGAGTACAGTGGGCCCTGTTTTATTGTAGGGGAGAAGTTCTAAAAACATGCCAGCAGGAAGACGAGCGAGACAAGAGCGAGAAATCGGAGATATCAGAGTGAAAGACCAGAGATAGAGACAGGGCTGGACTGGGACAAAAAAACGGCCCGGGCATTTTTTCCTTTTTAGCGGCCCAGGCAACTCAAAAGGTTCAAGGAGCCATATTTGACAAAAAAAAATAAAAAACTGCGTTGTATAAGGCTTATATGAAGGTAACAGGGGCTGAAGCTGTGTTAGCTACATTAGCTACATTAGCTACCTTAGCTACATTAGCTATATTAGCTATATTAGCCTAATATCTAAATGACAAAGTAAAGGCTAAACACATAAAAACCGTGACAACTCTGCTTTAAGTTTGACCTTCATGCAATTGTACAAATACAGTGAATAAATCTGCTTTTTGGCTCCGAGTTCACCTGCATCACTGTCTGCTCATATCGATCACAGGCTGAAGTTTGCTGGAGCTGAATGTCCTTAATGGCCTTTTCTTTCACCGTCTTTGCAAAGGTATTTTTTTAAGTCTGAAAATAGGTGCTCTGACTTTATGATGAATGAATCTTTCAGTGAACAGTGTTTAAAGCTTCATTGTTCCTCGTGTTTCAACAAAACTTTTCATTACATCGCAAACATGAAGCAGTCCTTCCTCAGTGACTGAAAGCAAATGTTCATTCTCATTCTTAGTCCAGTCTTATCGACTCTTTCTCTTTATCTTTGGGATCCATGCTGGGATGGACCAGTCTATGATGCACACACGCCGGTTTGTTTACAGCAGCGGCCGCCTGGCACGGGCGGCGTGACAGGATATGACACACTACGTTGACAGAATTGCTAAAATTGAATAGTACTCATACAAGTTTTTGCAGCATTGAAAAACGTTAAGAATGTTTTTCCTCCTACAGAAACCACATTCAAACTAGAAATAAAATATAGCCCTCACACTCCATTTTCAGACATTTTTGAAAACGCGCCAGGAGCCACTTTAGGGGCAATAAAGGTTGCCGACAATAAAATACAGTACAATAGTCTACATTAAACAGAGTAATAAACATGTCTCAGAGTGAGAGAGGTGACACAGACAACACTATTGTTTGTTACAGGGATGAGAATTGGTAAAAATTTCTGAAATGCATATTGTCAGCCATTTGCTGGCTCTAAATCTGTTTAATCTGTTCACCACATTTTACTTTTGGGCTCAAACATGAACTTTTAATGCGATGGAAAATGTAGGTACCCGAGCTTTAATTTAGAGGAGAGGGGAGACGAGGACTGTTTTCTGCAGCGGTGTATTTATTGGGTGCACAAATTACAAAAAGACATGCATGGTCCTGTGCGCGTTTATGGTCTTGGGTACATGGTCACGTTGCGGCTACGCGCTCACCGTGTTGTGTTGTGAGCGGTTCCTGCGTCCAGCTCAGAGCCGCTGGATGCAGGAACACTGCGGCCGCTGAGGTGGTGGAATCCCGTTCCAGTACATGCAGCAGGTGCCCCGCGGACACGCGCGCTCCCCTCAAACAGTTCTCAACGGATTTACACTTTTCACAAACATGTTTTTTGTATGAGGCAGACAGACCGGCCCAAATATGGGCATCGGCCCTTCTGGCATTGCCCGGTACGCCTGATGGCCAGTCCAGCCCTGGATAGAGAGACATACGAGAGAGAGACCAGAGAGAAAGACAGACCAGAGAGAGAGAAAGAGAACAGAGGGAAAGACAAACCAGAGAGAGAGAAAGAGAACAGAGGGAAAGACAGACCAGAGAGAGACCAGAGAGAAAGACAAACCAGAGAGAAACCTGAGAGAGAGAAGCCAGGACTGAGAGCTACGGGAAGACCAGAGAGAGACCAGAGAGATAAAGACCGGAGACAGACACCAGAGGGAGACACCAGAGGGAGACACCAGAGAGACACCAGAGAGACACCAGAGAGAGACACCAGAGAGAGACACCAGAGAGAGACACCAGAGAGAGACACCACTGTAGTACTGTGTGAAATGAGGCCTCTTTTTTGGGCTGCAGTTCCCTTCCTCACCTGTAGAGCTCAGACTCGAGCAGGGTGAGCTGGCGGGCGATCTCGATGGGATGCAGAGTGAGCAGGTCGAAGGCGTCCGTCTGACCGGTGCGACACAGATGCCACTCGATGGGAGGAGGCGGGCTTTCGAATGTGATGTTGTGGCTCACACCGTTTGTCTGCGTCTGAAGCTTCCGCCGGATGATTTTGTTTATGGACTCCACCCACTTCCTCATGGATTTACCTGCAAAGGATGAATTTATTTAAGAGTGTTTTGTGCTAGTAGTGAAATAAAGTAAGTATTTCAATCTCATGTACACCAAAAGATAAAAACAACAAACAGGACTGAACCAGGTCTAAACCAGGGGCTGAACCAAGACTGAACTAAAACTGAACAGGGACTAAACCAGGTCTAAACTAGGACTTAACCAGGACAAATCTACACCATCTCCGCAGCTGTGACCTGGCCTGCTCCACCCAGTGACTACTCTATCTCTGCTGCTGTGAGCTAAAGTACTGTTGCCTTTTTAATACTTTGGTTAGCTATTTAGAATTATCTATTTATTTGTTAGTTTGTATGGATGCAAGTGTTTCTGCTGCTGCAGGTCACCTGAATAACTCCTAAGGGGATCCTTAGGACTTAACCAGGAATAATCCACGACTAAACCTCGACTAAACCAGGATTACCTCTGAGTTGTATTTTGCTGGTGATGTACTCTTCTAGGCGGCTCCTCAGCTCCGGATCGTTTTCAAAGTCGTAAAAATGATGTTCCACCCACTGTCGGAAAACATTCAGGACTCTGCCAAAAAAACACAGATAAGTCATTTATTCTGCTTCTACTTTTTTGTTTGAGCAAAAACCATAAAACTGTAATAGCAATAAACAAAACAATAACGTATGACTGTTTCATGGGACGTGTGGCAAGAGAATTATACATGAAATACTTGTTATTCTTAAATAATAATGAACTAAGAGTGAAACTAGAGAGAGAGCAGAAAGAGAGGGAGAGAGACCAGAAGGAGCCCAGAGACGGACCAGAGAGAGATCAGAAAGAGAGAGACCAGAGAGACACCAGAGAAGGACCAGACAGACCAGGGAAAGACCAAGAACAGGGAGAGACCAGGGAAAGACCAGAGATAATGTTCCACTGTTTTTATCCTGGAGTGAACTTTGAAGAGGACACTTGGCTTTAATGGACTCACACTTGAGTCAAAATAAACTTCCATATTTCAAAAGGCCACCCACAATGTTTTTCTGCACTGAGGATTCTGGCTTGGGACAAATGGAAAAGATGTGTGGTCAAAGCAGTAAAGATTATTGTCAAGAGTTCTGTTAAAACTGACCAATTAAAAGGTAGTGGAGGAGATTAGAGAGAAACTCCTACTTTCCAGAGAAGACTCGAGACACTGAAGATAATGAATGACTTTATTAAGTCCCAGAGTGAGGAAATTAAATAGGTTTATTTTGGGGCTGCCTCTCAATGGATGATATGCACAATATGTATCCTCTTTGTTCTTCAAATGTTGTATCCTGAGTGAATTTTAAGACCAGAGAGAGACCAGAGAGAGAGACCAGAGAGAGAGACCTGAGAGAATGAGAGAGACCAGGGAGAGGTGAGAGACCCCCCAGAAAGAGAGAAGAGAGATTTCATTTGGGGCTACCTCAATGGATAAAATGCACAAACTGTATCCAAAATGTAGTCTGTAAATTGCAATATATAAAATGCATTTCTTTAGCACAGAAGACACAGGAGTGTTTGGTACCTGAGCTGAACCGGTTGGACATACTCCTTCCTGAACCTCTGCAGCTCGGCGGCCATTGGCTGGTCCCCATTCCACAGAGCCTGGCGGTCTTCCTCCGTAGGCTCCGGCTCCGGGATCTCAATCCTGAACAAAGAACACATTTATAATCCAGATGATCAGACACAAATCACAAAACCTCCAGTAGAACCTCTCTACAATGTTACTCTTTCTGTTTACCAAAGTAAATGCATTCATGTATTTCTGTATCTGAGAGAGGCCAGAGAAAAAGAGGCCAGAGAGTGACACCAGAGCAACACCAGAGAGAGAGGCCAGAGAGAGAGACATCAGAGACCATAGTACAATCCTTCCACAATATTACACTTCCTTTTTACCAAAATAAATGCATTACTGTATTTCTGTATCCGTTTTTTTCACTGTGTATAGTAATGCAAGTTCAAGGTAATTATGTAATAGATATATAGCAAACAAAATGCGACACAGAGCAGAAGGAACACAGCCATACCTGTCTATTAGAAGAGTGAGTAGTTCTTGTGGTTTACAGAATGACCGATACGTGGTCAGAAATGTCCTTACGAAGTTTGGGTCTAAAACACAACACAAAGAAATAATTAATGAGACAAAATATGGGATTAGGGCTGTCATTTAAGCCAAGTTAAAACAAGCAGCTTCTCATCCACGTTACATACAACTGAGCATCCGAATGCACACACGCAAGTCTCACAGCTAGAAAAGGGTTAAGTAAGTAAGTAAGCAATGTTTATTTATATAGCACATTTTACAGACCAAGGTCATCCAAAGCGCTTTACAATGTTCATATAATGTTCCAATCATTCCGCACACTGGGATTACGGAAGCGGTCATAGTTCAGAAGCGAGAACAAATCAGCAGTTGGTGCAAACACTCGCTGGAGATATAAGAGATTCATATGGGTTTTCTGAGGATGATGTAGATTTTAACTGATTTAAAAGGCATCTTTTTATTTGTTCTTACATTACCAAAAGCTCACAACCAGAGGTGAGGGAGGGAATGTAGATCAATGGGTAAAAAGCAGACACTGCTCCCTCTTCACCACAACAATCCAATACAACAGTTGTGGTTGCAAATCTCATGCTCCATCCTTCCCTCAATCATGTTTTTTTTAATTATTGTTACTACTTACGTTTTGGGACAGTTGTTTAGAAGACAAACGTTACATTTCAAAATATCATTCGTACAAACCCAGGCACATGGACCAAACCCCTCCCTACAGTCCTTACCTGCGTACATGTGGTACGTGAGCCTCTCTATCAGCTTCACCACGGTCCCAGCCTTGATGATGGGGATTCCCGTCTTGCTCTGCACCTTGTCCTCGAACACAATGTTTTCCTCGCTGTCCTGCACCGCAAACATGTAGAGCTCAGGCGAGGGCAGGCGGAGCGGGTGGGCCTGCTCCTCGTACTGCAGAAATGTGTCCAGCATCCGGTCCAGCGTGGAGCGGTACTGCAACGTCACTAGCCCTGCCATCCACGAGGCCTTCTCCTCCGCCGTCCGTGCGCAAAACGTGGCGCAGTTCTCGTCCTTGCCCACCAGCTCGAAGGCGTGCCTGAGCTCTGCCGTGTCCTCGCGGTCCACAATGCGAATTTTGCGGAGCACAAACTTCTCCTTGAGTCGGTATTCGGCGCCGCTGCCGGAGCCGGGGAGGCGTGAGCTCTGGTTGGCCTTGCAGCTGATCATGAGGCCGTCGAACAGGAAGTTGTGGCGCTCGTGTTTGGCGCCTGCGCGCAGCAGCGGGCCCTCCAGGATGAACTCACTGCAGCACTGGCCAATGTCTTTGCCCTCCCAGCCGTCTATGCTCTTCTGGATCTCGTTCATGCGCTTGATGGCGAGCTGTTTGGAGCGCACCTGCCGGCTGTAGAGGCGGTACATGGGCTCGCTGCAGGAGACAGAGAGGATGAGTTGGCAACACTGACTTTACAAATGTAATCAATTCGGCAAAAACAGATCAGAGAATAAAACGGCTCTAAAACAGGAAATGCAATAATAATTAACAGATAGGAGCCATCTATCAATTTTGTTCCGCTTTATCCTTTGCCGGTTGTGAGGACAACAGTTTAAGCAGAATTCCCTCTCCACACACACACACACACACACACACTTCCCTATGTCTCCTCCCGATGGGATGTGCTCAGAACCCCTCTCCCGGGAGGCATCCAGGAAGCATCCAAAACAATGCCCAGGCCTCAACGGGCTCCTCTTGACGTGGAGAAGCAACGGCTCTACTACGAGCACCTCCGATGTGACTTACCCCATCTCTAAGGGAGCAACAAGCCACTCTGCTAAAGAAACACATTTTTTCTTGTATCCGTAATCTTGCCCTTTCAGGCTTTACCCAAAGCTCATGACCAGAGGTGAGGGAGGGAATGTAAATTGGCATTGGTAAATCAAGAGCTTTGTATGGATACGCTGCTCCCTTTTCACTACAACAAACAGATCAGTGTTCTGTGTGGATAGGAGCACAGACCCGGGTTTGCGTCGCGGCTGGTGCTTGGCATAGATCCGGTCCACGCTGCACTGAAGGTTGATCAGAGCTGTGATGGCCTGTTTGAGACATTCGCGGTCATCCTCGTCCTCACTGCGCTCCTGGAGTTGCTGCAAAAACACATGCAAAAAAATGTATAATGTTGTGAGAAAATGTTTTACCTGATCCAAGAAAGTGTCAGAAGAAACTATTATTATGAGGGTACAAAATGTAAAGAGAGTCAAACAAAAATGACATCCAACAGACCCAAAGACATAAAAAAAAATGTAGAGGTAAAAATGTGTCCTGGGACAAATCTCACCTGTAGAAGCTCAAAGTAGTGCATGCAGTGATAGACTGGGACCATCATGAGCTGAGGAAGGACGTACTGAACGGCCTCTTTGAATCCCTCTGCCACCGACTGAAAAACACACAAATGTATAAGTAAGAAATAGATATGCATGATCCCAGAAAGTCATGAGTCGGGTACATAAGTTAAAAGTAAAACGATAGCGAGAGAGACCAGAGAGAAACCAGAGAGAGGGGCCAGGGAGAGAGACAAGAGATATTTTCTACTGAAGTGACACGAGTATCAAAAAGTCAACATGTTTTTCTCCATTTCTCAATATTTGACAATATTCACATAGAAATGAATGTATTTATTGGAGCAAACTGCACAACTGTACAGCAATTGCTTTCATTTTTTTCCTTAACAAAACCACAAAGCCACAAAGGCATTCTTGTAATTTCAATAAACATAGTCAGTTCATAAAATGTGTAAATGTATATGTTAGTTTGACAGCATAATATATCTGTAAGTAACGAGCGGAAAACAGACCAGACAAAAAGGGGAGAGACCGCTGCGAGGAGAGAGAAACCAGACACGGCTCAGTCATAGTTTAAATCTTCTATTCCCTCGATACAAGAAGCAAAATCAATACAGCGTACTCAGACTGTGGCCGACCTCACCTCGCCGTCTGAACCACGACACATGAGACAAACATAGAATATTGGTGGATCATTCTGACAACGATATGGGAAATGTGGGAAAAAAAATTGTTTCTAATCTGAGAGGAGCAGTGTGTGTGGTGCTTTCACATCTCCATAAATAAAAGCAAATAAAGTAAAGTGATGGGAACCAGAGTTTGATTCAAAAGAATAAGAATGAATAAATCCTTATTGAAACTAGAAATCTAGTGGAGATTAACCCTCTATGCACATGGGTCATTTTGGGGATCTTTCCTCGCCTGGTTTTTTGTGTGTAAAATTGCTCATAAAACAGTCATCTTTTGATGCAGAGTCAAGCAGTATACTTTGTTTTTTTCAGAACAACCTGGGGTTTTAGAATATTCATATTGTAAAGCTGTCATATGAATTATTTAAAAATTATGGAATCATGAAGACAAAGAAAAAAAATCAAACGGAAAATCAATTTAACAAAAATGTATTGAAAAAACACAATGAAATGCTATAAACAACTTTTTACACTGCATAGACATTTTATTTATGGTCATGGGGATAATGGGGGAAAAAAATGAATCTCTAACTATTATACTTTTTACAAAATTCCACTATAAAAGCAAAAAACTCTGTACTCCTGATGCCCTTCCCGAAGCAGTTTGTCTATAATGCTGGGGTTGCTTCTGTAGCACAGCTGTAAAACAAAACGTAAAACATAAGAAACTGAGCCAAAAAAAAAAAAACATCAATTATTTATATAATACATATATTTGAATACATCATATACACATAATGTCATTTTACTGTATTTATTATCGTCTTTATCAATAATGCGGACTCTTCAGCCGGTTATTGCAATCGCAGCTGTAGTTTCAACTGTGGGAGAACAAGTACAGACAGAGGAGTGAGACATCTCACTCTCTGACGATCTTTGGCAGTCCCCGTGTGTTCGTATCTCACAGCTGTTTGTACCTCACGGGTCACGCTTTGGACACGGACTTTCAGACAAGCGTCTGAAAGTTTATCCTCCGTGCATTGCACAGACAAATCAAAACTAGTTTCGGAAAGCCTTGAATGTGTACTTCACAGAGGAAAAAAAAGGAAGTTGCTACGTTTTACCGTTCGCGAGTAAATTGATCATTTGTAAAACACGTGCGCATGCATCGGCGCCGATGCAGACGGGTTCATAGGGTTAACTGATTTGAAGTTTCTGCAGAGGACGGAGGATAGGTGAGAGGTGGTGGGAGAGAGGGAGGAGAGTAGACAGGAAAGGGAAACAGGAGAGAGGATGGAAGAGAGGAGTGAAGAGAAGAGCAGAGAAGATGAGTTGCACGAAAGCAAATCCCCAGTTTGTGACTTCTTGTTGTTACTTACAATGGCAATAAAAAATCTGATTTGATGCATAAATCTATTTAATTATTAAAATCATTCCCATTCAAACGTCTTCTTCCAATCGCAATCTAAATTTAAAAGACTTCTGGCTCTTCATACAGTCTTCCTGAAAATGTGAGACAGGCTTCTTCTCTGACAATGTTCAAATCCTTGTTAAAAACAGCTGTGATACAACAGAAGGATTGTATCTTCACTCTCTATAATGTTCTTTCTGGTGATGTTAAGCACTTTGACTTGCCTTGTGTACAACCTGTGCTATGACAATAAACCTGTTTTTTTCTTTGCGCCGTCTAAACGTCAAATAAAATCAGATCTATGGAATTGAATGAATGAGGCATGTTTTTTTCTGTCAATAATAACTATTGTATATAAAATCTCACTGTGACTCTTCTTGTCTCTGAAATCCAAAAACAAATTGGAAGTTGTATCAGTCCGTCACTGTTGTATCAGTCCGTCACTGCTGTATCAGTCCGTTACTGTTGGCTTGACGGCACAGTTCTTTGACCATGAATAGACTTTAAACATCTATAAACAGAACATTCTAATTGTGGACATCAAAGACACCGGCGTAGACTCTGCTCTTGTCCTCGTCTGATCCGGACAGAGCAGCGGTGTCTGAGCAGAGATTAGATTAGTGTTGGGCACAAACAAAGATGAAGACATTGCACTGTAAACAATGGGCTGGAATATCTGTGATGTCGCATGTTATTAGCCTGATGATGTCATCCTCAAGATTCTGAAACGGATCCACTGGACTGTGATTATGGGGCCTGTTTAAGCCAAACAAGAAAAAACAAAGCGCGCGTGTGAGTTTGTGTGTGCGTGCGTGCGAGTATGTATGCGAGTGTATTTGTGTGTGTGTGTGTCTGTGCGTGGGTATTTGTGTGTGTGCGCGTGTGTTAGTATTTGTGTATGTGTGCATGTGTTGGTTTTTATGTACTGTACGTGTGAGTGTGTCTCTTTGCTCTATTGGAGAGTCCAACAACCAGAGCAACGTGAAAAACACAGAGTAATTTTCATGTGATTAAGATTTAAATTTTTTTTTTTTAAATGTCATTTTTTTGGGTTAAAATTGGTCTAACTCAGTAGTGGGCAAACCCCTGGCCCGTGGTCCACATGTGGCCCTTTCAACATTTCTATCAGGCCCTTGAGCCCTCAGTTTATACAGATGTAGTATCGTCTTTAAATTCCATTTTCTTCTGCTTCACCCGTTGCCAGGTCGAGGGGGCAGCAGTCTAAGCAGAGACGCCAAGACTTCCTTATCCACACACACTTCCTCCAGCTCGTCCGGGGGACCCCAAGGCGTTCCCAGGCCAGCTGAGAGACATAGTCCCTCCAGCGTGTCCTGGGTCTTCCCCGGGTCCTCTTCCCGGTGGGACGTGCCCGGAACACCTCCCCAGGGAGGCGTCCAGGAGTAGGGATGTAAAAAACTATGAATTTTCATGACCGACCACCGAGCCTCATTAACCGGTTGAAACCGGTTAACCGTGTAGTTTAAAATAGTCCACGTTCTTTGAAATAAAAGCCATTTCGAGTCGCGTACTTTCCATAAGTGCAGCTCGGCGTTCTACTGGATCAGAGCCGAGACAGCGGCGCCAAAACCCGCAACAGCTTCGGCACCTTTGCACACAGAGAACTGCTTTTTTAATCTTTCCATTCTTCTGTGCTGCGGGTTAAAGCATTTTTAAGCAAAGTGACGCGTCGCGTCTCGCAGGTCTCCACTAAAGTTTAAAAGTGATGTGTGTGGAGCTGGGACCAGCAGCACAAACATGTTTCATGTGGTTTGACTGGAGCCGCGTATTTGCGAGGATCCTTTGGGCTGCGTGACACAGAGAAGCGCGACATGTACACACAGAGTAAGTGTGTGTACTTACACACACTTACTCTCATACAAGGTGTATGTGTGTATGTGTGTATAATATATGTATGTATGTGTGTATGTGTGTGTAAATATAAGCTCCAATGTACTTCTGACCTGCAACAGAGTGCAACTAGCAGGCGGTAACAGAGGGGAGAGCTGATGCATCTGGATGTTACGTATCAATGGAGGGGGGGAAATGTGTGTGAGTGCGCGCATATGTGGTGCGTGCGGCGTGAGAGTTTACTGTTACATTGGCGCACACAGCTATATCCGGACCCGCTCGTCACATCATGCGAATAGGGCTTAAAATAGCATTATTAAGAGACCTCCCCTCTCCCCTTTTTCTCTTTTGTAACCGACAGCTTTGACCGGTTAACGCTGTGACGGTCAACCACCGGTTAAACGGTCATGATTTACATCCCTATCCAAGAGGCATCCTGAACAGATGCCCGAGCCACCTCAACTGGTTCCTCTAGATGTGGAGAAGCAGCGGCTCTACTCCGAGCTCCTCCCGTGTGAATGAGCTCCTCACCCTATCTCTATGGGAGCGCCCAGCCACTCTGCGGAGGAAGCTCATTTTGACAGCTTGTATCCGCGATCTGATTCTTTCGGTCATTACCCAAAGCTCATGACCATAGGTGAGGGAGGGAACGAAGATTGACCGGTAAATCGAGAGCTTTTCCTTTCAGCTCAGCTCCCTCTTCACCACAACGATACAGCGGCCGCATCACTGAGCACGCTGCACCGATTGTCTTTAAATATAAAGACTAAATTAGTTTGTGCTCCTCCCTGCACACTAATACAGGTTGACTTGTCCAGGTATTCAGAGCAGAGCACAACATTCGACCCTTGGGAAACATAAGTTGAAATGTCCTGCTTAAGAAAGACTTCTGGACAAGGACTGAAAAGTTAAATGTTGTCTCTGTCTCATGTTTATGGATTTCTCCTTCTAAACAAATGTAAGCGGGTGGCGTCCCACATGGCAAGAGTGGAACCTTTTCTAAAGGGAACACACTGTGCAAACTCTGCTTGTAATATTTTTTTTAAATAGACTGGTTTCTCATTCACACACTCAGAGCTGGTTATAGAGTTTTATGGTCTTGGATCAGTGTTAGCAAAGCAGTAAATTGACATTTAAATATTAGTTTGTTGATATTAATTTATTTTAGGTTTTAATGATGTTACAATATTGTTTAAAATCCAAGAGTGTGAATCAGACGTAGAGGCCCCTCCCTGCTCCCAGCTCCACTGCCTGAAAAAACACTGCACATATTTGGTTTTCAAAGGCTGCTCCCCGTCGACTAATTCAATACTATTCTTATGAGGAATGTCCAAATAAAACAATGCCTCAGCAGAGAATAAACCAGGACAAGTGAGAAGCAGTGGAGACCGGGACACTCATGGGAATCACACAACGAGGGGAAAGAGACCAGAGAGAGCCCAGAGGGTGAAGCCAGAGAAAGAGACCAGAGTGGAAGACCAGAAAAAGCGAGAGAAAACCTCTGCAGAGGGTAAACCAGGAGAAGTGAGAGGCAGTGGAGTGCGGGGCAACTCTCCAGAGAGAGGCCAGAGAGAGAGAGGCCAGAGAGAGAGAGGCCAGAGAGAGAGAGGCCAGAGAGAGAGAGACCAGAGAGAGAAAGAGACCAGAGAGAGGGAGGCTTAAGAGAGGGGGACCAGAGAGAGAGAAAGGCCAGAAAGAGAAAGAGACAAGGAGAGGGACCAGAGAGAGAGAAGCCAGTAGCAAAATCTCCCAAATTTAAAGTCCTAGTAATCTCAGCCAGAGTTTGTAAATCCGAACCGTGTCTTACCTGGAAATAGAGTCCGACGGTGGAGCGGGACATTAGGTTGCTGAAGTGCTCGTGGAAATCTTTGCTGAGGATGTCCTGGGAGAGCGTCTCGTATGGGTCAAATGCCTGCTCCTGTAATGCAGATATGGATGGACTATTTTAAAACACACACAACTCTATTACAATCTATTAGCAACAAAAACAGAGCAGAAACTGACTTTTTGGTGTGTTCAGTGTCAAATATACAAAATATTAGTGATTTAGACAGCAGTAAACCAAACTGTTTAATAGGCAGTTGATTACATGTGGGTATGGTGAAGGTGATTATAAAAGTCTCTGGTCTCTCTTTATGGTCAGTCTCTCTGGTCTCTCTTTATGGTCAGTCTCTCGGGTCTCTCTTTATGGTCAGTCTCTCTGGTCTCTCTTTACGGTCCGTCTCTCTCTCTCTCTCTCTGGTCCGTCTCTCTCTCTCTCTGGTCCGTCTCTCTCCCTCTCTCTCTGGTCCGTCTCTCTCCCTCTCTCTCTTATCCGTCCCTCTCTCTCTCTCCTTCTCTCTCTGGTCCCTCTCTCTGGTCTTTTGTCTTGATCAGGATTCCTGGAGCTGGAGGATTTTTACTAAATGTTTTTAGTGGAAGGGGGAACCAAAACAAACTAGGCAGACACAAGGAGAATATGCAAACTAAACTCAGTTTGGACCTGTGTCTTGAGGTGGAATCAAACTTTCTTGCTGTGAGGTGAGAGCTTAGGTTACCTCAGCCAAGTCCTCGAAGCAGCTCCCCACCAGAGGGTGCGGGCTGCCATCGGCCGTCATCTCCACCGCGTCTTCGATCAAACCCAGAAGTTTCACCGTGAGCTCGTGGATGTCCAGGATGTTACTAAAGATCACCTCCACGTCCTGAGAGACAGAAACTTAGCCTTTGAGTTTTTTATGCTTTAAACAACAACATTACAGTGCTATCTGGCAAACATACACATGTCCAAAGTAGTTTTTTCCCTGACTCCCTCAAGCTTTAGTTAGAAAGCGCTCTTCATCTTTTATTCTGGAGAGGGAGCAAAACAACTGGTATGGTGTATCAGCCAAATTATACCACAGATGTGCTCTGTCAAGCACCAAAGTACTTAATTTACATGTTGGTGTCGTACGAACCAACTCAGACTTTGAGGAGCACAGGGACTGGCCTGCTGCTGGTGTCCACTTGAGATTTATGCAGCTAAAACCTGGAACAGACTGCCTCCCCGTGTTTAGTCCTGACTCTGGTCAGTGACCAATACCACTATGTAGACGCCTTGAAATAAATATTGTGGTATTTTAAAGTTATCTTTTTCCATCAGATAGAAGTAATTCACTGTGATGTGTTTACAACCAACCAATCCAACTCCTTTTATAGAAAAAAAGAAAACACACAAACACGGGTGATCCTAAAATAGGCACTGGAGGAAATCATTATTCAGGCAGATGGTCCTAAAATAGACATGTAACAATTGCACACACTCAGACAGACACACATGGACTGAGAGAGAGGAGAGACACACACACACACAAAGCGCCCGTGCACACACACACACACATAGAGAGAGGAAAGAGAGAGACCAGAGAAAGAGTAGAGACACACACACACTTCCCTGACAGTCATTTAGAAGAGTTTCCACATAATTGAAGTAATTTTGCCTCGTGTCAACATAATTACAGTTTCACATTCCTCAGAGACTTGAACGTTTATCCAACTCGCCCGAGATCTCGCCACAAATTACCCATCCCTGAAATATGCACAAACTTGCATTTCCGCCGACTCTGCAAACACGGTGGTGAAATATGATCAGAAAATGGGAACAAGTGGATGTGAGAAATCCAGCTCTCTGATCCTAAGCCTGCGTTTTATGTTGTTTAAAGAGATTACGGAGTTAAACAGTAATCTAGATGAAGTGACTTTCTAATCTGCTATTTAGAGCAAATTTTTGTGTCAGGAATAGGGTTGCCAACTTGAGAACAAAAAAATAAGGGACACCATTTGGGTGGATCGGTTTGAGCACAGTAATCATGAATTTCATAATCAGTTTTTAGAATGTAATTTATTGACTACATATAAAAAAAACAACAACTCCTTAGTCAAAAATGAAATTGAATATTGAGTACTTAATGCATTCTTATTACTAATAAAGAATATAAAAAAGGCAAATGCTGTAACTTACATTACAGTAAAGACCATTTACTGTAAAAGCAAATAAAAAAAGAAAAACATATGTATTTATGAAAAAAACTCACAAATGTTGAAATCAAAGCCTGTAGCAGTTAGACATGGTCATTATGTATATTGCCTGAGAGTTTAGTGCGTGTACATGGCTTCAGTAAAAGCTATTGTTCGTTTACAGCTGGTCTGTACATTTGTTGACGCTTCCTTAGTGCTTTTTTCGGCGCTTGCAGTGCATTGGATTCAATGGATTTCTCTGCATTAAAACAGCGCACTGGATTTGAAAAAAACAACGTAGAGATGATCATTTTAGCACAGTGACTTTTTTTTAACAAAGTAGCTTTTGTGAACTATTGACTGCGGAAGTCCGACTCTGGGAATATGACGCTACTTTACCAAACTTCTGCTGTGATGATGCTGCGGGAGCGGCCCACGCTGGCGATTGTCAACATTAAACCAATGTATGTGATCAAGTCTACGCCCCTTTGACACTGATTGGCCGAAAGGTAGACGCTTAAACTGTGATTACTTTGTGTGCGTGTGTCAAGCGTATACAGTCTATGGTCGCGCGTGTGACATGCAGTGAGTGATGCATTCAAGTTGGCTCTGAAAATACGGGACAAAAGCCGTCCCGTATCGATTCAATACGGGACGCACATAGTGTTTCTATAATACGGGACAATTCCGTATTTCAAGGGACGGTTGGCAACCCTAGTCAGGAACCAACAGTTATATGCAATTAATCGCCCCATGATTGTAAAAAGGTGATTTCTGTAAGTTCAATAGTATTTAAGTTCTAAAATAATACATATAAATGACCATATGACCCATATACAGCGGGCCTGGGCAAATTATGGCCCGGGAGCCACATTCAGCCCTACTCACATTTCTGTGCAGCCCTCGGACCATTCCCATCCGTTTGACCTGAAACTGCTGCCAATGTATATGAATCAGCAGTCATTACCCAGTGAAGGCTTGCATGTAATATGTGCTGATCTCTCAATGCTCGCTCGCGCTCTCCCCATCTCTCTTTAGCCGCGTTTCCACTGTAGGAATTCCTGGTTAAAGGGAGTGGGGTGGAACTTTTACAGGAGCCTTCCTCTCCCTCGGTCATCTCAGGGGCCGTGTCTCCACTGCAGTAGGACCACTCGTCAACGTCATGAGTTTCGATTGCAGCATAAGCGAAACTCATTACGCCAAACCCGTTATTATTATAGATCCATGCGCCAAACCCATTTGTTTATTTTAAGGTCGTAACTGTTACGGTTGTTGTGGTCTTTGAGTTTTTTTATAGTCCTGCTTCAGTTTTTTAAAAACCTTTCACGGCTTGTTTTGGAGTGTGATGAATCTGCTGGGCTAATGCTGCTGGGCTAATGCTGCTGGGCTAATGCTGCTGGGCTAATGCTGCTGGGCTAATGCTGCTGGGCTAATGCCGCTAGGCTAATGCTGCTAGGCTAATGCTGCTAGGCTAATGCTGCTGCCGGTTGTTTTGCTGCTTTCAGTGCCGGTGTAACGCCGAGATACACTGTCTTGAAGAGATGCACTGCCTCAGCTGTTTATGATGTAATGCAAACCTGCGCATGCGCGTCTCACGGCAACCGAAGCAAACCAAGATGGCGGACCGTGAATTGCTTTAAAAGTTGAAATACGAACGAATTAAGACACGAAGGTCACTTTTAATGCAATTTGAGGCGAGATGTTGATGGTCCCGTTTTGTCACATGTGGGTTTTAAGAGTCAAAGTTTCGTGCAAAGTTTAGTTTAAGCAGTCAACTGCAGTCCGCGGCTGCTGACGTAGGCTGATGACGTGTCCTGTGGCAACTCTACACTCTTACACTGGTCTGTCGGGTTGATAATGGAAAATGGGGAAAAAATCAATCTAATTAAATATTTTGTTTGAACCCACTATTGTTAATCATATTAAATACAGTACAATACATGTATTGAATGAAATTTATTATTTCCATTATCAACCCGACAGACCAGTGTAAGAGTGTAGAGTTGCCACAGGACACGTCATCAGCCTACGTCAGCAGCCGCGGACTGCTATGAAAACATTAGCTTTGTGGTTTCACAGGCGCAGTTGACTGCTTAAACTAAACTTTGCACGAAACTTTGACTCTTAAAACCCACATGTGACAAAACGGAACCATCAACATCTCGCCTCAAATTGCAATAAAAGTGACATTCGTGTTTTAATTTGTTCGTATTTCAACTTTTAGAGGAATTCACGGTCCGCCATCTTGGTATGCGCAGGTTTGCATTACATCATAAACAGCTGAGGCAGTGCATCTCTTCAAGGCAGTGTATCTTGGCGTTACACCGGGTTAACCTCAAGTCCCACCAGGGCCCAATGGAGTACCGAGCATGGAGGAGGGACTCCGTTGGGCCCTGTAAAAGTTCCTGTAAATGGCCCTGTAGGAGAAGTTCCTGCAGTGGGGACATGCACCAACGGGGCTGGCCCTGGAGCGAAGTTCTGGCGGTGGTAACGCAGCTTTTGCTCTCTCTCTCGCTCTTTGCACGCACTGACTCTCTTTGCTCTCTCAGCTCTCTCTCTCTGCCATCTAGAGCTCTTTGCATTAGTTACACATTTTAGATTGAACTACAGAAATAGATAAACTTTTGAACGCTATTCTAATTTTCTGAGTTCTATACCTATTGCCAATTTTGTGACATCAACTACTGTACATCACCAGCTTCTGTACCTGTGGAGCGAAGATCTTGGGGTTGGAAAGGAAATGGTTCCGGAACAACTTGATGATGAGGTCGAGCTCGCGCAGGTACTGTCTCTCCTCCGCAATCTCCAGCCGCACCAGGTCGTCGTAGGTGAGCTCCCCAGAGGACAAGGGCTCCTCTGGGCCCTGAGACATGAGGCCGATGTCCTCCTCCTGGTCGAACATGTCCATCAGCACCTGCAGGGGGCACAGGAAGCGAGGTCAGGACTCTGGGAGGGGGTGAGTGAACGGAAAGGAGAAACTAAATGTAGGAGAATGAAGAAGAGATGGTGGAATGAAGTGGATACGACTGTTGTGGGACAGTGGCTCACAGGTGTCTATTATTGGAGTGGACTGGAAAAATATATATTGGGACTATTACAATGTGTGGCTGTACAACACTAGGCTGGCTGGGCATAGTGTTGAAAGTGTGTGCCCGTTGGAACCCAAGGAGGAAGAGGGCAGCACGGCATCAACAGCTCAGGGTACATGGGAGGGGCCAACAAGGGGTGCTTATGGGATCCACCTGTGGACCTGAGCCATCTCTCTCCAGAAACAGCAGCAAAAAGTCAAGCAGATGCTGAGAGAGGAGAGCCAAACGTGTTTGCCAAGGACGATTGGGACACTGGATGTATTAAAGAACTTCAAATGAACATTCAGTTAAAACACAACGTCCCAGTCCAAAGGTCTTATAACTCTATCGCACGTCATCTCTACCAGAAAGTAAAGTCTCACATTCAAGATCTGCTGAGTAGAGGATGGATTCAAAAGTCATGTTCACACTATCGTCACCTATTGTATGTGTCAAAAAAAGATGGAACCCTCCGTCTATGTGTGGATTACAGACTGTTGAACCAAAAGACTTTGCTCTGATCGCCACCCCATCCCCCGGATCCAGGAAATTTTTGGAAATATCGGGGGCAACTCACGGGGGCAACTCATGGTTCACTGTACTGGATCAAGGCAAGGGCATACCATCAGGGTATTTGTGTGTGAGCAGGGAGCCGCCCATCTAGGAAAATCCGCAAGACCGGACGGGATCAGTCCCAGCTCTCTGAGGTCCTCACCTACATCTACAAACCTGAGCCTCTGCCTGGAGAAGGTCCCTGTCCTGTGGAAGACCTCTTGTGTGATCCCGGTTCCTAAAAAGCGCAAGCCAAGGAACCGGCTCACTACAGACCAGTCGCACTGACCTCCCACCTGATGAAGACCATGAAGCGGCTCATCCTCACCCATACTCCGCTCTGTGGTCAGCCCCACCCTGGACCCGCTGCAGTTCGCCTACAGGCCCAATATCGGGTAAGAGGACGCCGTCATCTACTTCCTGCAGCGGAACGCTCTCCCCACCTGGAGCCCACCGGGAGCGCTGTGAGGGTCGTGTTCTTCGACTTCTCCAGTGCTTTAATAACACCACATCAGGGTCCGGTACTGCTGCGGGGGAAGATGGAGGTCGCAGGAGTGGACAGTAGCCTCACTGCATGGACCATCGACTACCTCTCAGACCGACCACAGTACGTGCGGCATGTGGGTCTGAGGTGGTAGTCTGCAGTTCTGGGCCCCATCAGGGCACTGTCCTCTCACCGTTTCTCTTCACCATCTACACTTCAGACTTCACATACGACACACACACAGCTGTCACCTGCAGAAGTTCTCCGCCATCGTGGGCTGTGTGTTTGAGGGGAACCAAATGGAATATCGTCAGTTATCACAGACTGTCGACTGGTGTGAGCGCAACCACTTGTGCTTGAACACCAGTAAGACCAAGGAGATGATCATCGACTTCAGGAGAAAACCACTTTCCACACGCTGCTGAACATCCAGGGGGAGGACATTGAGCTGGTGGACAGCTTAAATTACCTGGGTGTTCACCAGTGGAGGCGGGTCCCGGCTCAAAAGTGGCTAAAATGATGTGCGCCGACATGCTGCAATACCACCCCGGGCGGTGGGGGTGGACCCGGAATAAGAATTAGCCAATGCTAACATAGCACTTGTGGCCATGTTGGATAGCTCCAGTAGAGCAATATTTTTGGCCCATAGATTGTAAGGCGGAGATAGCCATGACTACTAGGGTTGGGCGATATTTTTTTTGTACCGGTATAAGTAAATTAAATGATAAGAAAATGCCTTATACGGTGAAAACGATCATTTAACACTGAAAACAGCGAGCGGAAGACACGTTTTGTGTGCGGCGCACTTTAATGACGCATCTGCGCGGGCACGTGTAGCAGAGCGGCGTGCAGGGACAACAACAACAGAGAGCCAAACATGGCTGAGGGCGGCGGTGAAGACCATGGTGAAGACATGCAGATTTGTAGAAGACATTGTGCCAAAACGCGGAGCTACCTCAAACATATGGGAGTAGTTTGGGAACTAGATCAAAAGAAGCAATTGTGTGTAACTATCGACAGTGGATCTAATGTTGTGAAAGCAGCTGCCTCTAAACCAGTGGTTCCCAAAGTGGGGGTCCCGACCCCCCGGGGGGTCGCGGGAAACCTGGGGGGGTCGCAAGATGATTTCCAAAAAAAAAAAAAAAAAAAAAAAAACATTTAGTAATTAATATTAGCCTTAAAATATTGATTTAACATTTGATTTGATTCAAAAGGACTACTTGTTAAATTGTGTTAGGAGAATATAAAATATTTAAATTACGTTTGTAATTTTGTCCAGTCATTGACAGCGTCAATCAAAATCAAGTTACGTAGCTTACGTCACGCAGCGACAAAGCGTGTCCAGCTGTTGTTTGCTAAAACTAAAGTGTTTGGAGGCTTCAAACAAATAATACCTGCTTTAAAAATGAAACGTGGTTAATATCCACAACAGAAAAAAACCGGAGGGAGAGAAAAGTCACATGTGAGGTCAGGCTGATGGTGCGAAGAGAGGGAGAGAGGGCGCGGAGGGAGAGAAGGCCGCGGTAGAAGAGGGTGGTAAAGAGGCCCGGCTTTTCGGAGTCAGTGGTAAAGAGGTCCGCACATTAAAAGCGGGTGGCTATGCTTTATGCTGTTACTTACAGTAACTTTGGAAAAAGAAGCCGCGGGGATGAAGCGCATAAAGTAACAGCAGAAAGCGGCCGCCCGCTTTTTTTGTGCGGACCTCTTTACCGCTGACTCCGAAAAGCCGGGCCACTTTACCACCCCTCTTTCTACGCTGGCCTTCTCTCCCTCCGCTGCCCTCTCTCCCTCTCCTTAGCACCATCTGCCTGACTAACATGTGACTTTTCTCTCCATCCGGGTTATTTTCTGAGAGGTATTAACCACGTTTCATTTTAAAGCAGGTATATAATTTGTTTGAAGCTCCAAACACCTTTAGTTTTAGCAAACACACCCAGTCTGGACACGCTTTGTTCGCTGCGTGACGTAAGCTACGTAACTTGATTTGATTGACGCTGTCAATACTGGACAAAATTACAAACGTAATTTAAAATTTTTATATTCTCCTAATACAATTTAACAAGTAGTTCCTTTTGAATCAAAATCAAATGTTAAATCAATATATTAAGGGTATTAATTAGCTAGATGTTTTTTTTTTTTTTTTTTTTTTTTTGGGAATCATCATGCGACCCCCCCCAGTGGTTCCCGCGACCCCCCGGGGCGGTCGGGAGCCCCCACTTGGGAACCACTGGTTTAGGGCCAGCTGCTTTCACAACATTAGATACACTGTTCGATAGTTAACACAAATTGCTTTTTTGATATAGTTCCCAAACTTCTCCATATGGTTTTGAGGTAGCTCGCGTCCGTTTTGGCACAATGTCTTCTACAATCTGCATGTCTTCACCATGGTTCTTCACCGCGCACTCTGCCATGGTTTGCTCTCTGTTGTTGTTGTCCCTGCACGCGCTCTGCTACACGTGCCGCGCAGATGCGTCATTTAAAGTGCGCCGCACACGAAACGTGTCTTCCGCTCGCTGTTTTCAGTGTTAATTGATCGTTTTCACGGTATAAGCATTTTATATCACATTTAATTTACTTTATACGGTTACAAAAAAAATATCGCCAAACCCTAGTAGTCATGGCTATCTCCGCCTTACAACTTAATGGGCCAAAAAATATTGCTCTACTGGAGCTATCCAACATGGGCACAAGTGCTATGTTAGCATTGGCTAATTATAATTCCGGGTCACCCCCACCGGGGCCCGGGGTTGTATTGCAGCATGTCGCGCGCACCGCACATCAGTTTAGCCATTTAGAGCCGGGGACCCGCCTCACAGGTGTGAACACCCAGTAATTTAAGCTGTCCACAGCTCAATGTCCTCCCCCTGGATGTTCAGCAGGGGTGGGAAAGTGGTTTTCACCTGAAGTCGATGTCTCTCCTTGGTTTACTGGTGTTCAAGCAACCAAAGTGGGTTGCGCTCACACCAGTCGTCAGTCTGTGAAAACTGACGATATCCAGTTGGTTCCCCTCAAACACCAGCCACGATGGCGGAGAACTTCTGCAGGTGACAGCTGTGTGTGTGTCGTATGGAAGTCTGAAGGTGTAGATGGTGAGAGAGAAACGGTGAGAGGACAGTGCCCTGATGGGGCCCCGAAACTGCAGGACTACCACCTCAGACCCACAGCGAATCGTACTGTGGACCGGTTCTGAGAGGTAGTCGACATGGGCCATTGCAGTGAGGCTACTTGTCCACTCCTGGCGACCTCCATCTCTCCCCCGCAGCGAGTAAAGTACCGGCCTGATGGTTGTTGGAAAGCACTGGGAGAAGCGAAGAAACGGACCCCACAGCGGCTCCCGGTGGGCTCCAGGTGGTAGAGAGCGTTCCGCTGGCAGGAAGTAGATGACGGCGTCTCTCCTTACCCGATATTGTGGCCTGTAGGCGAACTGCAGCGGTGTCCAGGGTGGTTGGGTCTGACCACACAGAGCGGAGGATGGGTGGAAGGATGAGCCGCTTCATGGTCTTCATCAGGTGGGAGGTCAGTGCGATCTGGTCTCTGTAGTGAGCCAGGTTCCTGGCGTTGTGCCGGTTTTTTTAGGAACCGTGATCACCACAAGAGGTCTTCCCACAGGACAGGGGGGAACCTTCTCCAGGCTGCAGGCTCAGGTTGTAGATGTAGGTCGAGGACTCAGAGAGCTGGGAATGATCCCGTCCGGTCTTGAGGACTTTCCTAGATGGGCGGGCTCTGTCACACACAAATCCCTGATGGTATGCCTTGCCTTGATCCAGTACAGGTGAACCATGAGTTGCCCCCTGAGTTTGCCCC